TATATCGACGGCACCTGCTGTTCTCGTGTTTGCTATAGCGGTCCTTGCTGTTGGTCCTACATATTTTGAGAACCCTGGAAGGTTTCGTGGAGAGATTCTGGTGACACACGCAGATTCTCAAACTGGCATCCAGATTGTTCAACTCTACCTTCTCCGGGGCTTTCGTGTCACTACTTTAACGCAACATGCGACGGACTCCGAGATCGGCCGCCTCCCTAATGGCCATTTCAATTTAATTGTCTCTGAATACAGAGACATGGCAACACTCCACCTCTTAGCACGCCTCTTGACAGCCAATGGGAAGACATTTCCATGGAAGCATCCGACGAAAGGCTTGCAATCGCTGCTTGCCTGTGACCCGTGGTTAATCGGCCACGCTATTCGTCTTGGATCAGATATAGCTGGCAACGAGCTTAAGATGCCCATGCGCAGTCTCAGTGAGATCATTACTACCAAGCCTGGTGATCCCATCATGTGAAGAAACATCTTTTCAGCGACAAGAAGGCTTATATACTGGTGGGAGGTATCGGCAGCCTTGGGCTTCAGATTGCCCAGTGGATGTACAAGGTCAGAATTACGCTCTTCACTGAATCTATTTGTTTCACACTAAGTCGACTCATTAGAATGGCGCCCGGGAAATCGTCTTGACTTCGCGTTCCGGGTGCGCTGGAATTCAGCGCAGGGGAGACATTGCATCTCAGCGTATCATCGCATACCTCAAGAGCCTACCAGACTTGAATTTACGCATCGATGCGATTGATGCCCTCTGCGAGCCCGACATGAAAGCGTTGGTGCAAGAACTTCAGAGTCCGCTCGGGGGGTGCATGTTGCTCTCCATGGTTTTAGCGGATGGTTTCTTTTCTGGGCTATCGGTGAACGACTTCAATATGCCGTTCGATCCTAAGATTGGAGCCTTCGAGGTACTATGCAACACAATCGACATGAAAAAGCTGGATTTCTTCATTTCGTTTTCCTCAGTTTCAGCACTATTCGGAAATGCAGGTCAAACTAATTATGCAGCGTACGTCTTTTCGAACTGCGTGTGTTCTTTGACTGCTCACATATGTTCCTCAGAGCAAACACTATGATGGATGGCAGACTGCGCACCATGCCCAACGCATTCTCTATTGTTACTCCCATAATCACAGATTCATTTGTAGCTACATCGAGTGCGACAAAGTTTAAATACCTAACAGATTGGGGGATGTCATCTCATAGTGAGTTTTCCGCTGATGAGATTGCGGAAATTGACATCAAATTTACTTAGGGATCCTCCAATTCATCGCGGAAGGTATTCAAAAGCTTGCCGATGGGCCCTTCTGGTTCTATATCCCAGATTTTAACTGGGAAACGATCAGCGTCAACATGGGAAACGCTCCCATGTATGATCACTTATTGTCCGAGCGGACGATCGCGGAAGATGAGGCGTCAACCTCAAAAGACAGTGTTTCGGTCGGTGACATATTGTGTGCCACCCTGGACATTGCGCACGGAGATTTGTCTCCTGACGTTCCGTTAACTGTGTATGGTCTGGATTCCTTATCTGCTGCGAGGCTATCTTTTGCCTTGAAACCATTGTTTTCTATCAGCCAAACCCAGCTCCTTGCGAACGTGACCCTTCGGAGTCTAGAAGTGCGATTAGAGGACCAGCGACTACCTGCCCTCATTGAAGCGGAGCAAAGGAGTGCATCTGAGCTTCGCCGGGTATCTGAGATGAGGTCCTTGCTTGCCAAGTACACGTCTAGATTCAAAAGCCCCAAGACACTGCTGCCTTCCTATCTCGCACGGGACTGCATTGTTCTCATAACCGGTACTACAGGAGTCGTGGGCGCACACCTTCTAGCATGCTTACTTCGTGAACCATGTATCAGTCGCATATTTCTTCTCAACCGTTCCAAGTCTGGAACTCCAACTATGTTGGAACGTCACCAACAATCTTTCCATGCACTGTCCCTCGACCCAACCGGACTGGACACAGGCAAGGTTGTGTATCTGGAAGGCATTCTAGACAAAGATTACTTTGGGCTGCCAACTGACACATTCAACGAAGTGAGTACTGGCCTTGTTATGTAAGTCGACGAGGTTCATCTTGTTTAGATGGCTCAAAGTGTGACCCATATTATTCACGTTGGTGAGCAATTCACTAAATTATTTCACATTTATGCTGAGACACTTGTAGCTTGGCCAATGGACTTCACTGCCCCCCTTGCTGCATTTGAACATGCTATTCACGGTCTGCGGGAATTGGTGGACTTTGCTATCTCCTCGCCCTGGCAAGTTCCGCCTCGATTACTTTTTGCAAGCACAGTCGGTGTATTGAGCGGTAAAGTACTTCGGGTGATTTGAAAAGCACGGAATCACTGACATTTTGGCAGGTCTCACACCATCGACCACTGTAAAGGAGACTCTTGTGCATGACCCCAGTATATCTGTCGGCTCGGGATATATCGAAAGTAAATGGGTTGCGGAGCATATCTTGGCAGCCGCTGCTGACGCTACGCGACTGAAGCCAGTAATTATTCGCCTAGAGCAACTAACCGGAGGGCGTAGCGGATACTGGAAAACGACGGAATGGATTCCATCCATGATCGGATCAGGCCTCTTTGTGGGTGCCTTGCCCAACCGCTCTAATGTGAGTTTTCTTGATCGCCATCCGACTATCGCTGACCTGTGTAGACCGTAAATTGGCTTCCAGTTATCGTGGCGGCGGAATCGATGGTGGAGATGTTAAATTCACCCCCTGGCGTGTATCACTTGATACATCCAAGTCCTGTTTCGTGGACTATCCTGATGCAGGAAGCTGCTCGCATCCTAAATGTTCCACTGATCCCGTATGCTCAGTGGTTTGCGTCTTTGGAGAAGCAGGCATCATCTCAAACGGCTAAACAACTGCAAAACAATCCTGCGTTGAGGTTGCTTGACTTCTTCAGGTATACCACTACGAATAAAAAGAACTTCGTAGAGTCGGAGCTCTCGTGTGCTAAAGCATTACAAGAATCTGCGACACTGCGATCAATGGTCTCAAGCCCATTGGGAACTCGGGATGTAGCTGAATGGATGGGATACTGGCATAGCATTGGTTTTATTCTTGTCTGAATCGAGATAACGAAATTTCTGTACCAAGCTAAACGCATGCGTACTGCATTGTTTAGTCACAATCGATACACATCAGTAAAATCCCCGATTCCTTCTTTTGAGGTTCATTCAGGCGTGATCGAGTGAAGAGATGGTCGTTGTGTCGTGAGCCAACGAGAGACAATGTGTTTGACGAATGTTTAACGAAAGATTTCGGGCGAGGACAAGCAGCGTCTTGCGGCCCCGAGGGACTCATCTGAGACAGAAATGGGCTGCAAGGAGGGCCTCCTAGCTGCGACTATACTGTAGGTGTCCTCCGAGGCCCTGTGGCGCGAATTTGAGGAAAGCGAGGAACTTGAATCGGGTGCCATGAAAGAAGGGATAGGAGGGTGGAGAAATAAAAATGGGGATGAGAGAGTTCCGAGGACGAACGGTAGGTGAGGCACGGAGACAGAAAGTGTAGTATTATAGTGCTTTTGCAGAGGTCGTTCGGTGTATTTGGAATGGTTGCGTCGGTTCGATCTTGACATTTTTGTTTAGCCTGTGATCTGTAGATTGAACCATCGTTTGAGGGTTGCATCTATTGATGATTATCCTTCTAGACGAAAAGACCTCACTTCAGGCAATGATGATAGAAGGATAATCAGGTGATGTGGATGTGATAGTTGGTGAATGAGAGCGCAATGTAACTTGAAAGCTTGAGGGACCGATTTTATGAACGATGCTTTTCATAACCATCCCCGGTCTCTGTCACAGTTATGGTAATACTTAGCCATCCCGGCATATAAAAGTCATTCTTGATTATGGTCTCCTGCTGTTTCGAGGGTGCCAGCCGATCAGGTTCTGTGGTGGCCTGATGGCCCTGATCGCAGTCCTGAAGCTTGTGCCTGTATGACGAGGTTTCCTGGCAAGGTGCCGGTGAATGCCCGAGCGTTCATTAATGCATTCAACGTTCGTGACGCTGCGACGTCAACGCAACTCGTCGACGAGGTAACGCGAGTGTCGTGTGACGTGATGAGTATAACTAGTGACTGTCACATCCCTTCTGCGGCATCTTTGATCAGGCTATTTGCCTCTATTTGACTAGTGCATTCATCTGAACTGCCATTAATGCTTTATGACATGACTGATCAGATCATGATGGAACAGCTATCATGAAACACGATGATTTCCGGCAGAATTTAGAACGTTGTCCTCGTGCTGACGTGCCGCCGTCAATTGAACGTGTCCGGATGTGATATGGAGGCTATCCTCCTAGATGTGCCATTTACTAGTACGCAAGCCTTTCAATCACCGTGACTATGTTGTAATTGTTGCTTACACTCAACGTTCAACACTGTACATTGTAATCTAGATGCAATTAGTCTGCGCTTTGGAAAGCATCTCCAAATTGCGACAAGGTGCGTGACGATACTCTAAATCGAGGATTCTAAACGCTACATGAAGTCACCCACTGTCATCCCAACGTGCTGTGCTACCTGCAACCATTCCCTGTAGGTTCACGTGAATATGACAGAAATTTTTGTATAGTAAAAACTGGTCTTACAGCGCCATGTTGTCCTCCTGTTGCAACTTGCCACATATTCGGTTCCTTCCGGATGGAGTCCCTCTGATCGTCATGGTGGCCATGATCAACCACTTTGCATGATTAACTATATCAGATCATTATCAACGTGCTTTAGTAAGAAACGGCACAGGGATTGACAGCATCTTCCGTTTGCATGCCATTGTGTTGATACCACAGGTATCACGAATCAATCAATCATATCCCGTCTTGCAAACAACGTAGCACCTGATTTATATCCCGCACTGGAAGGCAGGTCAACATTGCTACGTCACGTCACTATGTAATCTGATACTTATAATATTGTGCCACAGGAAGGGTGTTTTTAACACCCTTGCTCCGTTATACTCACCTTGTTGGAATGCCGGACATTACTGAATCACAGCAGTTGTGAGTGGTACTTGCATAGATGCATCGGGTATCCTCACGATTTACCAGGTGGATCCACTTGTACGCCGTTCTCGTGGCAAACAGTATTAGGACATCTTATCGTTGATCTCCGAGCGTCGAGCGATGACAAAATACTTCTAGGTATCCTGATATACGACCATATCGCGACCCTCCCAGAAGAAATCGCTTTTATTTGGCGTCGTCCGAAGGCGCTGTCTTCGAAGTTGTTTCTCGTCAATCGCTATATCGCTCTGCTCGGCAATATATTTGCCTTATGCATCGATTTCCTGCCCATGTCAGATGAGGTTCGCTGATTTCATTATGCATATACCGAGCTGCCAGGCTCACAGAACTCAATTCCACAGAGGTTTATTTCTTGTTCTTTGCGTATTCGTCATTTTACTCAACGGAAGCTTAGTTGTGTGAAATACACGTTATGCAGACAACTGTTCTTTCTTTTCCAAGGGCTTATTGTTTGCCGTGAGTAGGAAGTTTATTGGGGGGAGTACGCATACTAAAATTCCCTTGGAGTCATATTGACCATTCGCATTTATGCTCTCTACGGTTGCAGCAAGCGTGTACTTATCTCGATGATAACTATCGGCTTTATTCTTGTGATAGTAGCTTGTGTATGTATTCATGTGGACGTTTGGACCCGGGCATCCGCTGATCCTTTCTAGGCGGGAACCTTTGGACATTTCTCAAGCAATGCGACCATTTATCCAGGAGTTGGCTGCTATGAAACATATACAGCAGCAATGTACGTTGTTTTTGTTCCCGCTCTGTGCGTTTGCTAAAAAGTCGTTGCAGAGCCGCCCGTTAGTGATTCGTAAAACCCGTTTCCATGCGATCTGATGTCATGACCTTATCCAATTTGCAGGTGTCGGACTGGCATGGGTAGCCCTGTTTGTATTTGAATTACTCATTTTCATTCTCACAGTGTACAGAATTTGCAAAACTAGAGGCTTGTTGCGGTTGTCTCTGTTTACCAGGAGCAACGTCAGTCAATATTGTATTTCACGACGGTAAGTCTTTTGTTGTGCTTATATTGAAATGCTGAATCAACCTAACGCAGGCGCAATGTATTTCGGGTAAGGCGCTAGCGAGATCGTAGCTCGAGTGGATCTGATCCACATGCCTTCAGAGCGATGACACTGATCAATATACCGAACATCCTGACATACTACGTGAGTCAACGAATGGATATTAATGGAGTTAAAGCGCTCACAGTTTCAATCAATCAGTCTGGTTCAGTGAGCATATGAACCTGCATCTTATATTCAGTCGACTATTTACTAATGAATGCCAAGGTTAACACCAGAGGCAGTCTTGCTACATTTACCAGCTCGTGAGTGATTGTACGAATAAATACGGATCGCTCTCATTCATTACCTCTAGCATGTCCGCTACTCTCATCTCTCGACTAGTGCTTAACCTGCACGAATCCATGGACACCGGTATTTTATCCACCACCGTTCGGGATAGCAACGATTTCCTTACCACCCGGGTCAACGTTCAGTCCGCTATTTCCTCTCACCATTGGTAGGGCGAGTATTGGATTCTGTTCTTTTTGGACGTCGAGTTGCAGAAGATCCTTATTTTCCTTATGCAAGGATCGCAGTATCCTTTAGCATGATTGGATGTACAGTTCGTTTTGGATTAGTTTGATGTGTGTTAACATATTGAGTATGTTGTGATACTAGCCATGCACACGAGTACGATTAGCTTCGTAAATTAGATTGCTGTATACAACAGTATGCACAATGAAACGACATAAGTATCGTACAGAAAAGCAGGATTGCAGGAAATGCGAGACTGCTTAGAATTGACTTTGGGCGAGGGCTGCTTGACCGTTTGAATCAAATCTTCGCAATGTGCGTTCAGAATAACCCTATAGCTTCCTAGTGGCACCTTCAATACACATAGCCTTATAGAGCACCATACGTAGTACTTACTAGAAATTTCAAGCAATCATGAAAAGATTGTAGAACAAGAGCCATACCCATCAGCTATGAACTATAGGGATATAGTAGAGGAGGAAGGGACTAAGAGGGCTGGTTTGAGGTCACAGATACGAGAGTAATCAGAGGATACCCAGGTGATAAACCTGACAAGAGGGGATAGGAAGTTGGGGGAAAGTTGCAAGAGCACAAGGGCAAGTAGGTATTTCTGCTGTAGATGTTATGAGCAAAAAAGAAAAGAGGACTTACCTGAGAGTATGGGCTGTAAGGTAGTTTCAGGACACGGAAAAGGGGTGTAGGAAGGGCCCGGTAGACTGCGGGAATGTGCGGGAGGTATGAGGACACGAGAAGAAGTGCAAGAAGGTGCGAGAGGGCGCACTGTCATCTACTCTCTCCATATAAGCGGCGAGAGTGAAAAAACAACAAGAAGCTTACCAGAGAGTACGAGTCTGCTCTAGAATAAAAAGTCAAACATATCGGCAGTGACAGAACCAGTGAGGAAACTAGGTCGAATATGATGGAATGGCCGGAAGAGTGACATTGCCGAGCTTTGCAAGAACCTTAGTATCTTTCACGGGCCACGTCAGACTCATAATCAAGAGAGAGCAGTTGTATTCGTTCTATATGATCAGACTACGGTCCACGTCGGTTTGCCAGTGGGAGTCAAACATAGTAAACGTTAAACGCCTTGTTATTACCGAGTTAGGTAGAAATGCACGTGACTACGTACATACCTGAGCTTATGTGAGCGCAGGATATTCATAAACTCTGTAATACCACTTAATCCATTCTCGACTGGGTATGAGTGACCAGGTTACCCCAGCAAAGGCCTCAGAGCAGGCAGCCTCCAGGTTTGTCTTTATAAACTATCAGACGAAAACATCACTCACTCGTCTGTCGAAATCCTATTGGTGATGTCAAAGGGCGGCGCTCATGAAACTCCTCTTTTTCGCTGCAACACTCGCCATCCTACCAATCTCATCATACTTCCTCACAGAAAAATACGTTTGGTCTGGTACGTCTGGACTCTACTGCAGGATGCAGCAGTCACGAGTTCGTGTACTGATATTTTCTTCTTTAAGGCAATTCTAACTATGCTGCAATCACCGCCATATGTGCTGCCAATGTAGTCCTCATCGCTTACATCGTCGTTTCTTTGATGGAAGACAAACAATTGTTCAAGGAAGCGGAGGAGAAGAAACTGTCAGAAACCAAGAAGGAGCGATAAAACCTATTGTTACGGTAATGCTCAGGCTGTCGTTTGTCGTCTAGGCACTTTCAATGCATGCATTCTTTCTGTTCATTTCCGCTTTGTGCAAAGGGGATCGGTCAAACAGATTGCTGAGGTCCAGACTGCGGCTTGTTGTAGGATACAAATTATTGAAAGTTCGAGGTCTTTGTTCAGTCTTCCAACTTGGTATATACTACGTCATCCAAATCATGATTCATATTTAATATTCAACTTCCACTTTTATTACGAAAATGGCTATTGTCTGCAGAACGGACAAACGGTGCAACATAAACAATTTTCTCCAAATGCGTATCGTATCTTCCAATAGAACTCCTCCGGCGATTGACATCTGTGTTACTAGGAATGAATAGCAATGTGATTCTAGTACATCGTACACGCGGTTACTTCTTTCATTACATTTAGAAGCACTCTGTCGCGGGAGTAAATGAGAACCAGTACAATTGTAAAATGAGAGATACGTACTGCGATGAACGATACCAGGACCTGACTCATCGTACTCCTGCTTTGAACACCACAAGTTCTGGAAAGTGGACAGCGAAGCCAGGATGGAGCCACCGATCCAGACAGAGTATTTCCGTTCAGGTGGAGCGACAATCTTGACCTATTGAGTGGCGACGAGTGAGAATTATGACTGCACAAAAAAGGTTGATACGAACCTTCATGCTCGAAGGCGAGAGTGATGTCAACTCCTTCTGCATACGGTCGGCAATACCAGGGAACATGGTAGTACCACCGGACAACACAACATTACCATACAAGTCGCGACGAATATCAAGATCGCACTTGAAGATGGAGTTGTACCTAGAATGGGGGTAAATCTCACTGCGTCTCTTGTGAATTATCTCTTACGTAGTCTCATGAATACCGGCAGCTTCGAGACCAAGGAATGCAGGCTGGAAGAGAGCTTCAGGTGCACGGAACCTTGTGATTTTATAAGTTAGGACAATGTAATAATCAGCGTAGATTGACTTACCGCTCGTTTCCAATGGTGATGACTTGACCATCAGGCAGCTCGTAGCTCTTCTCAAGAGCTGATGACTGAGCGGCAGTCTGCATCTCCTGCTCGAAATCGAGAGCGACGTAGCACAATTTCTCCTTGATGTCACGGACGATTTCACGCTCCGCAGTCGTCGTGAATGAGTAACCACGCTCAATCAAGTTTTTGATCAAATAGTCGGTAAGATCACGACCGGCAAGGTCGAGACGAAGGATAGCATGAGGCAGAGCAAAACCTTCGTAGATAGGAACCGTGTGGGTGACACCGTCACCGGAGTCCATGACGATACCGGTGGTACGACCAGACGCGTACAACGACAAAACGGCTTGAATGGCGACATAAAATGCAGGTGCATTAAATGTCTCGAACATGATTTGGGTCATCTTTTCACGGTTAGCTTTAGGGTTGAGGGGAGCCTCAGTGAGTAAGACGGGATGCTCCTCCGGGGCCACACGAAGCTCATTATAGAATGTGTGATGCCAGATCTTCTCCATGTCATCCCAGTTCGTAACAATACCGTGCTCAATGGGGTACTTGAGGGTCAAGATACCACGTTTGGACTGAGCCTCATCACTACGTGGATTAAATTAGGTGAAAGCTTAAATGAAATGGTCGAAGCTTACCCAACATAAGAGTCCTTCTGACCCATACCGACCATGACACCTTGGTGACGCGGGCGACCAACTATGGAGCTGCAAGTTTGTGTGAGCACTGGATCACCAGTGATTATATACGATCTAAAACGTACGGGAAGACGGCGCGGGGAGCATCGTCGCCTAATGAGATGCGATCAGTTTGTATCATTACATCCCCATAAACGGCCTTGAATTACCAGCAACTGCGAAGATGCTTATCAGATGGTGAAACACGTAGATCGAAGAGAAACTTACAGCCAGCCTTGCACATTCCGGATCCATTGTCGATAACCTGACAACGCGAAGAAGGTAAGCGTTTTGTACGGTGTCAATAGCTACGATGGGATTGAACATACGAGGGCAGCTACTTCTTCTTCCATGGTGAATTAGTTGTGTAGTAGACTGGTGAGTGATGGAGGTTCTAAGTTGAAGTGCACGAGCGCATCACAAGCGGAGTGTGCATTTCAAACTCAGACCACACAAGGCAGTACCAGTGCCGCCGGTCAATGCATAACTTATTAGACGTTAGACAGCAACAGACGGAAATTGACGTTGAAACGTTGAAGTAGGGAGTAGCTATCTTAGGGAAGATATGAGAAGCGCATTTGAGTCAATCACTTCAAGATTGAAGGTCGCAATAACCATCATGTTTTCACCGCAATAGATTAGTCCTAATTCAATATTGTGGAGCTTGTTGAAAGCTTGAAACAGAGAAATATGTAGCATTACACGTAGAGCAATACATTAGTCCTTTTGAACTGGCATCGCAGCACGATCCCTGCAGCTGGCGCTCACTAAGTGCACTAGTCACTAGCACTGATCAACCTGCGGAATCAGAATCCGATTAACTGATCTACATTACGTAACTTTTACATAAGAACAGATCGGGGAATCCTTGCTTTCGACGAAAAATTTGTAGGAAAGGCATTTTCATCCTCGCAATCTGCTCCAGAAGCTTTGAAGACACGCCCCGCCTTCTGCTAGTGGACCTATCGCCATCAAGGAATTAGAACCGACGAACCTCAATGCCCTGCTCTTTTCACGAGACAGCCGCTCAGCGAGCAACAACTCAAGGAAAGAGGAAGAGGCAACGGAGTGGCGGGGAGGAGCCAGAAGAAGCTGCGCGTGTAAAGAATATACGCCAGAGCGCAGGACCCTGATTCGTCCGATGGATGCATCTTTGTTTCTTTACCAATTATTCCAGCACATCTACGTGCAGTCTCTAAGAAGGTACTCTTTATTGAAATATACACCTGACTCATCTTGTTTGTTAACAACGGTAACAGAAGAACAGGCCAGCCAACGATTACCATGCTTTGCGTCAGATTTGCTGCGAGATCTGACCATCAGAGATCGCACTATCCAATCGCTTCCCGAGGTTGCGAGGAAATCTGGTGGTACGACTTAGTGAAGCCCAGTGGGCGCGTCCATGTCTGCACTTCCCTGTCCTGAATGCATAGGTAACCTTTTGCCTATTCGAGTCGGACGACGAGGTCTTGTTACCGAGAGATACTCTCTTCAAAGTAACGATAAACTCCTGGAGCTTCCCGAGCCCGTCACACCTGTCGCATTACACTCATATGTCAGACTTCTTGTCACAGTTGGCCGAAAATGAACCTGCAGCTCTACATCTATTGTGAAGCATGAAATACAACCGTGCATGTATAGTTGAATCACTAGTTCCAGTTCTGACGCAATTTGACATTGGTCTTCCTAAATTGATGATCCTCCAAACTCTTACTCCCTGCACATTTCCTATGCTACTCACTACCGCTGGTTGACAAGTATCCGCGCTCCTGGAAAGCAATCGTACGCATGCCAGTTCCTTCATCACATTCGGCTACCAGCTTAGCGTGATAATCCCGAATGCTTAGGACGAGACGTGGTCCCAGCACAAACATCTGCACGAACTGGGCGATTTGGAAAACGCCGTAATAAATACCAGATCCCACAGTAATTGGGTCCTGTGGAATTGATAGGTGATCAGCAAGCGGTCACATGCAGATGTTGTCGGCGCACCAAAGCGGGGGATAGTGTGCCGATGTTGAAGCAAGTCACAGCAACAAAGCTAGCACACGCAAAACTTCAGTGGAACAAGATAATAGCTTACAAAGTACCAAGCTCACCCTACGAAGTACGGCACATGACTTCTTATCAACACCGTGAAACAGTCTCCGATGGTCGAGCCTGTCCTTGATTTTTGCAGTTCACGGATATGTTTGATAAAAATCCTGACAGCAAGAAACAAGGCAATAACCTCCCATAGAAGGGTGGGTATGAAGATTTCCCGATTCAGTGTGTCGGCGACACCGAGGCTCAGGCACATACGGTTGCCAGAAAGGACAACATCCACTAGTGTTCGTGCGTGAGCCCTATGTGCTCAAGGCTTTCATCTGTAATCGAAACTCACCCGCTGAAGCTTTGGTATTTCCTATTCCTGTCATAATCACGGTAGCGATCGTGCATGTCAATAAGACTACACCGAGGAAGACGAGCATGATCTTGGATCCCTGATACATGGCATGTATTCGAGTCATCATGATGACTTGCGTGGCATTTCAGTCGATTAAATATCAAACAAATATCCAGCCGCGCTCACCCCCCAGCATGGCATTGACAACGACAGGTATCCATACCTGCATGAAGTAAAATATATTGCCTAGAGAAGTCGGTAAGCGATGCGCACTGGTGGACTCGATGCTTCAGATAAACTTACAGCTATTACAGTCGTTATGTTGAAAAAACAAGTCGGCCGAGAACATCACTCACTCCTATCATAATACAGGAGTACATTAGTACTTGACTGGGAATGGCAGGTCATGGTGCAAAATACCCACTACATCTGTAATCGAAAATGGGAGATTCCCTGCATGCCACTGGTTAGAAGGAACAGACATATTTAACTGGACACATACCAACTATGTAGACGCTGATTGTGAGATGGCTCATTAGCACAGTGCAATGCAATCTAGTGAGCATTGCAAACGTACATAGAATATAGTATTCCAATGCAGCGCACCTAGCATGTGTTAAAGTCAGCACAACTTGGCAACCTCACGTATAGCACAAGATACGTACACAAACGTAGAGAACAGTCACGAAGGACCAGCGTCGCCTCTGCCGCAAATAAACTGCATTGGGCTGCTGTGCTTTTGAAATAGCATTGTGCTCACCCAGACCAGTTCGAACTGTTCAAGTAATCTCAGTGAGATGGCTAGGTCGGAAACTGGATTAACTAACCTCTTGTGCAGATGTCAATACTTGAATAGATATCAATATCAACAATCCCCTCAGAAAGTATTAGCATGATCTCGCTCACCCCAGTCGTATACCACTGCAGTAGATGATGCAACTAAAAGATAACAAGATTAGTCCCGGGTAACATCATCCACCTTACTCTCCACGAACCTATAAAATAATTCAATATATAACACCACTTGATGTACGGCCACCAGGCAGGATCATTTGAGACATGGGTCATGTTGGGACTGGGGAACCTGACGTTCCTCAGGACTCGGGGTGCAGATATACCACCATTCAGTGACAGGGCCCATGCGGCCTCATTGTCAAATTTGCGACCGCTGATGAATCAAAATAAACAAAATAACCAATATTAACTCCATGAGTGATTGCGTTCCTGTGCGTTCCCACGCCTACTAGTAAAGCTGTGGTTAGAAGCCAATGATATGTCAAATCCTGACTTCTGTCAAAAACATGGGCGCAAGTGTATGATAGGCGATTGCGCGTTGTGGCCGGCTGCTTCGCCGCTGGAGATTTGAAATGCATTATGCTAGGCTGTATTCGCCTAGATTCGCCTTGGCATTTTCCCCTCAAAGTCCAGGACCTTCCTGAATCAATTGTCACGTGAGGCCGCTTCGCGGGGCATCCTTCAAACTGTTACGAGTCTATTGATATTAACTGAAGAAACTGACGATCAGCTGATGTAAATTCTGTAAATGACTCGGCCAAAAGATGTTCTCGACCCGGAGGTGAACGTTTAAACCCCTGCATTTGCTATGGTATGAGAGGAAGTACTCGATTACAGCTATTGCAGTCGCATCCGGAACTTAGACCATACTGCTAAGATCGGCAGGTGTTGTCGAATCTCATAGCAGTGCGGTCACCAGTGTGCCAGACGGATCATAGTGTACAGGAATCTGGGTAACTGGTGCGAGATATCGGACGGCTGAGAAGCAGGCTGTTATGAAAGGCCGAGTTCGCTGTTGACTTCGGCCTAAGCATCAGGAAACCAGAAACATCGCATACAACGTAATGCCCACCAAAAGGGTCGATTCTTGCAAGACTGATTTGTGACTCGTGAGGGCAATTCTCACGAGACTGGAGGAACCTTTGGAAGTAGGCTGGTTACTATGGCTATATAAGGGGAAGTTATCGGGATATTGTTAGCTGCAGTTTGACATTCTGCCGGATTCTGCCAGCCTATCTGCTCGGCAGAACCGGTTCTACCAAACCGGCTGGCAGAAATGGCGGACTTCTGCCCACAACACTACCTCCTTGCTGGTTCAGAGAATGTCTCGCCTGACGATGTTGTTACCGAATTTGCGGATCTAGAAGAATCGAAAAGACTGAAGAACTTGAGTATATTGAGATGCTCGAAGGAGATGCTTTTGATTTCGAAGAGTTGGATCGGGTCGAACAAGAAATAATACCACAGGCTATTCTGGATGAGGTTAAGGTGGTCAATTACAACGGCAAGGATGACAGAAGGGACGACGCAACTACATATAGCCCGGAGTTTTGCCTCTTCTGCAGGTTGCAACCGGCAAAAACTGAATCCAATCAGTTTCTCATGAGATAGCCTATACGTTCGTACCTAAACCATCTCGCCGAAACATCGAAATAAGGGTTATTTTTCGCGAGTATAAAAACAAGTCATCAGGATCTTCCTATACTTCACTCCAAAATTTTTAGAGCATCTCAACAGTTCATACTAGCTCGCATAACTATGCGTTTCTCCTTCCTCACCGTTATTGTTGCGCTGACAACATCTATGATGTCTGTCAGTGCGTGTGGACTTTTCGGCGACAAATGCACCGAGGACAATGACTGCTGCACAACAAAGCCTAAGTTGTTGTACTGCGTTAATGATGTAAGTAGGAGCAGTTTGCTTTGCATCACTTCACTTGATGACTCATCTTTTGGGCCTCGTAATATCAGATATGCTATAGTCCTGGCTGAGGAGGCCGGTGAATTTGCACGTAGCAACATACTGGTGGGTTGTGTTTCTATTTTCCTATTGATGCTGTTTTCAATGGAATAATATGCAGTTCGTTGCTGATTGAGAAATGGATCCTAGCAATGCCGCAAAGTGGATGAAGTATTTATGCACTTGGACTTTTGATCCGAAGTGGTTTGATCACATGGTACATTATCTCCGATCCAGCCACGAATATAAAAAGCTAGAATAAGGAGGATTGAGGGTTACAAAACCATCTTGTTGCAAAGATGGCAATGAGTTCGACCGGAATTATGATCGATACAAGTAAGCAGAGTCTGGTAGATGCAACCATCAACCGAGGCTTTGTGCTGAAAATCCTAGAAATGGGATCAGACACACTAGTTGGATTGAGGTATAATACCGCTTGCCTGCATGGGAACGCAAGGGCAAAGATCTGTACGGCACGTTACGGCTACCTTCGTATCGCTAGACCAGCCTGAGGGTGAAAGCTCAAGCTCGAAGTGCTAATTAGTGCAGGCCGTGACCCTGCACAAGCACCTCGGCAGAGGTCTACGCTTCCGGTTTTCCAACTGCACAAGTAAACGAGTGAAGCAGATGCGTGCTTCTGTTTTTCTATTGAAGCAAATTCTATTCCATCGACATGAGAGTAGATGTGGGAGTGCGTTACCGTGGGCCCTCCTTTTGAATAAAGTCATGACATACGACGCCGTAACAGTTCTGCTGGCAGTACTAGGCAGGAGTCACTGACTCAGCTTCTCACGGGGTGACCGGAAGGGATAGGTTCTGCCTAAACCACTGGCATGCCAATCGGAATTGTGTCTAAAATGCCAAGCATTATTTTTCACGAGAGGAAAAGCAGGCAGGCGTTGTATCTTTCGCTCTCCTTCGAACGACGGAATTAGAAGCCTCTGATTAGCAATTCCAAAATGCTTGCCGTCGTTAGTGATCACCTGACAATAGATCGCAAAACAGATTTCTCCATTTACTGGTATGATCTCAAAGCGCGTAGCTCGGAGAATGTGATCCTGCTCAATGAACTCGTGGCGATTGAAGACTAGGGTGCCATGGCGGAATAATGTCCAAAGTAAATCAAAGGTGATAGACTCGTGTCTTGCCAATGACTGAAGGTTGGCGAGGTGGTTTCGTGTTCCTCATGGATAAGGTGAAGGGCTACTTCGATTTCAGAAATTAGAGCAGTGTTTGGTGTGCCTTTCGACGTTTCCAATTCTAGTCGTTCCTCGAACTCTTTGCAAGAGAAAAAAAGCAGCTTTAGGTCACACTGAAATACGGAATTAGAATTGCATTGCCATGTTAAAATATTAAATGTTTAGCTTACGACAGGAGGGCTTCGCAAAAGATCTAAACCTTCCACACCTCGGTGTATCTCCATGAGCACCTCGCAAAGTTCTTGACTTCGGATGTCGATTTCGGTCTTTTGGTGTCGGCCCTTGCTGTCCATGACTCGTTCCAGTTGAATGCAGCGTGAAGGTCATCCACAATCCGGTAAAGATATTCCCACTTCTAGTTCGTCTTCATGTCACTTGGACCAGGAAGAGCTTCAACATACAACGACGCTGGTCAATCCGATGGAGATGGAAGATATCGACGACCGGTGACCGGCAATGTGAGCTTTTTCTTCATATTTCGATGATCAAGGAAACTTCCCTTGCCTGAATGATGTACTGTCATAAAGTTCAGATACATTCATTCCCTGCACCCATGAGATGATGATGTAAGGCCCGATTAGATGGAAGTGCTATATATTAGCATCTCAAGAGTAGAGATCGAGGATGTAGTATGACGGCACATCATCAGTACTGTTCGTCCTGTCAATTCCTCATGCCATCGAGGGTTTCTCTTTCCACTATCTGATAGCAACGTGACGACGTACCAGAAGGGCCTTTCAAAGTCAAGACTACCAGCACCTGTATGCGTGCCATGTATCTCCTTTGCTGGAAAACAATGAAGATATCTGTGCAGGGCGTAGAGCAAGAGATGGCCAGGTAGACCAAATGCTTCCGAGTCCGAATATTTGATTGGTGGTAGTATACCCTTTATCGAGATCGAGAGAATCGAGTAGTACTCGGTGACCAGTTTGCGCTAACAGGCTGCTGAGCTATGTCATGCGCAGATAGAATAACGATTCCAGTATTAATGTCGCACATTCTCCCGGCGTTCTGGTAGTCGACGGTGTTTAACACTGCATTGGCGACGAGAAGACCGGAAGAAACAACAACTCTGATTAATTGAACAATGTTCTGAAGAGAACTTATCTTCGTCAAGCCATCTCCATCCTTATCTCACTAGTGGTCCTGATCAATAGAACTTGAAATAAGGCAGCCTGTTCCTTCGAATTTGAAAGTCCATATATATGTATCTGGCCCGGGAATCCGTTCCCGATGAATTCGAAAGTACACCCGACAGTTATAAAATAACGAACATGGAAGAATGGCGCATCGTGGGGTTGGGCAAAGCCAACACATGTCGTCCAGAATGTTTCGCCTTATCGGTGTTTGCCTCGGAATCGGTGTCAACATGCTGCCATCACTGGGTGACTATCCATAGGCTGAAATAATGCGGAATAAAATAAGATAGAATAAAAAAGACCATATAAGGAAGTCGTGCCGCGATGCCGCTGTTCATTTGCGTCGGATGTTCAAAACATATTATTTTGAGGCTCTTACAAACTCTAAATCTAGAAGGGGGGGGGGGGCCCCCCCCCTTACAGATTAAATCCGTTTTGGGCCACTACGCCTAAGCTATCTGCTGACTAATCCAAGACTTGAGGTCCGCCTGACACATGTTCAGCATGGCGAAGGTCGCCACCTGATCCAAACATTTTCCAATATACGCAGTCCCATCCCTGAGGTCCCTGGCGAAGTTTTCAGCTGAAGTTTTCGATGTGGGTCAGGAAGTAAGTGGGCACGACAAAGGTACAGTCGCTTAGGGTTCCGGGTTTTGACACGATCAAGTTGAGCTAGCTCTATTCCAGTGACGAGGGTAGCTGCTAGCATCCTCGTGTCTTCTTCGTCGTCGAGAAAACCCATCTCTTCTCCGTCGTTCACCAGATTGTGGTACTGTAGTAGCAGGTCATCCATTGCAGTTTTGACCGAATTATTTTAATCCAGATGCGTTACGGTCGTGTTTTCTGTACATATTAAATTTTGCTAATATCTTTCAAAGTCCGTTATAATCTATTTCGCATTATTTTGCCTACGGATAGTCACCCACTGTAGTTGCAGTAGGTCGGAGGGTACACGAGTACTACACCGCGATAATAATAGGAATGGCCTTACACGTAGTAAGAACCGCTTCATGCCGTATATGATGTTCAAAATGCACAATCGAAAGCTAATCATTTGCAGTGTTCACCCACGTTCGCCTCGTTGATTGACTTTTGTAGTTGACTCCGATCTGCATAGAGACCTCATGTGCTCGGATCAGCGCAAAGCATGACTTTCAACCTGTTGAAGAGTAGGAATAGCCTTTAGTAGTAAGTCAAGTAGTATGATGCCGGGATCCAGCCGCTTACGTAATGGACGCTGGTCCCAGCACGAGGTCGCACTTTGAGATGAGTCTGATTGTCATCTTTTCAAGTTACAAGAAACAAGTCTCATTGTCATCGAGCAAATGGTGGCTCAGACGCGTGCAGGGAACTCTGCACCAAAGCGACTTGCTTTCAACGAAAAAATTGTAGGAAAAGGCCTTGCAACAGACGCGCTCCTCAAGAAACTCAAAGCTCTCCACACCGAACTTGCCGAACTCGACCAGGAGCTCGTCGACGTGAATTCACTATCCGCCGTCCGCACCCAGCTCGTAAACACATCCATTCTACTACACAAAGACAGAGGCGTCAAGGCCTATGCAGCATGCTGTCTCGCCGATATACTCAGGCTATACGCGCCCGATGCCCCTTATACCCATACCGAGCTCAGGGACATCTTCCAATTCTTTTTCAGACAATTATCAACTGGCTTGAGGGGCGCAGAGGCATCATACTACAATGAATACTTTCACCTCCTTGAGTCCCTATCAACAGTGAAGAGCGTTGTCCTCGTCTGCGATCTACCACATGCCGAGGAGCTTATGGTTGACATATTTCGCGACTTTTTCGGCCTTGTACGACGAGACCTTGCAAAGAAGATCGAAATTTTCATTGCCGATATCCTCGTCGCGCTCATCGACGAGTGTCAAGCGCTTCCGTCCGAGGTATTGGAGACTATCATGGCACAGTTCATGGCCAACGACGCGGTAACCATTACACCACTCGTTTCACTCCTACCTTCGCTTATCTTTCATTTACTCAGCAACCTGCATACCGCCTTGCCGTCCAAGTTTGTAATGCCACCGCGGACAAGCTCCAGCGGCACGTCTGTCAATATTTCACGGACATCATCGTCGCGCACTCCCATGAATCAGACTCCGAGTCCAACTTCGAGGAGATACGGAAGGCACACGAACTAGTCAAGCAACTGAGCAGGTCCTGTCCATCTTTGTTGCACAGCGTTATTCCGCAACTCGAAGAGGAGCTTCGTGTGGAGGAGGTGCAAGTGCGACTAATTGCCACCCAGGCACTCGGTGAAATGTTTTCAGAGAAGGGTGGGGCAGAGCTTGTTAAGAAATACCCTACAACGTGGAATGTGTGGTTGATGCGGAAGAACGACAAGACTGCAGCAGTGCGGTTGAAGCTTGTAGAGAGCGCTAAGGGTCTTTTGGTGAATTTGCATGATCACCGGGAAACTGTAGATGGTGAGGTTTCTCGTCGTCGTCATATTATCTGTGCTAACATGCAAATAGAGCTAATGAGGCTCAAGTTACTAGATCCTGACGAAAAAGTGCGCGCGGCGGTTTGCAAAGTGTATTCGCAATTAGACTATGAAACTGTATTGCACTATGTCTCCGAGGATCAACTACGTTCTATCGCTGGTCGTGGCATGGACAAAAAGGTGTGTAACACGCATCCTTTCTAGTGACTTAGTTAAACGACATTCCAGAATTCAGTGCGAGTAGAGGCACTTAATAGCCTCGGAAAACTCTACAGCATTGCATATCCAGAAATGTATGGGTTTGCCTCTTCATTGTTATCAAGCCTCCTGACCCCATCGACAGCGAGAACAACGATTCAGCAGCGATCAGACACTTTTCCTGGATTCCAAACGAGATTCTTCACATCTCCAACTCCACACAGGAGGCAAGGTACAACTTATACTTGTCCGCTGTATTTCTTGTTTTCATTGTTTACAGGCTTGCAGCAGAGCAGGTTATCGCAGACTTCGTATTCCCGCTCCCTTCTAGTTCCTCAGCGTCGACATCCAAAAACGTTGAAGTAAATGAGGTTGCTTGGACCGATCGACTATTGAACACGATGGGCTACCTCGACGATAGGGGGGTTAATGCCGTGCTCCTCCTAAGTGGCATAAAGGGTAGCAGGCCCTCTCCGTACGAGTTATATCTGCAAAGTTGTGTACAACATAATGTGAGCTCTGGCCTTGGCTGTAGTGGACCCTGACCTCTATCTTACACTTGGATTAGGGCGGTGTCATCGACGAAGATGAGGACACTGTGAAACAGCGACTCAACAACGTCATTCGCCACATTTCCCGTAAGCATCGCTACTTTATGTTCGCTACCGCATATTTGATCTTGTTGCAGGACAATTTGGGGATCCTCAGAAAGCAGCAGAGGATCTGCATGCATTTGCAAGGGCAAACGAGAACAGGTCTTACAAGTTACTGAAGACATGCTTGGATACCCAAACAGATCTCAAAGGACTCGTAAAAGCGTCTGTGAGTATCTATTATGCCCAAATTTAGACTCCGTACTCACACTGCATGAAGAATGAGTTCCTACGTCGGATTGAGTCAAGTTCAGAATCCATTCTAGGCACTATGACCGTGTTCCTTCGACGGGCAACGCTTCGCATAGTTAACCAGTCATCTATTCCAACCTTGATCAAGCGTGTGCAGAGAGCAGACTCGAAGCATGCACAGACGCTCTTGACGTACATCTCAAAACATTGCCCTGCTCTGTATAAGCCCCATACTAGCGAACTGACAAAAGCAATCGCGGACGAAAAGAACGTACGGCTCGTGGAAGTAGGTATGCAAGCACTCGCAGCAGTTTCACAGAGCGATGAAGCGTTAGCAGTTAACGATAAGTAGTGGTCCCTTGGTAATCTGCTCGTTATGATGCTTCATGTTGGACAGACGAACGCTGGAGCGTGTAATGCGCTATGTTTTGGGTTCAAATGCCCGTGTGGCGAAGTTCGCTGCCCGAATATTGGTAGCCTCCAAGGAACATGACGATCTGTGCGCCGAAGCTGTGGAGGTGAGCTTTCCGGGTTTGATTCTGACTGAGCGTTCACCTCAGGTCTTCTAGTCAATAGCGAAGAAGTTGTCAACAGCAGAACCTGATCTACTTGTTGCGCATACCGCCGTTCTTGCCCAATTTGCTCGGTTAGCGCCCGATGCATTCGAGCGCAAGAGCGATGTCTTGATGGCCTTTCTCGTCAAGAAGTTACTCATGGTACCTAGTCCAGCGGATCCAGTGCGTGGTGATATCATTCTGTAGGCCCAAAAGACGATGATTTGCTGATATGTGATGCTATAGGACGAGATGGACTCAGATGCCGATTGGGTGGAGGAGGATGATGTCCAACCTAGACTTCGCGCTCGAATATTAGCTCTCAAAGTGTGCCGCAATCGATGTCTTGCGCACGCATCTACAGATACAGCTCTTGAAGTTGCCACTCCCGTCCTGAAGATGTTGTCAACTCTGCTTGATCATGCTGGCTCGTATTCAGCTGACGCAACGGACGAGTCAGTGTTGCATGTCTTATTAGTGCACACTTTACTGACTCACGGTTGATTGCTGACAGTCCGAAGGTCAAATCACGCATGCGGTTACAGGCTGCGATATCTCTTTTACATCTTTCTGTAGTAGACAAGTTCGCGACTGCCATCAACACAAATTTCATCTCGCTAGCCATTACCGTGCAGGTAGGTTTGAGCCATAGATCAATTTGCACAAATTAATCTAGTACAGGACCCATGCTATAATGTTCGCATGGAATTCCTAATGAAGCTTTTTCCCCTCCTTACTGCACGCAAACTTCCCCCGCGATACAATCTCATACCCTTTTTGACTGTGCACGATCCTGAGGCGGACGTTAAGAACCGAGTTGGTGACGTCCTGCATATTATCGTACCTCTGTCTAATACTGTTGCAGGCCATCTCCTATGTTACACACGCATCACGAAACATATCCGCAAGTGAGTCCTGATAGCAGTGCATCTCGAGCGTCATTGACAGACCTGCCTCTCCTTAGCTGCCAAAGTCGACTGGTTTGAAATTATATTCATCCGCTTACTTCATCTTCTCGCACATCATCCTGATTTTTCGACTGCACATGAAAATTTGCAAGAAATGGCCAAGTAAGCTGTTTTACCTGTGAAATCCAAGGGGGCATCTCTAGATACTGACATTTTACATAGATACATCGATTTTTATCTGGATTTAATAGCATCTTCTGATAATGTGTCCCTGCTTTACCACCTTGCTATGAAAGCGAAGACTGTTCGTGATGGACAGTCGCATACATATAGCGAGGTTCGTGTTTTGTCTATCAAGTTTACGATATTAATGATGGTGCTGCTTTTAGAATCTTTACGCTATGAGTGAACTCACGCAAGAACTTATCAAGGCCCGTGCGCAAGCACGTTCCTGGAGTTTGCAGAGCTATCCGGGAAAGGTAAAACTGCCTTCGGATATTCTCCGTGCACTGCCAAATCCGGAGGCAGCCACGAAGGTCATGGTCTTTTGCATAAATTGTTCAAAAACTGATTGGTGGCCTTTTTTAGATCTTGAAGACTGTTTATCTTCCTGAGGAAACATCGGCCTGGCTTTCGGAATCTTCCAGAACACAGAAGCCTGTGGGAACTTCCAAAGTAAGCTTCCAGGGCAGTGGGGTGTTGAGTGCGCCTGATCATTTGCTACGATAGGAAAAACGGCGTGAACCTCGAGAACCCAAAGACTCCAAATCCCCTCCAAAAAGGAAGGCGTCACGGCACAGGGCCAATGGGAGCACCAAGTGAGGGTTCTTCATCTTACAGTTATCCAATGTATCTGATGGCGGGTTCAGGCGTGCAAAGACAGCTCGATGGCACAGTGACCAGTCTGAATCCGAGGAAGAGCCGTCCTCGGACGATTCAGAGCAAGATGACAGGGAGGACACACCGACCAAGCTGAGCTCGAAACATGGAGACGGGTCTAGTGGACAAGAGAGCGACGACGAGGAAGCGAACGAGACAAAAGGGGAGCAAAATCGTAAGCCAAGTCGTAAGGCAGGGACGCGTGCAAAAGTGTGTTGAACCTCTCGTTACGCCCTGTCGAGTCTGACATTACTCTCACAGAGGAAAATCAGTAAGCAGGTGAAGAAGAAGGGTAATCACACGAGAAGATCATGATTTTTTATTGTCTACTTTGCTTACTTACGCCCATTGATTTTGTGCTGTAGTTTTGTCTATCTTGCTTACTCGTCGTGTACTGCTTTGCATCCCCACAACGTAATTTGTAGTTGCACATGAGTAATCTACTCCCCAAGCTGTGTCTTCGAAATGTGCATGCCGAACTTGCCGAGGTCCATCTCACGGTGCACGAGTGCCTCCACGGGTCCATAAGGTTGATTGCAAGTCAAACGTACAGCAAGTACACAAGTCTTCTGGAATAACGTCAAAGCACTCCTCACGCGGTCACCGTGAGGCAAACGCAACAGCCTCGTCCCTGAACCTCATATACCCTCCAGGCTGGCCTTTAGCGACTTGGACACCACCAGCAAATGGCACCACCTATCCTAGCACAAAAGGACAAGAAACTATTTGCTGATCTTCTAAGCCAGTATGAAAACCGACAGCTCTCCAAGGGTCGAAAGACGGCCGATCAAATACTCAAAAAGTATCCTGAACATGGTGGTATGTCAATCTGGACTGACGCTCGTACGTTCATGGCTGATTCGCAGTGCTGCAGAAACAATGTGTATGAAGGGTCTGATTCTGGTGCACCTTGGCCAACGTGATGAGGGCATCAATCTCGTCAAGGAGGGCATGCGCAAGGACCTGTCTTCTCATATCTGCTGGCACGTCTGGGCGCTCATCCAAAAGAGTGAACACAAATACGAGGATGCACTCAAGTCTTATATCCAGGCGTTGAAGTTTGATAAGGTGCGTTTGATTGATAACTTGCTTGTTATGACGTGTCTCAGTGCTTGAATGAAGGACAATTTCAATATCCTGCGAGATACTGCTGTCCTTCAAACGCAGACGCGTCAATTTGAAGGCCTGGTAGAAACACGTCATAACCTCCTCCGCCTGCGGCCTTACAACCGACATCACTGGGTCGGTCTCGCGGTCGCATATCAGCTTAATGGAAACCTCGATGAGGCGAAACAAGTTCTTGAACATATTGAAGGGTTTCTTCGGGTACGTGTGTTCATATCATTCTATCTGCTCACCCATACATATAATGTGTCTGCAGAACATAGGAACTTCCAATGTGGAATTCTCGGAGCTGTTGATGTACCACGTTCGCATACTAGAGGATATGGGCGACTTCCAATCTGCGGTCGACATGCTCGAGTCACATGATAGGGCCAAGGGCGGCTCTGTCCTGGATCGCATGGCGAGCACGGAGATGAAAGGTGTGATTACATGTCGCTTATATCTTGAGATACCTCATTCTTTACAGCTCGTTTATTGGCAAAGCTCAAGGAAAGTGATGCAGATGACGAGAAAAAGACTGCTTGGACGGAAAGAGCAGATGCTGCTTGGCGCTGGCTTCTGTCACAAAATGCTGATGGTTATGAGTATTACAAAGGGTTCCTTGCTAATCAAGGCATCGACCTCGGTGAGTGCCATTTTTGACGCTTTCATCTGGTACATTAAGTGTTTTCCAGCCAATGTCACGGACGAAAATCGAGAAAAGGCGCTTGAGATGCTTCGTGACTACTCTAATGTCCAGTTTGCTACCGCTCCGCGACGCCTGGCTCTTCATGTGGCTACTGGACAGGAATTTCAGGATCTCATCAAACCCTACCTGACCAACGGGCTCACGAAAGGGATTCCATCCCTCTTTGCTGACCTCAAGCCGCTGTACAAGGATTCGGTCAAGCGTCAAATAATCGAAGATATCGTGGAAGAGCTTCGTGGGACCTTTGCTACCTCAACTGGCGATTCTGTTCAGCCAACAACCTACTTGTGGGCGCTGTATCTCCTCGCACAGCATCATTCCTATCTGGGGCGCCACAAACAGGCCTTGGAAATATTGGACATTGCAATAGTACATACTCCGACACTGCCAGAGCTATATATGACACGCGCCCGCGCGCTCAAACGGGCGGGTGATCCTCATGGTGCTGCAAGGGCCATGAACGATGCTCGTCTGTTGGATGGGCAGGATAGGTTTATTAACACGAAAACGGGCAAGTACTTGCTAAGAGCTGGCATGGTTAATGAGGCAGACACTATATTCTCCAAATTCACGAGGGTGAGTGTGTCACATATCATGGAGATGTCTTCTTGTCGTTCATCCATTTCTGGGCCTAGGGAGGGGCGCCTGCAGGGGCAGATTTGGAGGAGATGCAGGCAATGCATTACCTTGTCGAGCAGGGCGATTCATATCGACGAGCTGGCAAACTCAACCTTGCTTTAAAGAAGTATTATGTCATACAAAAAGTGAGCCCTTAGTTTGTGTCATCGTCTGGCCATGGAGGCTTGACTCTCGGCAGGTCTTCGAATCGTTCCGTGAAGACCAGTATGAATTCCACCAGTATTCTGTACGGAAAACGATTCTCAATGTCTACACTGAGTCAGAATTGTATGCCATGGGTTTGATTTAATTGGCTGATAATATGCTTCTCCAGGATGTTGAAATGGGAGGATAATGTGCGGTCACATCCAGGCTTTATCCATGCAGCAGTTGCCACCGTTCAAGTGAGTTTTTGGCATGCGTATATGCAGTCAATCTTCTTATGTTTCTGAAGATATGGGTTGCATTATACGACGACGCGACTCTCGGCCCCAGTCTTCAACCTCCAGGCGAGTAATGGGTTGCGGTTTATCATCCTCGGCTGATCGTGAAATTTAGAAACAACCGGCTCAGACGTTTCCTCCAAGAAAGCCATCAACAAGGCGAAAAAAGCTGCTCGTAAGGGACAGCCTGAAGCAGACGGTGCAAACAGCAAAAAGGGTGAATCAACACGTCGTTCTGTAACCTTCGCATTGTCTTCTTTACGCAGCCGCATTCTTTCCGCAGCCACAGCCATCCAGCCCGAGGACAGAGGCCTTGAGCCGCCCCGTCCGAGAGACGATGATCCAGAAGGCCTGAAACTGGTCTTGGCCGAGGACCCCCTCGAACGCGCAGACAAATATTTGACGGGCCTATCGGAGCTTGTGCCACAAAATATGGACATTTGCTTTGCGATATATGATGTCGCTATTCGACGAAGTAAGTCGAGCGTCAAAGTCTGAAGCCAGGGGATAAATGCCTGATTCGACAACAGAGAAATACCTGCAAGCTGTTAGGATGCTCGCGCGCGCGCATTCGCTGGATTCAGAACACCCTGGTTTGCACTCGCGGATAGCACATTTGAGGAACACTGGTAAGATTGATTACACGTTCGCGCTGTTATCTGACAGGAGTCCCAGTCTCGTCGTTGCCCGAGCCAATTCCCGTGCCTGTCGGACCAATACTTGCTGAGTCCATTGCATCACTGCTTCCAGCAGAGGTTTCTCTTGAGTTGTTCAACTCTCAGTACCTCCAGAAACATTCTTCATCGCCGATGGCTATTGTAGCACATGCTAAAGTCGCACAAATATTGAAAGCACCGCAAGACGAGGTTGACTCCATACTATTCACAGTACTGAAGGAGCCCGTCCAACTTGATCACGAGGTTCGTGTCCACCCCTTCCATGTGGACGAGCCATTTACATACTGCGGGCAGGCTGCATTTGCAGTGCTATCGTACTTGAAGGAAATGAAATCTCCACGCGCTGAGGAGTTCCGGATAGCGTGCAATGACAGATTCGAGCTGAGCACACTGTTCAGGAGCGACGAGGAGATTGCTGCTCTCCAGAAATCTTTCACGGAGTCGGGGGAGTCTTCGGCTGATGGCGAGGCCCTTGAGACTGTTATATGATTACAGATATCACACCTACGTACAATGCTGCTTTATCTCAGACCCAAACCTCCAGACTTTGAGCTCGTTCGGAAGCCCCATTGAGAGTAGCATCATGAAGCTGTTGTTTCGATGTGTGCCCGAAGACACAATCTTTCATATATAATGAGTTGACTCACTTTCGATCTGTTCTCCGCTCATCTTTCTCTCCCATCGTGACAAGTGCAGTCATATACGAGTCATGAAATCATCAGCAATTGAATGACTTCAAATAGAAGAGGCCCAGCTGAAAGCTTGGGGCACCAACGCCTCGAATTTGGATCACATCCATTGATGTCTTTCGAGATTCGGGACATCCAACACACGTAAGCACGAATACTTGCCCAGTACTGGTATTAATCGCCAAGTACACGATAGGGGGAAATATAAATACCCCCTATTGATTCTACCCACAACTGCATCAATGGCTACCAACTCCGAACTCGTTGATGGCAGCAGTACACCTCCGGCGTATGACACAATATTCTCAGCAAGCCCCATTCAATGCGATCAATCATCAGTATTTTCCTCTCGTCGCATGAAGAAGAAACGAACAGCCGTTCTGTCCCGCATCCGTGATATCGTCTTAGGCCCTGATTTCACCCCTTCTTCTGTGGTTCCAAATGTCAATGCCTGCGCTGCTGCCCTCCCAGCTGCCGAGTTCTCCAAAATCCTGCAAAAACGCAATATCGAGGGCCACACAGCACTGTATTGGGCGATTGTGAACAATCGGCCACAAGCTCTTTGGGCGTTGAGGAAGTTCATTTCCGGTCATTATTCCTCTGTTTGTGAGGACGACTTACACATTGCATGCATAATAACTAGCGACCATGCAATTTTTAGCCAGCTAACTCTTGGAGTTCGTAAGTAATACTACCACATGAACGTTCATGGGAGAGGCCGCAGTCGCGATGCTGATTTGGATACTAGGAAACGAAGACTGGTATTTAGGTTGCTCGCCAGATCGGATTCAGGTACATGCATGCGATGAACCCACCAACCAGTTTAACGTTGTTCTGCGAATCGGGATGTTCCAAAAACGCCTGCGCGTTGCTACTAGTCGTCGTGCAGGGTTGAAATACAATTTTGTTGCGGGGGGTGTGTGGTCTATGTCTCTCGCTTTGTTCCTTCATCGACCTGACTCTAGCACCCTTTGCAGGACGCATATGGTTGCTGCACTTCCACATGCCAGTGCCTACTAATGGAATATGGCGCGTCGAGATTGGTCTTTGTCAGTATAGTCTTCCAGCGCGTTTCAACGCTGTACTTGTGATCGAGCCGCACAACCGGAAACCTGGCACTGGTGCAGCCCCACCTGAAGCACTGAAAATTTCATCATCATTGGCGAATACAAAATCTGTGGCCCTTGCACCCTGGCTGTAAGTTGTATTTGGTGCGATTCCATGAATTGTGGTGTACTGATTGTAATCTACAATAAAACCATTCCCGTTGGCTACTAAAGAACCCCTGACGGTCGTTTCATTCCGATTTTTCGCTTGAACATGACATGGAGCATATCGAATAAGCTGGGCGACTGGGTAATGCACGAGTAAGCCTGTTTACCGATCGACTTACACTTCCCCTGACGTCGTACTGTTATAGTGAGACGGAATATGTAGATGCTGAGGGCACTCTAGATGCGAAGCTGGAGATGTCATTGTTATGAATCCAATGTTAATAGCTGAGGGCACACTGTCATATTTATTCGTACTAGGATAGTAACAAACAAGTTTTTCATACTCAGCAAGGATCCTTGTCCCCCACGTGCTAACCCTCCCAAAATCGTAGATTCATTTAACTAACCTCTTAACCGGTTAATTATGTATTTGTATCTTCATTTTCTAATCCGCCGTCTTAGCTGTCTCACCACTTACTCACCACCTCCGCCGCTGGATCGACAATGATAGACTCCACGACAAACATTGGGGCGCCGAGATGCGGGACGTGAAGTTGTGGGAGAACGAGAGGTGGGCTCCGGGCCCTTCTTTATCCTCCTCGTTCAGCACTAGTGATGCCGCAGTCCGGTTCTGAACTTCGGTTCGGACCTGAACCCTCCCGGACCGGACCGTGGGTTCGGTCCTGGGTTCGAAATAGTATAAGGACCGAACTGATTATTAAGTTCAGCGTTCGGCTGCTGCCTGAATACTGTGAACCCGTTCGAACCCGTTCGAACCCGTTCGAACCCGTCTGAACGTGTTCTCATATTCTTTGCATGATCCACCAATATATCTGCTCTGATCTTCTGGCAACCGGCATGTCGATCGATCTCGGGACAATCAATAGCGGATCGGACTTCGCAGCCAAAACACCCAACACATTTCCATTGGCGAGATCTGACTTCCCTGGTAATCTACTCGATGTTCTGGTAAGCCTAATGTTAAACAAATGTTAATCTTTATTCAGACTTCAATGGTCTTTATTTTCAGAACATATTCTCAGGTTTCTCGTTCTGGTACTTCAAGCTTCAACACCAAGTAATTGCATGGCAACAGGATGTTCAAGGTGCGTCATTTTTTTGATCTCTTATCATAAAATTTGGAATAAATGAGCTACTTACTACAGGTTCAATCTTCACCCTCCTTGCTGCACAAATGTCGTGCGCACTTGGATCTGACGGCCAACTCAAGGATGCTAGTGCCATCGATTGGTACAATGATCCTGACGATGACACGCCCATGCTTCCTCCACCTCCACCTCCTGCATCCAATGGCAAGCTAACTGCCTTTGTGTCTCGCTCAGGCCGAGCTGTTAAACCGACAGAAAAAATCCGCGATGCTGGCAACACGACTCCAGCCAAACGAGTGGCTCCAGCGCCTCCCCAAGGACAGCCTGCACCCAAGCGAGTGCAACGTGGGTCCCGTCTGGTCCGTCACCATGATGACGATGACGACGAACCTCCTGCACTAGAGGATTGTTCAGATGATGAAGAAGAGGCCGAAGACAATGACGGGGAGGAAGCTTACGAGCGGACCAAGGTATTTGGAGACAAGGACCGTGAGGATCGCAAGCATAAGAAGAAAGAGGAGCGCAGTGGGGATTTGAAGGTAGTATTTACTCAGGAGAAGGGACGCATCAATCCGCACACCCAAGAACCCGAAGATGGCTGGTGGTGCGAGATATGCAGGTATGTTTTTACTTTTACTTTGAACGTCACACACATAACTAACTTTGTCAATTCAAGAGCCAATGATGTACCCACCAATCAGTGCTTTTTCAAAGGCAGTGTTTCGACTCGCCGCACCCATATCGCTCGAAATGCGAAGTGTCACTTTCCAATATACCGCGACCGCTGCAAAGAACAAGGTATCAAGATGCATGATCGGGCGATACCTCCTAACTGCAAAGCAACCGACGACTTGCAGAAAACGTTAGATGCCTCCCTCACGCCTAAAATTCCTGAATTCACCAAGACCGGTCTAATGGATTACATTGTTGAGCTTATCGTGTCTGAGGACGAGGTGAGTGTTTTTTTTTGTAATCGTGACTTAGGATGTTCATGCCATAGATAGGCATTCCAACTCGTTGACAAGGGACCCTTTCGCCGGCTCCTTCAATACCTCCGGCCTTCCCTTTCAGACAGGGATATTCCTCACCACACCAAAACTCGAGATGAAATTCTTGAACGGGCGCAGCTTGCCGTTCAACGTGTCAAGGAGAAACTTAAGCAAGTTGATAGCAAGATTTCGATCACGTTCGACTCATGGACCTCTGAACCTGGGGTACCTTTTCTCTCCGTCACCGCGCATTATATTGACTCCCCAGCTGGGAAACCTCATGAGTGGGAGTTGAAGACAGAGCAGCTTGCATTCACCATCATCAACGGCAATCACAGTGGGAGCAACATTGGACGAATCCTGATTGAAACTATCAATAACTATGGCATCCGCACTAAGGTTGGATGGTTTACAGCTGACAATGCTACCAACAACGACACAGCAATTCAGACCGTCGCGCTTGCTATCGACCCTTCCGGCAAGAAATGGATTGCTGGGGAACACCGTGTGCGGTAAGTGAACTATTTAATATCGTGATTTATATATATTGATGTCTACTATTCAGCTGTATGGAGCACGCCTTGCACTTAGCTGCGAAACACTTTGTCGAGGAGGTCGCACCCACACCAGCAAGCGTGCTCCTCAAGAACATGGCCGATGAAGATGACGATGATGAAACGACTGATTTCGAGGTTGCCGACACCGCAGGAAAAGCCCTCGCACTTGTTACGCAGATTCGGAAATCTCCCCAAGCACGCACTTTTTTTCAACAGTGTTGTGTCGAGGTCAATGAGCCGAAGCTTGAGCTTTTGAAATGGATTCGCACGCGATGGGCCTCACTCTTTGGTATGTTGGAGCGCACCCTTAAGCTACGCAAAGTAAGTTGGTTTCTATCCCTATGCCCAATACTAACTCAATTTGATCTGCCGCAGGGGGTGAATAGATTCATACAACTGGCGGATGACAGTGACGAAGTCCCAAACTTGCAGGGCAAGTCATATGGAGCATTCAAGCTTTCAGCCGAAGAATGGAAGAAGTTGGAATTGATGCACGACGTGCTTCAGGTATGTGCGAGTGTCCAGTCGAGTCTCAAATGTTGTATTAACCTACTGTATAACCAGGAACCTGCCAATGCACAACAATCGTTTTCGGCGACTCGTGAACCTACTGTATGGCGCGCAATTCCAGTCCTCGAGTATCTCCAACAAACTTGGCAAAACATGGCTAGTTCTTCGAAGTTTGACGACTTTTCATCCGCAATCAACTCTGGCCTCGACAATATTCGCAAATGGTACCACAAGATTGACGAAACTGATGTTTATTTTGTTTGCCTCGGTATGTGTTTTATTTACTATGATGCCCTATCTAATGCACAATGTAGCGCTTGATCCTAACTATAAGGTGGCATATGCGAAGGGTAAATGGGAGCCTCACGACTTCGACGAGGGCATGAGAAGCTTGCGGAAGGTTTTTGACAAATATTATCATCACAACTCCTCGCCCGCTGCTGCAGAGCCGTCTATTGCAGCTCCTGCCTCGCTTGCTCGCCATGGGTCATACGGCCATAGCTGGATGCGCGATGCTGTCAAAACTCGTGTCGCAAATGACACCGCAAATCGAAGACCTCGCCAGGAGCTTGACGACTACCTTGCTGCCCCATTAGAGGATGTTGAGAATATAGTGGCGTGGTGGGGTGTGAGTTTTTTCGCATCGCATTTCCTTGCAAGTTGACTCATTATGCCTTTAGCACCATTCCGTTCAATATCCCACCATCTCACGCATTGCAAAGGATTACCTCGCTATTCAAGGCTCTGCCGTTGCATCTGAACGAGCCTTTTCGAGTGGCAGCATCACTGGGACTGCGCGCCGTAATCGTTTGTTGCCAACAACATTCGAGGCCCTTCAGTTATTGAAGAGTGGGTACCGTCAAGGCCACATTTCTGCAACGGTTCAAGCTGAGTTTGCTGCTGCTCACGAACACTATGCCATGGACGAAATTTAGCTACTCATTTACGGTTCATGTATTTCTTGCAATTTTTGTCAAATTATATGTAGCGTTCGAGCGTTCGAACGCGTTCTGAACTTGAACCGAACGCTTGTGAACGCGTTCATAAGGGTCCGGTCCAGCGTTCGCCCTCCTTGCCTGAACGCGACCGATGGTCCAGTTCGGCGTTCGCATTTAGAGGCCTAAGAACCGAACCGAACCGGACTTCGGCACCACTATTCAGCACACAGGATGATCTTGATGCTGTGGGGTTGGAGTTTGATGTTGGAGATGGGTCCGGAAGTGCATTGCTTGGTGCTGGAGCTGGGATGTGGAGCAATACAAATTTGAGGCCTGCAGATCGCTCGCCACGGACAAGGGCGAGGGACGGTTGGAGTGGGGTGGGTGGGGAAGTGAGGTGCGTGTTTTCTTAACGGACTGGCATTCATCACTCAATTTGAAATCGCTACTAACTCCATGCGACCCCAGCAGCAACCTCACGTTCTCGCTCGCACCAGGCTGGGCATTCGTAGAAACTGAGGGCTCAGGGGTGGAGACCGGACGCACTGGGGAGCTGGGTCTCTGCCTCTGGTTCTAATTCTTGTTCTGCTTCTGGGAGTGGTGATCCTATCTTTGGGGCGGATGACAATAAGTTTTATGCATCTCTATCCTATGATACGCTGAGCCTTATTGCGATTGATAGTCAGACGGCTGGGTGTACACGAATGATGTATGGGCAGATCCACGTTGTATACCTCTTGGGGGCTGGAATAACAATGGAAGGTGTAAGGAGGGATCTCAAGGGCATGTTTTCCATCGAGTTTTTAACGAGAGATTCTCTGTCGGGCCCCTACTTGAAACACTAACGGTAGTTGAAGTGAACTTCGGCTGACGCTTTGTCAATAATGTCTACTGAGCGTGAGTGATGTGTGTGATATGGCAGGCATGTAGAACTTCTTCTAGGAACATTAACATCATGACAAGGGCCAGGACGAGCAGGCAGGCTGCCACAAGTCGTCCTCGCAAATGCAGAAAAACGCGCACCGCGCAAATAATAAATGTGCAGGTGTTACCCCATATCAGGGGAAAATGTCAGTGACTACTACTTAAGCTTGACCCCTATTCCATTCATGTTTACCACCTCATCAATGGCTACCAACTCCGAACTCGTTGATGACAGCAGTACACCTCCGGCGTATGACACAATATTCTCAGCAAGTCCCATTCAATGCGATCAATCATCAGTATTCTCCTCTCGTCGCATGAAGAGAAACGAACAGCCGTTCTGTCCCGCATCCGTGATATCGTCTTAGGCCCTGATTTCACTCCTTCTTCTGTGGTTCCAAATGTCAATGCCTGCGCTGCTGCTCTCCCAGCTGCCGAGTTCTCCAAAATCCTGCAAAAACGCAATATCGAGGGCCACACAGCATTGTATTGGGCGATTGTGAACAATCGCCCACAAGCTCTTGAGGCGTTGGACAAGTTCATTTCCGGTTATTATCCCTCTGTTTGTAAGGACGACTTACGCGATGCATGCGTGATAACCAGCGACCATGCAATTTTTAGCCAGCTAGGTCTCGGAATTCGTAAGTAGTACTGTCAGTAATGTCTATGGGAGAGACCTATTTGGATACTAGGAAGCGAAGACAGGCGTTTCAGACGCTTTTTAGGTTGCCCATCAGATCAGCTTCAGGTACATACCTGCGATGAACTCACCAACCAGTTCAATGTTGTTCTGCGAATCAGGATGTTCCAAAAACGCATGCGCGCCACTGCTACTAGTAGTGCTAGAGGTGATACAAAGTTGACGTACGAATTTGTTGCGGGGGGTGCATGGTCCACGACTCTCGCCTTATTCCTTCATTGATCTGATGCCACCTTGCAGGACGCATATGGTGGTTGCGCTTCCACATGCCAGAGTTTATTAAAGGAATATGGCGCGTCGAGATTGGTCTTTGTCGGCATAGTCATCCAGCGCGTCTTAACAGTGTACTTGTGATCGAGGCGCACAACCGGAAACCTGGCAGTGCAGTCCCACCTGAAGCACTGAGAATCCCATTATCATTGGCGGACACAAAATTTGTGGCCCTTGCACCCTGGCTGTAGGTTGAATTTGGTGTGATTCCATGAATTGTGGTGTACTGATTGTTTTATAATCCACAATGAAACTATTCCTTGTGCTCCCGTTGGCTACTAAAGAACACCCCAGGGCAATTTATATCCTTCGAACATGGCAAGGCACATATCGAAGGAGCTGGGCGATTGGGTAATGCACGAGTAAGTCTATTTACCAATCGAGGAAGCATCTTTCTTACACTTCCCCTGACGTTGTACTGTTATAGGAAGACGAAATATGTAGACGACGAGGGCACCCTAAATGCGAAGTTGGAGATAAGATTGTTCTGAATCTAATGGTAGCAGCCAAAAGTCTGCATTGAGACTATAGTCGAGCAATGCAAACGTTTTGTATAAATTCCGCATTCTTTCAATGCTCCGCGTGATGGGCAACTGAATCATGTCTCAAACAACATCCTTGAAGCGCTCGTTCTTACTGGCATCCAGGGACCAAGACGGACCATGGTGAGTGTAGGCTGGATGGTGCAGTTGGGCTGGCCGGACGGCTGGAGGTGCGCGGAGAGGTGCTGGAGGATGTACACGGCCATCATTGGAGCAGGGTGGCGCTGGCGGCTGAATGCAGTTCCGGGAGCGCCTCGAGATCTATATGTTTAGTAGAGCAAAATAAAGTCGTGGCACGCATCTGAACAGTCGCAGTCCGGTCCTAAGCTCGTCAATGCATTAATCACGACTTAACAGGGGTGATTCAACAGTCAATGCGAGGCTTAAATTACTCAACAGCATACAAGAGAATTCGAACAAGTTACATCAACAACTGGCAATATTGTTATGAATGCGTGCAATCGTGGACACCTGGTGAACTCGAGGGAATGGATAAAAGAGGTCGTCATAAAGATAAAGGATCTACTCGTTGTCTTCTTCCTCTTCGAGAACTTCCTTCGACTTCTTTGCCTTGGAAGCTACTTTTACTTTCTTGGCAGTGGATGCTGGCTTCGAAGCAGCGGGTCGCTACAAAGAAGTTTAGTCAATCCCTTTGGAAGGACAGAAGCTTGCCCACCTTGCGCTTCTTGTTAGACTCTTCTGCCTCCTCCTCCTCCTCTTGAACCTCAGCAATCGCTGCTGCAAAGTCTTCACCGGATTCCTCCTCTTCGTCCTAGAAATCATGCAAGGATGAGTCCGCGCAGAGCAGAAACTAATTTCATACATACTTTCTTCTTAGGAGCTCGCTTCTTCGCTGGAGCCTTCTTCTCGGCCACTTTCTTCTCGGCGGCAGGCTTTCTCGTAGGCGCACGCTTCTTGGGTTTCTCCTCAGACTCTCCCTTATCTTCAGCGTCTGACGAAGCTGCAGCTTTCTACGACGAATAAAGTGAGACCTGAGATGTTGAGCGTGCTGAAAATATTGTACCTTTACCCGAGGCTTCCTCGCAGGAGCCTTCTTTGGCTTGTCTTCAGCATCCTCATCTCCCTCGTCCTCCACTTTTTGGCCTTTGCAGGTGCACGTTTCTTCTTTGGCTTCTCACCATCCTCACCACCTGCGTCTTTCTTGGCTTTTGCTGGTGCCCTCTTCTTGGGTTTCTCTTCATCTTCCTCGGCCTCTTCTCCAGGAGCTTTATCCTCGTCAGCAACCTTGCCTTCGTCCCATGCTTTGCGAAGCCGTTCTTTGTCTTCGTCTCTGAGGTCGTCGAAACCATCGAGTTCATCGGCGGATTCAAATTGAGATTTCATGTTGGATAGGATCTTGGTAGTCGTGCAACCCCAATGGCGCCATGCACTACCAAACGAGTGTTAAAAGGCTATCTTTAAGTATGACATGTCACTCACTAGCTAGTGTTCCCCCTGAAATCGACAACAGACCCAACACGAAGCTCCCCTTTGGCGATTGGACTACCTGTAGTTAATGTTAGGTGATGAAAGAGATTATTGCAATTAACTGAGCGCACCAGCGCAGGGCTTAGGACCTGCCGATGAAACCATATGAGCGACACACAAAGTCAACAAGTAACATGCCATGCCACACCTTTACATTTGGATCTGGCAGAACTCGCGTATTCGAGGCGATAACCGCTCTTTTTAGTGGTTCCCTCGTTGTCAGACATCACTGAGAGTGTCGAATCTGGGATATTTCAAGTTGGGAAGCGAAAGGAAGATATGTTGGGTGGTTCGTCTCGACGCGACAGTTTTGTTGAATGGCCCTACACCTTCAAAGTCCGACCATTGTACCTGCCACACAACGCACGGACCTGTATGTTGACCGCACGTTTATTGTTGATTGTATTGTGGAGACACTTCGACAAGAGCATCGCGGTCTTGGGAGAGATTTCCAGTCAGGCTTGTTTGGACAAACAGAACTCAGCATTTCACATGTGGCGACTGGTACTTAGGTCTCAATTAAAATCAACTCGAACCAGGCGAATTTAGAGACGGACAACGTCCTCCAAACAATTTTACAATAACCCCTCAACAGTCGCTGGTGGAATGACCACCGTACATTTTTAGTTGGAACACTGTGATGTTTTTTATTTTATTTCTCACTGCTATTTAGCATCAGCCGAAACTTAATTACAGACGTCGGACTTGTATACTTCAAGTTTCTGCAGGCTGTGTATTCCTAAGGTTAGGGTTTGTACTGTGGATTGACTCTGGCGCGGTCTGCACTTCACTACAATAACTTCGTCACGGCTTACTTGCGAGATGCATCTGTGGTATTGTAAGAAATCATCTAGCTCTTTATCATCGGTGTGCATACATCAGGAGACAAATGTTATAGGGAAGTCTGAGTCCCTGCTGTACCTTGCTTTCCAACTTAACCTAGTAGATCGTCATCGGGATCATAGTTGAAATAATTACCTTGCGGAGCAAGGTCTATCTCAGTGGAGCGTACTAATAGGTCGCGCAAAACATCCACGTCTTGATTCCTGGAGATCAACAAGAACGAGTGATAAGCATGCTTGACGTTGTCTGAGACATTCCGTTGCCTGCCACTCACAGCATCGGAATTTGTTGTAAAGTTCAACTATAACCTCAGTGCAGGCTTTTTTTTAGTGAAATGGACTTCAATTACATTGATTAGCTGTTACCATTGGATTCATAACAATGTTATCTCCAGCTGCGCATTTAGAGTGCCCTTGTCATCTACATATTCCGTCTTAATACTACAACAGAAGTTCTTGACATCCACACTCTCAGCCTGCTCCTTCTCCTGGAGGGAACAAGGTGTTCGCCACACAAGTGCAGCAATCTCTGCAGCCGCAGGACGTTCCTGGTGGCTACGAAAGAGCACACTTCCGCAAGAATCTAGGCCTACCCTGAGATCGGGTATTGAATAGCCTTCAGCGTCTTTGAAGTGTCGCATCCGAAGCATCCTGCAGGCTTGCAGCCCCAACTCAACACATTTCCCAGCCCAAGCAGCTTATGAAAACGCACCAATGTAGAGCTGCGCCACCCCAACGCCATTGAATTTGATGCATGGGGACGATGGAGACCAGGATATACTATTAGCGACTCGGATGATGAAGATGGGAGTACGTCCATGATCAACTCAGAAGACGAAGAATGTCACCATGACCGTATCAGTGTGATCACCGATTCTGATCAGCGTTCACCTTCAAGCGGTGCCTGAGTGAGCGCTTGGTTCCTTTTGCTGTTCACTACCTGCCTAGATGCGAGCAAATGTGAGAGGGCTGTAAAATGTGCTACTATTGCTTGCTGCATCGTGTAGGCAACAGTTAGTTGGGCGTGAGGGTGCGAGACAACGGGAGGGCACAAGGGTGCAGATAACGGGAGGGTGGAGGCACAGCACATAGTCGAAGCAGAGTGGCGCGTAGTCGAAGCAGAGCGGCGCACCGGAGTCGACTCAGAGCAGCCCGGAGTCGATACAGAGCAGCCCGGAGTCGACCCAGAGCAGCGCAGAGTCGACCCAGAGTGGCGCAGAGTCGATGGAGAGCAGCGCAGAGTGTAGAAGCTTAACAACCAAGTGAGTCTCAGCGATCGTGACAAGCAACGCTGAGGTGAAACGTACGCGAGAGACTTTAAGTACCAAACGTCAAGATGTCCGAGAAGGAAGAAGCAACTATAGAAAAGGTAGCACGAGGTGACGAAGGTGAGGTGCCATGTACCGAAACGGAAAGGAACTCGACAAAGAATCACCCGGAGTTTAATCCTCCGGGACTCGTACCGCATGCTTTTCGTTTTTATCGTCAACCGTCAACACAGAGCAGAACCATGCCGCTATCATCAAAGAACCGATGAGTCCTTGATATGGTAGCTGTGGGAACTGTAGGCCGAAGTCTGTCGTGGAAATGATCACCCAGGCGATGCTGGGCTGCTCGCACCACATCTTGGCGCCGAGGGCATTCCTAAAGAGAAGAAGGGATATCAGAGTCGACAGGGACGGGGACCACGTAGATGGTTCTTTGGGAGTGGGGCCCGCCCGAGTGAGGTTGCCGAGTCCGATCTGCAAGAGTTGCTTCAAAAGCGCATTCGTGGTGTCGCTGGTGTCGGGACTAAGATCGGACTCCATTGTGACGATGAAAGACGTGCTGACAGCGGAGAAAAGACCAGACTGATCAAACATCATGCATCAGTCTCAGAACGCGTCAAAGATAAGCACGCTAAACCTACGAAGATCAATATGATGTCCATGTCAGTAGTGTATCGCTCGAGGAACTCGTCGTCGTGTTCCTCTGCGACTCTTTTGTACACCCCCCAGAAATGAGACCGATTGTCCTTGCCAATCTTCGACGCAATGGTCGAGTCCTGGAGAGGCGCCTGCAACCACCTCGAACACGTGTATGACATTGTTGTTGACGCCGAGGGTATTAGTGAGCGCATCCTAAGTTGTGAAGATAATGCATAGCCTCAGAGGGGTCCCGACTCTACGTTATGAACCAGTCTAGTAACTGTACTGCTCAGATAAACGATAAACGAGCTTTAATTGGCTGACTATGCTACCACATATAGAAGTGCCTCGTTTTCCGTATTACGTACCCGGTGATCTCACTCACAACGAGCACTCCCTCCTGGCCTCCACATGAAAGAATATAAAATTCACACCCTCTTACAAAAATATGACCCCTATTTCAATCTTCCCACCAACATCAATGGCTACCAATTCCAAAGTCACTGATGACAGCAGTACACCTCCTTCGTATGACACAATCTCAGCAAGTCCCATTCAATGCGATCAATCATCTATATTTCCCTTTCGTTGCATGAGGAAGAAACGTACAGCTGTTCTATCCCGCATCCGTGACATCGTCTTAGCCCCTGACTTCATCCTTTCTTCTGTGGTTCCAAATGTCAATGCCTGCGCTGCCGCTCTCCCAGCTACCGAGTTCTCCAAAATCTGACACAACTCAATATCGAGGGCCATACAGCACTGTATTGGGCAATCGTGAACAATCGGCCACAAGCTCTTTGGACATTTATCAAGTTCATTTCCGGCGCGAGTCCCTCTGTTTATTCCGACTTGCGCATTGCTTGCATGATACCAACGACCATACAATGTTTAAGGAGCTCACATTTGGAAACTGTAAGTAGTACACAGCAATGTCCACCGGAGAAACCACTGATTTGGATAATAGTAAGTGACAGGCGTTCGAGATGCTTTTTAGGATGTCTACCAGATGCAGTCCAGGTACATCCATGCGACGAACCCACCAACCAGTTTGATGTTGTTTTTCAAATCAGGATATTCCAGAAACGCCTGCGCACCTACAAAAGTCTGCACTTCGAATTTGTCGCAGGGGGTGTGTGGTCCACGTCTCTCGCTTTGTTCCTTCATTGATCTAATGGCATCCCTTGCAGGACGCATATGGTGATTTCTCTTTCTTATACCAAAGTCTAGCAATGGATCATGCTGCGCCGTTATTGGTCTCAGTCAGCATAGCTATCAAGTGCGTTTTAAAGCTGTACTTTTGATCGAGGCACATAGCCGGAAACCTGATCGTGCAGCCCCACCTGAAGCGCTGAAAATTTCATTATCATTGACACGGACAGAATTTCTGGCCCTTGTACCCTGGCAGTAGGTTGAATTTGTTGTGACTCCATAGATTCTGGTGTGCTGATTGTCTTATGTTCACAATGAACTTCATTCCTTGTGCTTCCGTTGATGTCTACAATAGATCCCCCGAGGGCATTAATTTCAAGCCTCCTCCCAAAATGGCTTGGAACATATCCAATGAGGTGGGCAATTGGGTATTGCACAAGTAAGTTTGTTCATCAATCGAGGAGGCATTTCGCACTTCTCCTTAATCACTCGAACTGACTTGTCATTGCGCTGTCGTAGTAATACGGAATATGTAGATGACGAGGGCACTTTAAATGTGAAGCTACAGATAACATTGTTATGAATCCAACTAGTCAATGTAATGGAGTTCACAACATTGAGCACGCTTGTCGCTCGGTCTTGTTGGTTTGCAGCAATTAAGATGGATCACGGCGAGTGCGTAGGTAAAGGGTGCTGAACTGGATTACTGTAATTCCCTCGATACTTCTATTGGTTCTATGATAAAGCAATGCAATAAAGTGACCGAAGACCTTCATTCCCCCGAACTCCACAACATCGGGAACCCCAATCCATGACCCTCCGAATGTCTCAAGAAATAATCATAATCAATGTTAACTGCCAGACATTAATATCCAACTCCATCAAAACACTCGAGCTACTGACCTGCTGCCGCAAGCACGAGCTGTAGCCGCGTAAAAGACAAGAATAAGAAAATGACAATGATGAAGTAACCAAGATATATTTACCGCACGCTCGTCAAGAGTGAGATTCCTGATCACTGTGGGCCGCTCTGGCGTCTCGGATCCGTCTTGGCGCGTGGCGTCAAAAGTCACGAAACATTGTCCTATCAACTGCAACACGCCACCATCGCATCAGTAAGATTGGCATCTCAGGTCATGGCATGTTCATAACCTGTATCAGTGAAAATCTGCGAAACCGTTGAGCTCCTGAACGATATTTTGAAGCGCAGAGAAGGATATGGGCATCTAACTTACCTCTCTTCCAAAGCCGCTGTTGACTGACGCACTAGGTGTCTCACGCACATCAAGCATGTTAAAGTGCCACGCCCCGAGCTCCTCATCAATCTTTGCGAATTAGGTGAATGAATCTATCGGAGGCTCAGGCTGGGCTTAGAGGTGGTAGAAAGAATGCGCCTAGGCTGATCACTACGACACGACCGATGAAACGCAGGAGGGACTGGCAGGGACACATCAAACAGCAAGCGAGCGGAGCGCAGACAAACGAAGATACCACCCTCGAACACTTGTATAGGTCACAAATCATGTAATACAGTGATGGAATTTGGATGGAATCGATAAATGTGTGTCCTAATATGCTGCATATCACTATTAGAACGTTGTAGATGATCCAAAAAGTACGTATTCCAAGGCTAGTAGTCTGCCCCCAAACTATAATTGTGAGGGTGGCCATCAATGAGAGATTTGCAGAGACGCTGAAGAGAATGCCGACAGAGAGGTAGCGCCGGTCGGAGTGTTGGTTCGGTTGAAACGAGATGCTAATAAGGGACATAGGCATCAGTGAATTAACTCGAAAATTTTAACTCACTTGGATCTGTTGTAAAGAAATGTCCGGTATCATGAGGATGGTACAGGCGCTGTAGATGAGTGAGGCAAATGACATGAGTGCCGTTACGATGAGCGCTGTGTAGGAGGTAGTGGACGGTGTGGTTGGAGGGTGCTGAGTGACTTCGACCGCCTTGCCGCCCGTACACGAACATCCTTCCAGCGGTCAGCATGCAGCTCGAGTCCTGCTGCAGCGAAACTCCCAGAGCCTTGCTGATCACAAACCGTACAAATATTGCCCGCACGGCCGCGCGCACAGCAGAGAAGGCCACCAGCGCGGCGGCGGAGGCCAGCGCATTGGCGGCTGCCCGAGCGGCGGGGGCTGCCCGAGTGGCGGTGGTTGCCCAAGTGACGGTGGTTGCCCGAGTGGTGGCGGTTGCTTGCACATCGTTGGCGGTGGTTGCGGTTGCCTGTGCATCGGCGGCGGTTGAGGATGTAGCGTGTTGCACATTGGCCCTGGCATCCAGCTGGTTCTCAAGAATCTCGACATCGCTGCCGGTGCTGTTGGCTGCCACCTCTGTCTCCGTCTTCCTGTTGTCCTCGGCCTCAGGTCCTATATCGGCGGGCAGTGACCTACTGGTAGATGCTTGCATCGTTGAGGCTAGGGTGTGCTAGTATGATGAAGAGAGGGAAAGAGCCCCAGACCCAGTGTTCCACGTGATATTCTACAAGTGACGTGACCGTGACAGCCTTTCAAAACATGTCCTGTATGTTTTTGATCTTAAACTGATAATTCTTGAAGCAAACAAGTTTATCTGGGCCGTGTACGTTAATCCTTTCCTGCTCTGCAATGCTAGAATGATTAACACTCTCAAAGCTTCATGGCTCAACTTACTTGAGCACGTTTTCACGGAGACACAACGTTTGGTGTAATAGCTACCTCCGTTGGCGGTTTGATTGGCATGATCATGTGGTACGTCGCAGACTCGAACAATCTTTCGGAATTCTTCATTGATGCGCAGGTATATTTTCGCAGGGAACAGCCGAGGCAACCCTTATGGACTGGCAGCTGTATGTGCGGTCTGCTACCCGTCATTTTTCTTTGCACGATTGTATTGGCCTATCGCGCCCATGACGAATCTGATTATATGGGTCACAATGGAATTGGTATAATTTGGAAGTTTGCATCTTTGAGTGAATGAAACTGATGGTTTGGCATAGGTCGTGGGGTATTTATATGACGACGCTCATCTGACTGTCTCTTCGTCGCCAGGGTGGGGTATTGGTGTGGCTTGGGTAAGTCTTTGTATGCTTTTCTCGATATCTTGGCTGACATTCAATAAAGTGCCGCTTTGTACTAGTCACCGTCGGTGTCTTTGCTGCTGGGTGAGGCTTATTTTCTGATTGCACATTTAACAGTCATTGATCCTGATGTCAGTATTTTCTCCCACTTCCCTCCATCGACTACTATTCGTTCGTATCAGCGGCGAACACTGGCTATAACATCGGCTGAACTTGGATCGATCTACTGTTCGGTCTTGTCTTATGCGAACTCACGTGGATAAAGACAGCACCATCACAGTCCGGAGCTTGTTAGCCATCCGCAACAAAGTCAAACGATCGCTCGTGCTGGATAATGTCATATATGATATGAATACTAACATTCCGGATATCGACCCCTCACATATATTGATTCACTAGTTTTCACTGTGCGGGAAATGATGATCTGGAACCCGCTTGGGCTCATGCCTTCTTTCGCCGGACCCGGATGCTTGATTCGGATTTCCAAGGCGATGTACTCGCTGTCATCAGTGTGTTCTGTGATCATACTCTTTTATCCGCGATAACCTTATGTTCTCTTCCCAGGTCTGATATCCAATGCACTGCACACGGGTTCTCCTCTGCCTCAAATCACCCCATGTCATTACTCGACAGGTTCATGCTCAGGCATCATGGTTTGAACGTAGTGCATGAAGAATCAGAAGACGATTATGGCTTGCCACGCACGTTTACCATGGAAACGTTGGAGAATCTGCAGTACCTGTGAGTCTGTCATATCTTTTGCATTCTAGAGCTTGTCACGCCTTGTTTCAGAACATTTTATGTTGGCGTTTCCACTGCCTTTGGAATCATTATTCGATTCGATCGTTTCATGATTGCTGCTAAAGAGCTGGTCGGCGAGCAGTATCATATTAATATTGATGATATGGGCTTCTCTTCATCTTCCTCGGCCTCTTCTCCAGGAGCTTTCCTTGCTGTCTCTGGGATATCCTCGTCAGCAACCTTGCCTTCGTCCCACGCTTTGCGAAGCCGTTCTTTGTCTTTGTCTTTGAGGTCGTCGAAACCATCGAGTTCATCGGCGGATTCAAATTGAGATGTTGGATAGGATCTTGGTAGTCGTGCAACCCCAATGGCGCCATGAACTGCCAAACGAGTGTTAAAAGGCTATCTTTGAGTATGACATGTCACTCACTAGCTAGTGTTCCCCCTTGAAATCGACGACAGACCCAACACGAAGCTCTCCTTTGGCGATTGGACTACCTGTAGTTAATGTTAGGTGATGAAAGAGATTATTGCAATTAACTGAGCGCACCAGCGCAGGGCTTTAGGACCTGCCGATGAAACCATATGAGCGACGCACAAAGTCAACAAGTAACATGCCATGCCATACTTGGATCTGGCAGAACTCGCGTATTCGAGGCGATAACAGTGGTTCCCTTGTTGTGAGACATCACTGAGAGTGTCGAATCTGGGATATTTCAAGTTGGGAAGCGAAAGGAAGACATGTTGGGTGGTTCGTCTCGACGCGACATCTTTGTTAAAAATCTTTATTGCTGTAACAAATCAAGATGGACCATCCACAGGCAAGCGGACTGCTAGGTGGATGCGGGTCACACATCGTGCGATATAGTAATGGTGTCTATGCTAATGTGTCCTAATATGCTGAATACACTGCATATTAGGACACACATTAGCAGTCCAATGCTGGCAGTCTGTTCCCAAGCTATAATTGTGAGGGCGACCATGAAAGAAAGAGTCGCGAAGACGTTGGATAGGATGCCGACAGATAGGAGTAAGAGAGGGACCCTGATTCCCTCTTATACTAATATCTGTCGGCATCCTAACAGGTTGAAATTGCACGAGAAAACGCCTGCCGCAGTCGTGACGCTTTGCCATAGGGCCATGTACAACTAGGTATATGCGCTAGCGGAAGAAACACTAGGGTACATAAGCACAAGTGTGATACGAGTGAGAAGACAAATACACACCTCAGTATGCGTGAAACAATAGAGGTGTACTACGAGCCAGCACGATCTATATACGAAAGATAAGGGGAGCTTAGGTAATGAACCGGCGAAGGGAGTAGCGGAAATATTGTATGGTCAAGAAGCCTAGAAGACGAGTGCGCTGCGTATGGTGTCGATGGTGATAAGGACAAGAAGGTAATACGATGTCTAAAAGGTGAATCACGTCAACGACCATCAACATGAGCCTATGACTATTTTCTTTTTCTCCCTCTCTAGACCGCTCGAGCCTGTGGAGCACATCGACGTTTAATGGGCGGACATTCTTCGGCCGGCAGAGAAGTAACTACAGCTTCGGATAACTCGTCTGCAGACTCCAAAGATGTAGCATCAGTGTTGTCACTGAATAAGGGGTCGCGCTGTCAATCACATAAGTTAGATATCTATCGAACTGGCATCTGGCATGTTCAGAACCTGTATCAGTGAAAATCTGTGAAACCGTTGAGTTCCTGAATGATATTTTGAAACGCAGAGATGAGATATGGACATCTAACTTACCTCTCTTCCAAAGCCGCGGAATGCCCTGTTGACTGACGCAATAGGTGTCTCACGCGCATCAAGCATGTTAAAGTGCCACGCCCAGAGCTCCTCGTCAATCTTTGCGAATTGGGTGAATGAATCTATCGGAGGCTCAAGCTGGGCTCAGAGGCAGTAGAAAGAATGCGCCTAGGCTGATCACTACGACACAAGTCTCAGGAGTTGGTACCGACAAAACAAAACAAGCGGATGCATTGCATTACCGAAGAAAGAGATGGGATCGTCTTCGCCAAAGATGCCATTCCTGTTAGACTTCTGCGAATGTATCTAAAACAAGCCCCCCTTCTGGTGTATACTCGTGAAGGTCTTTTGATCGTTGAATGAACATGCGGGAGTTTATCCAGGCGAATGGACGGCGAATCTATGGGATTGGATGAATTTATTATGACTGGGGAGGAAGTGCTATAGACCGTACCCAGAGAATAGGTGATCCGTGGAGGTCCATGACTAGAGCACGAAACAGACGACGGATGCAGAAGATCTGCCTGGCAAACATCGACAGGACACCTCGTGGCTCTTCAGCGATGCAACCAAGCGGTTCACCAGCTTCGTTCGCTAATCGAAAAAAAATGTTGATGATGGATAGTGGACAATAAGACTCGAGCATCACGTACAAATAGTATGTCGATTCGACTGTTCAAAACCCATGAATATGCTCAGCATTTCAAGCTTCCTACAATCATGAAAAATTAGTTCGACGGTCATCTATGCGGTTCAATAAGAAAACGCACCTTGTTATTACCAATGTATTATTAGTTAGTAACAGATGCTCCAAACCTTCCTCCGGGTTACTGGAGGGCGTTCTCTGGCTCGCATCCCAAAGCTGCGAATCATCCGCAGAGGACCGTGACACGTATATAAATCGTAATGATGTAGAATCATATGTCTCATCCTGAGCGGACGAAACGGTTCCTTGGGTGGGTTTGCGTCCTGAACTCGGAGCCCTTCCAAAACCGGTCCTTCGGACCTCGGTTAGGAAATCAAGAACCTCGCTGAAAAAGATGGTGTGGTGGAGGAGAGCGACGCATGGGTTTGGGTTAGTGAGCCCTCTACGACCTGTCGAGGCTAGTAGTCCAATCTTTTGGATGCAACGGTTTACCAGCTGAATGAGTTCATGGCCTGAAAGTGCTAGCTGAACGCGTAGTGCCTTGCCGCAGGCCCTGCAATCCTCGCTGACTAATAACGGTCAGTGAGACATTGCGCAAAGATTAAACATACCTTTCGTGCTGTTCGTGCTGCTCGCAGTGGAAGTGTTCGTGGTGGGGATGGTGCAGCGTGAATACTCCGAGACTATTAAGGGAAGGGTACAGCTGTATAGTCATCATAAACTCGTCCCAAGATTTCTCTACAGTCGTTGGTTACAAATCAAGAAGGACCGTCCACAGGCGAGCGGACTGCTATACAGTAAAGGTGGATGTGGGTCACACATCGTGGGATATAGTAATCCTGTCTATGAAAATGTGTCCTAAAAGGCTGGTTATGGTGACCAGAACGTTGAAGACGATTTGAAATATTAGCAATCCAACACTGGCAGTATGTTCCCAAGCTCTAAATGCAAGGGCGACCATGAAAGAAGAAGACACGAAGACGTTGGATAGGACGGCAACAAAAAGTAACTGAGGGAACACAGGTCGAATTGTTGGTTCGGGTGGAACAAGACGCTAAGAGACATAGGCGTTAGGGAATTAACTCGAAAATGATACTTTGACTTGCCTGTATCCCAGGGATGATGCAAATGTTGTACACAAGTGAGACTAGTGAGAAGAAGGCTGTTACTACAAACGCCTTGTGGGAGGCAGTAGATGTCGAAGGGGGCTGCATGATATACGCTGCCGCTATGAACACGACGGAGTTAGATAGGACGATCGCCAACAACATTCGGTACATCCTCAACTGCCTTTCCGCCCGCACGAGAAAAGTTGTCCAACGCTCTTGATGTTGCACCTCGACCTCCTCCCTCTTGGCCTCGGCCCCCTTCTCGACCTCTGCCTCAGGTGTCTCCTTGCCTTTCAACTTCTTATTGGTGTTGCCGGTGGACGGCGGTGACTTGGACACCGACATACTGGTAGTTGGATGCATTGTTGTAGCCTTATAGGGTGTGTGGGCACGGCGGGCAACGTGAAAATGGCGCGAGAGGTTGATTGGCGGGAAAGGTTGACTGGCGGGAGAGGGGAGAGGCTGATGCGGTGGGATGGCAGGAGGCTAACACTAGATTATGACATAATATAGGGCGCAGCTATTTTGACGCGGTCCTGCCGCACCTGCCTGCAAGTCCTGCTTCCTTGGAATCCTCGAACATCCTTGTTTCTAGTGCGGTCAGACACTCGAGGTCGACGTCAGCCACAAAGCTGTTGGTAGGATAGCTTATCGTGAGATCAGCCCAGGCCATCTGCGCGATAATAAGGGTTTCTTCTCTAGGCCAGAGGAGACAATGCTTGGTAAAATAAATTTATTACTGCCTATGGACAATTACAGTGTACGACGTCTAATTCTGTCAGGATGAAAAGGAACACTGTTAGAATATCAATATGACAGATCTAAAATAAAATATACCTAAGTTATACGGATAGTGTGACAGTTGAGGTGGTGACACCGGTGAGGTTTGACGCGGCATGTGGAGGCGGTGAGGTCTGACGCGGCATGAATGAAGTTTAACGCGGCGTGACGCGCGGGTGACGCGGCATCATGATGTGCTATGGTTGACGCGGCACTAGGATAGTAGACCTTGACGCGGCATGGAGTGTGGATGTTGATATTAGTACAGAGACTGCGAAGATATATGGGAGAACTTGTCGTGGTGTGAGCGGTGCTTGACCCAGCCTAAACGAGGCTTCCGACATGCCATGGTTGGGGCTTGACGTGGTGGTGCAGAGTATAGAGAGTGGATCGAGGGTGAGGTCGAGGCTTGACGCGTGACGTCTGAAAACCAACATGGATGAACGAATTAGAGGTAATGCAACATACAGGACTGACGTGCAAGATGCATACTAGTAGTGTGAACAGAGGACAAGCACTGTAAATTTGGTGAGAGGTGAATACAGCACTATACTATCATAGAGCCTGTACGGGAACTGACATTTTCATTTTACCACCTTTTGCCGTGACCCCGTCAGTGAAATTACATTCTAAAGGTAATCTAGGTGCTCTGGAACGCTCTAGCCAGGTCCAGATCTTCTTGTGATCGAAATATTGCAAGAGGTAAAATGTTGAAACCCCCAATGTGTCATCACAGCAATTTGAATCACACACTCCGAACGCCTCTTCGTAATTCGCGTGCTCATTCCACTGTTTCGTGCCCACAAGAACACCGGCGACTCGAGCTCAATACACGACGTTTCCATGAAGTGTCTTCCCAAAATTTTATCTTGAGAATGTGGATGCTTCCTCTGAGAAATTTGCGGACGTATATGCGGAAGACTCGGAGTTGAGCCTTGGTGGGGAATTCAAGTGCGTAGCGTTGAGTGTCTATAACTTTGTCACTGACCTATTCTATACTAGAACGGCCATCGTACATTGCATACACGAACAAGTTCAAATTTATCAAAAGGCACTAGAGCAATGGACCAAGTAAAATCTTTCACACCACTACTCAACTATCTCAGTGACGGCGAGATTGAACGTGGTGAGAAGGAGAGGGAGACAGAGCTCACCAAGCACGGGAAATAGAATACACGAGGATGGGCGGCCTCAAGGCATTGCTTTACCTGATCGGGAGCCATACCGTACACTTACCTTCGGGTTCCCAGAACTGGATGCTGCAACCCTTGCGTTGGCCGCCATGAACGCGCCGACTTCGAGACGTGCTGCAACCGCGGCCGCTTCACTCACGGTTGCCTTAGAAAATGGCACGAGCATCATGCCACTGCAGCTGCCTCCCCAGCAGATCATATCTACTACTGTCGCTGCTGGAAATGAGAAGAACCTGAAGGATCGTTCAAGTCGCCTTCGTATCCTTCTTCCGTGCTCCGGCCTCGTGCCCAGGTCACTGCTCCCACACCGTCAACAAACGGTTGAATCGACGTCGATGGCGCCTTCATCGTTTCTTAATACTGAAGCACCTGCTTCCTCGGTTAGTATCCCAATTCGCGAGCCGTCGTCAAGAAAGCCAAGGAGCTTGGATTCGTTCGCTTCAAGAACAATACCCAGATAACAAGTTCGAAGCAATCCTGCGTCGACTTGCCCTGCGTGCTATGTTTGAGTGGAGGATGAAATTTGTGGACTGTCCCGGCAAGGTTCGTCTGCACCCTTGAGCTAAGGCAGGCTTAAATTGGGTTTGTAGCTATATAAGTTAATTGTGGGCCTGGGGATCACGCTGCAGAACTACAAAGTCCATCTTAAAAACTGACATGATCACTTACAGGTCCATCGATGATGATTCGGCGATTCCAACATTCGACTGTAACCTATAGGAACTGTATCCGAATATGGTACAGAAGAGTGCGAATCTCTTATTTCTCCTGAGACTTGGAAGCCGGGATCTCGTGCAGCTACCGTCATCGATGCGTATCAGTGTCAAAACAGTAGTCGGATTGTCACCGCTAACAACCTCACGCTATGCACTGAACCAATGCATACCAATGACAACATCGTGCAAGCTACTTCAAATTCCACGTCGGTGGCGAACGAGCATTTCTCATGAGTAGTCAAGATCTCGACAGCCCATTCACCAGGCTGCAAACGATGACCGACATCAGAAGACACAAGGGCATGAGGAATAATGAACTCAAATGAGACTCTTAACAGGAAGGGGCCCAATGAAGGCCAACACTAGGATACAGAGATTGCGAGACAAGGAACGAGAGGCAAACGCAAAAGGGACACACAAGACAAATGACCGCCAGCCTACATTCCAGAACGATCACGGTCGCCTGGATTGGACAGATGGAATAATTGCACAGATTTTGCAGGATAAAAGTGAAAGCTATGAGAGCCTACTCCCTAATGGTAGCGGGAAAAACATAAAGTGGGTGATATCATTCAGCCTTATGCCTTTCCTGCGGCAGCTGCCTTGGCATCCTCTGCGGCAGCGACCGCAGGGTTCACCTTCTTGCCATCTTTCCACCGAATGCGTGGGGGAGGGGCACGGTTACGGCGGCCCTCGCGTGATCGTACACGTACAACTAGAAGTAACAGACGAGATTCATAGGTGTAACAAGAGAACGTTCGAGGATACGCACCATGCGAGTGAATAGCGCAGGATACACAATATGCGATTTTGATATAGAGTTTTGGAATCACGTATTCTAGCGTCGTTACAAGAATATGAGACCCCGTATATATGGACGATGAATTCAGAGGATCGCACCTGGGTAGACACTAGCTTCGCTGATATCTCGAACGGCCGCGCTCTCGACCATGTTCCTCACCGTGAAACGCTTGATAGCCTTATCTTTTGCGACGCAACGAGAGCAGTTCGAGCAACGAACGAAACCGACGTGGCCACGGCCCTTCTTGTTACGGCCGCCATTTCTTCTTTTCTTGGTCTGTCAGGGAGAGGTTGAGTCAAAGCCCTGTATATGCCATGTATCTGAAGGAGGTGATGCCAATCCGTCGCATCTCCGAGAAGGAACAGACAGCGACTCGGGTATACGAGATATCTGAGGTTCCGCAAGTGGCTAGAGGTGACTTACCATGTTGCAAAGTGTCGAGGTGTCTTGAGGTCGTCGGACGTTGCTTGTCGTCGGTAGCCTATAGCCCAAATTCAAGCCACGGCAAGTACCGCAAAGACTCTCACGCTGTGTCAACACACCAAACCTGCCCTAAGTTGACTGGTGTTATGATAGTGAACCCTAACCCGACTCCCAGAGACCGGAAGCTTTCCATCTCATCACGCAATGAAACACATCACTCCACAATCAAATCAGAACGAGTGCCGGTAGTTGAATCTGATGATGTGCATGTCCTTGGAAAAATATGTTTTGATGCTCACATCTTGTTCAGAATACGGACATGAATAGTTACGTGTGCTGTATGAAAGTAAGGTCCAACACCGGCCAAGATAGGAGAATTATATTGGACTCGGGAGCGAATCGAGTTGCCACGTCAAGGAGCAGCTAAACCTAAACTGGGCAACTCAAGCCCGGTCTCTACTGAGGATTCACTGTCATTGTGTGTGTTGTCTATTTGCAGTAGTGCGTGGACGTGACGACCTTGATCCTACGCATCCGGAGTGTGTGTAGTTCCTTTTATGCCCTTAATTCGGCGTCGCCTCGCTTACAAGAACAGTCAATCAAGGTGATGTGCGGTTGCAATGACGAGAATGAGGGCATTTACAGCATCAAATGGACAATAGTGGACTAGTACCTCATCGGCGTATCACCATCTACGAGGACGGGTATGAATGACATGTCAACGTTCAACGCTCAAACTCTAGCGGTCAAATGGACACGCAGTTTACGCTCGAGTGCGGTGTCCGTATCTGTATAGCCTCTGAAGACGCATTGGACGTGCATGTGAAAAGTCGTAATCTTCAACCGGAGTTAGTAGATGATCGGTGAGGTGATGCTCCACAGCATTCAGATACTAATCGATAAGCAATCGGACAATTAATCGCTACGAAGGCACGGGTCCGAGTCGGGGAGTAGGAGTCGACGATGTCCGTGAAACGTAGGCCTAGGTTGGCACTGGGTCAAGTTCGAGCGAACACGCGGAAGCCAATTGAACAGTGCCTCGACGCCTGGCCAGCGCTGCTTCATGTGGGACCATTCAGAAACCTGTTCTGCATACATGTGATTAGCATGGGTGATATTACGAAAGAGCCAGAGTTCCATGTGCCAATTGGCTGAACTCGAACTCACATCATGATGATCTTGAAACTTGACACGCGGGGTGCGAAATAGAAGACTTTCCCAAATGAGGTAATTTTAGTATTCGATCGAGGATGGCGATGCGTTATACGGAAGAGCGACGGGTGTGCCGGGTCCGTGCTCGTACGAATTCTAGAAGTCGACTCCACGAGTAATTTTTTTCGAAGCGAGTGTTCGAATAATCGATCAGGTGCCACGTTAACAGGACGAAATCAGGCACCCACTGGTAAATGCTTCATGGCGGCGTCACATTATTCTCCCAGCATCAGCGGTGACCGACGCTACATGAACTGCGACGGTAAGGTCAACTCCGTACGACACGGTGACTGGTAGAAAGTGCTTTTGGGGAACCTGTGCAATTGGCATCCCGACGGCACCCAAAACAGGTATTAATCTTACCATAGTAAGTGATCATCAATATTTACTAAAGATGACGATGCGTTACTGTCGGCGAATTTATACAGCAACGACGAATCGCGAGGGCTCTGAAACTGTGTGGAACGTTCAATTGATTCAGGAAGTCAGTTTGCGCGTCGAGCCCATCGGAGAATGCACCGTTTGCTATATTCCAAGTCATGTAACGTGTCAGTCGGCGTTTATGGAAATACAGCATACAGGATCGACTACTACTAGGGCCTGATGGTAATCTGTCATCGATGGTGTGACCTCTTTGGTCGATCCTGAGGAGGCCAATGTGGCCCACTCCGTTTGGGGAAAATCGCCCGCTCCTCTAGAGGATCAGGAAATGGAGCAAGGAAATAGAAATATCCCTAGTAACCGGAGCGTGGCCTAGCCTGGAAGATCCAGAGCAATAGCGGCAATACATAGGCCGGACCCATAGTCAACGGTGAGGACTACTCAGCATCTTTCTGGCTACTACGTCCACCAGCGCGATCTCGGGTAACTATTGACGGGTGCTCATGCCACCACCGCCTGGTTACGAAACTCCAAGTGGATAATATTATTATTTCTTCCAAAATCCAGAGCTCAAACGCCGGACCCGGGTAGAGAGAAGCACTCACTCAGCCACTATTCTGACAGTATCGAAGCACTTCGGACATGGGGTCCTACGATGATTTCAGACCGTAGTGACCAAACAAAAAGGCAGTGCCAATCCGGGGGATTCAATATACGAGAGCGATTGGGGCACCTTGTAAAAGACCCTTGATGCGTCTTTTGATACTGATGGCCAATAGTCCATTTTAGTCAGGTTCGGTACAATTAGCGTGACGGAGAGTGACGTAGACCTGACAGCAAAACCCAGCGGTGACCGGTGACAGGTCAAAATGTTAGTAGCTTCAGCATCCAAAGCGACGCCAGCCTGTGCAGGGCCGCCTGAAGTCAGGGGCGACCCTTGACCACAAATTGACCCGGACTGCACGTGATTGTTTATGCCTGTACAGCCCAGTAGACGGAGATAGCCCAAGGCTCCAATCACATGAAATTAGTAATGTGAGTTGGAGCCATGGTCATCCAATAAGCACTTACCATTCCAACTCTAGGCAAGTGATGAATTAAACGCCTCCAAAACTTAGCAGACGCCACTACTCACTGTTTAAAATCACCAACTAGGGTCGTGGCCACGGATACAATTATAGCTCCATGCTGTAGATGATGATCTTCGGTCTCACGATAAGACTTGTATGAATTAACGGATATATATATAAAATGAAATGACTACGAGTCCTAGGATGACAACTACCGTAGCTAGTGCTTGTGCCGACAAACAAGGGTGGTATTGTGCACAGCAAGCCCGCCGCGGTAGAAGCAGTTGATCGTGGGAATGATGTCTAAATTAGGAAATCGAGGTTTCTCCTTTGATCTCGGAAAGAAGTTCACTAAGTTCTGGCTTCAGCCGAGTACCATGGAACGTGAATACACCAAGCGACTCCCTCCCGATAAAGATGGAGATTAGTTCTTTCAAATTGTTGACTTGATCCGCAGACCATGTCAATATCTACAACCTGATATCAAACTACAAATAGCCCTGGCTTCACTCCATTCCATCTTCCCCACCATCCATTCATCATGACTTGGAACCACCTCCCAACTGAACTCCACTTGGCTGTTGCTCGCTTCCTCCCTCCCCGGGACACCCGTGCTCTTTCACGTACCTCTCGAACCTCCTATAGTCTTCTCGCGCCTCAAATCTTTTCCGATGTCACAATTTCATCCCGTAGTGCTCTGAGATCATTCGCCATGCACGTACCAGCCAGATACGGGGCCCATATAAGGCGTCTTAGCGTCTGCACAAAACCCGGCGAGAATCCTGTCGCACAAGAAGTTGACTGTACAGAAGACCTTGCAACCATCCTTGCCACCTGTTCTCGTCTGCGGTCTCTATCGCTCTCGCTCGCGGCATCACTTGATTCATCCAAAATCACACCTGTGTTTGCTACTCTTGCAACGGTTGAGAAATTTGAGATTGGCTGTTGGGGTCAAGAAGAGACTGCGCCTGTGTAAGTCACCGTGACGCTAATTGCACAGCGTTTGTCTGATGGGTCCCCCACACAGATCTGAGCGTGTTGCAGTCTCCCTTGCTGCGTCCTTGTCATCCCTCACTCATCTCACACTGTCCCGCGTCACTCGTTCAGCGTTGCATGTAGACAACTGTTCTCCCCCGGGCGTTCCGTTAGTCCTCAACGACCATGACGTCCCTTCGCACCCTATCCTCGGAGGAGAGCTTTGCATTCCCAGCCTCCTAAAACTTCCCACTCTCAAGTCACTTGAGCTGAGGGACGTATGGATCGATTGCGATGAGAACATGTGTGTGCAGGGAAAAGTTGCACAGCTGGAGCGTGTGTCAATCTCTGGAAGCATGTACAGGGATGGCCAAGTAGAGAACAAGGCCTGTCTGGCATGGCTTCGGGCTTGCGGTCCTGCTTTGCGGTCCTTCAAAACAGGAATTCCTTTTGGCGGATTCCAACCGTCTACTTGCCTCGGAAAGGACTGGATGGCCGCGGAGCATGAATCTATCATTTCCCCTCTACCTACTCTCACAAACTTTCACGTCGATGCCGAACGAGTCGCTTTGGATGACCTTCTTCCCATGCTCAATGTATTATCCGCTTGTGAAATCAAGCGGATGACTATCGTCAACGCGGCAATGTGTGCTGCTCAGGATACGTTCACACGCGAATGCGCATCTGATGAATTCGAGGATTGGCAGGATGCTATCGAACAGTTTCTCACTTCAAACCAATGGGATTCTCTCAAGAGCGTGGAATTGGATTTTGGTGAAGGCGCTCAAAGGGTCTGGAGCTTGTAAGCTGCGTAGTTTTTTTTTGGGATAGTGTGGATCTTTTTGTTGGACTTTTTTTCCTCCTCGGGCTCCTGTAAAACAACCCATCCCCCCATGCCGAATCAGGTATTTCATTGTACACTTATTGTTCACTTGCTAGATGTACTGCCTCTTTATACCAAAGATACCAGCTCCGCCTAAGGGAGCAAAAATATTTGCTAGATTGCCTGCTTTTGCGTATCTGGTCAAAGCCTTATGTCCGAAGACCAACCTATACTTGATATTTAGCTAGACCTTTACCTAGAATTTTCAGTCTTAGAATATCATCATCGCTCTTGAAATGCGCGCCATATATGCTATTGCTCAATTCTACTGCTTCCGCACGTAGCGGATCGGCCCTTGTAGGACGGGCTCGGACACTGCGAAGGGTCTACAGGAAGTATTCGAAGCTTGACCCTAGCTAGTCTTCATCGAGTATAAGTTAAGGCTGGGCTGAGAAGCGCCAGCCGACCGCCGGCGATTGTCCAGTCACAGGCCACCAATTGACAAGATTCCGTAATATGCATATATACGGTTACGTATGGAGCCGATAGCACACAGCTCCAAAATTTAGGATTGCGATGCACTGGAGCTCAACTGCATTCGTGTTAATTCCTTATGTGTCATTCTGCGAGTCGGATGAGTCAGGGGCAGACAAATTGGACCCGTACTCACGATTGTCAGGGACGAGTGATGACTTATCCGTTCGATCCGAACTTGTAGATGGACGGCGACGAGAGATCCGTTAACAGTAAGGTAATCCAGGAATCAATTGCGGCACCCATCGCAGGCCCTGATCACCAACGGGATCGGCACTGACCAACCTGGCGGTTGATCAAGATGTAGGATGGGATCCGTGTGGAAGGACCTTGCGTGCTCAACGGACTAAGACATTTCATCCAATGTGCACAGTGCCGATACGGTCAGAGACAACCGTTCCAGTTCATACGGCGACGGCTGCTTGGCTCTGGGGAGCACAGTCAGGAGGCGTTTCCGTCGGATACTGAAATTCCGTTTGTACGCACAGGAGATTCTTTTAACATGAGGCGTAGGAAAATATGGTGTTGCGACTGCGCTCGACAGGAATGACTGAACATCCCGAATATATACATACGGTGGCGGCCTGCGCATTTTTTGCAGGTCATTCCATTGTCATCGGACTAATTTTCTGGTGCTTGGAAGTGGATGATGATTTGAAGCGGCGATACGGTAAGGGCTGGGCACGCCAGCTACAAATGCATCGGTCATCAGCTGGAGGTAAGTTTTAGCGTTCCTTCGAGAAAATCGTTCGAAGATGATCGATGACCTGCGAGGCTGGCAAAATCTATTTTCCAACAACCGTGAGTAAGCACTGGTCTGTAGTTTATTGAACTTCTTTAGAGACGCTTTCGAGAACTGTGGACACTCACGTATGATTTGATTTGAACAGGTGTCAATAGATTTGTCTTCCAGTCGGTGCCAACAGGAATCTAGTGCGTATTTCAAAGCATGTGCGACACATATGAAGGTGACCGTTAGTAGAACAACAGTCGTTCTTGTTCATCCGCGACAACGGTAAAGTGAACAACGAAAATACGACGTTTTTCGTGGGATGGTGCTGAAATCAGAGATAAATCAGCGCTAAAGATCACGCAGAAATCTGTGGCGAGCTGATCTGCGCGCAAGCCATCTCGAAAGGGCATGGCGGCGTCAGGGAAAAGAGGTCAGAATGCACGTGACTTGTTACGCGACGCGCCCATCATAAGGCATGTTCCCACACGCTTTGGCTTGCATTAGTTTCTTTCGAGTTCAGCTTGTTATTTTCACTTTGGTCGTCATTCGGGAGTCGGGACACCATCAATTCCTTCTCTCTTCCCAACCACGATCATCATCTACCAGCTGCCTTTGATTCCCAGCAAGAAAAGGTTTATATCATTAAGGAAAATATTGGACTCCGTCGTTGCAAGGGGCAACCGTGACATCCTGTTCTGGGCCACCAAGACTTTCGACGTTTCTTCCATTCGTGTATAGCCTCCTTTGTTGCGAGCCTGGACAAACAAAGGTGTTTGTTCTTAACGACTATCCTTGTTTCCTTGCTTCTTACTGTGCATTGGTTACATGGATACCAATAGCCACTATGCACAAGCACTCGCTTTCAGTTCCAATTGTACCCGCTTCTGCCCCCACCTCACCCGCTTGTACTCGTCTGAACCGATCAGAGCGGCTATTTGCGGCACCAGTGACTCCCCAACGTTTAGTCCGCCCTCAAAAGGCTTCGTATCGATCGCCAGTCACCCCCGCAAGCACCTACTCTACGCCATATACACCATTGAGCCTCCGTTCATTCTCGACTGCATCAAGTTCAACTATAACCACCCCAGGATCGGCTTCTAGCTTTAATAAACGTTATACTGCGTCTCCCTCGACCGAAAATGATGCAATTTTTGTGGACAAGAGTCTTGCGGACATAGCTGAGAATTGGCGCTCGCGTGCCAATGACAACGGTATTAAAGTCTCAAGTGTAGACGACTCTAATTATGGTGATGATGAAGGTGCGCATACATCCGTCAATTGTTGTATGTTACTCACGCAACATTATGAAATTTTGGTTGTCATTGCTGTCCTATTTCGCTCCTCCGTGGACTAAAACTGCATATATGCGCATTTAGCCAGCGATTTGACTCATTCTGATATGAATTGTACAGGTTTCGTAACCGAGGAAGGTTTGTCACTGCCATAAAATGCTCCGTTCCGACACCCATTGATAGTTTCCTATATAGCACTTCTCCCTCCGCCGTTCTTTGCAATTCATCGGCGGTCCCAGACGATCTCCAGCACAGCATCACCTCGCGCCCCGCTTTCACCATATGCTCTGAGAACCCCTGCTCGCCGCGCTCTTGGAGTGCTGAATACACCGCCACCAAAACCAACAAACGTCAGCCAGTTAAAATTCAAAGGAAGCTTGACTGATCCCGCGCACACACGACGGCGGCCTTCATTTGGGCAGGTCAGTGACTCACTTCTTCTTGCTGATCCGTATATATTGATCAGCTGATGCGGTACACCGCTTTCTATATGTAGATGTCTACCGAGCTCTTCGACATCGACGAGAACACTTTTGAACCTTATCCTCAGTCATTCCCTTCAGCTGAATCTTTCTCTTTGCACGACCCATTTTTCGGTTCCGTTCTTCCAACGATTACGGAGTGTGTTCAACAGCATTTCGGCGAGTCGTTTTTCCAAGCAAATATGCAATCGAACGCCACCGTCACCTCGTCAACAGCCTGCTCTGTCTGCGGTCGTGACGGCGGTCGATTTGCAATCCTCAAGCCATGCGAACACCCTCTATGTTCAGGATGCCTTACAAGTGCCCTCAACATCGTTGGTGAAAAAGCCATGCAATGTGCTGTTTGCAAGGAGTCTGTCGTAGATTTTCAACTTCAAAGCCGGCCATTTGATGACAGCTCCATGGTCTCATCTTCACCTCAGCAGTTTAATTTCCTATCCCCTTTCACTCCACTAGACAGGAGTTCCTCTCCCTTGCAACAACGCCCTCGCAGAGTCAACAGACCTCTGTTACCCAGCTTTGAGCCCGTAGCTTTTGTGCCACCCATGGACCAACTCCCTGTCCATTTTCAACGGGATTTGTCCCCTCCCAACTTTACCCCAGCCCCTAAGCAACAAAGAGTCGACAATGTGGTCCTTCGGATTGACAATGTGCCTTGGGTGGGTCCATACTTCCGGCTTTGTGGCGTATCTGATTTGTCGCAGGATATAACTCCGCCAGCTATCATTGCCTGGCTCAAGCAGCCTGTCGTCCGAGTGCATGTTCTATTGGATTCACGTGGTAAAACTCTCAGCCATGCATTTGTCGAGCTTGGCACGGAGGAGTATGCGAGGGCTGCTTTGCGTGGCGTGCAAAACTCTGTCCTCGGCAAAGGCAAGCGTGCGCGGGGGGTCACCGTCACTCGCAGCTCGCAGGAAGAGCTGATGCGTTCTGTACGACGTTCGTGATCTAAAGCCTCTATAAATCTGACAACATTTGGCAGCTGTTCCCGACATGGAAAGGCGGTTTCGAGGGCTCTAGATTATCTTTCACTGGCTTGAGGAATGATCAGGCTAGGGGGGCGCTCGAGTTGGGCATCATCACCGACGCGGAACTCAAGGCCTTGTTGCACCTTGTGCAGTCACCTGGCGTATGTTATTATGGTTTCACTTGTTATGTTGTTCGCTGAGGCTTTTTAATAGTCGCATTTCCTGAAAGTTCCCTCTCTTCCCTTCCATTTCCTCATCAGCATCCTATCCAAGTTCCCGGTCGACGTTGATGGTCGAGTATTCTGCACCAACAACCTTCGAGATAACTTGTTTAGTACGTGTTCTCCATTCCAACGATGCCTGAAGTAGTATCTTAACGTCATTTCCATACAGATCTGACTTATTGTGAGTTCCTCATATAACTTGACCAGCTGTGGCCTAATATCCCGTAGCGGCGTTGGGTCTTCTCATGACAGGGGTGGGGAATGCGATAACGGAAGGATCTCATTTGTTGGATGAACTTCTTCAAGCTGCGGTGACTTGTCAAGGTATTGTTTTGCTGATATTTTTGGAATTAATGCTAAGCGCCATCATCCGCAGCCTTTGCGCCACAACAAGCCCAGATGATTTCCAGCTTAGTGAGGCCTTCTATTCCGCCGTTTGTTCCCGCTTTCCAACTGCCGGGCGGGCACTTCCGCAGTGACAGCGGCGTCTTCATCCGTGACAACGATCTCCTTGTCCCTAGTCCATACGCCACTCTCTCCGCTCCTAGCCCTCACAGTACTGTTCCTGCTCTCAGCCCATACAACGACATTGCCCGGGAGTTTGGCGTTGATGAAGATTTGATTCAAAAACTGGCCCAGAGGCTGAACGTTCTGCGGTGATACCCGGATGCCTGCTTCTTCATTGCACCACGACCCACTTGTTCCGGACCTTACTCCTAAGCATGACGTGACTTCATGATTTTCTTGTTCCCTCAACGTCTTCCCCTGTTTCTTGATGATCGCTAGTCGACTTCATATTTCTCGGGTTTTCGGTGTATCCTCGATCTTGCCCCCTCTCTCATGTCTAGTTACCACACTCGCTATGGAATCCTGCATTGCTCTCTCTCCCTGCAATCTCTCGGTCTTTTTTGCCCTGTATTGCTTACTTGACGACTATCCCAGCACCGCTTTGTATCGTAGACTCATGCTGGTAGAGCTACCATTATCAGATATCTGCATATTATCCTTGGCGGTGTCATGAACTTATAACGTGACCTCCTTATCTTACGTGACAACCGCGGCTCCCTGTCACGTCACTTCAAGTCCAAACATTGACAAACTCCGTTTGGGGCCGCGGCCCAGTAGTTTCTTGACCCTGCCTAGAACCTACCAACCTTGGTCATGACGATCGGAAAACTAGTACTGTTGCAATGTTAGCGTCAGTGCACGCATACCTTGTCTGTCCCCCACCAGCGACTCTTACAAGGACTTTAATCCCTCTCATGAACGAAAATACCTCTCGCCTTGTGATGCAAAGCGCTCTTATCGAGACACAAATATCTCTGCACATATATATGCCAGTGTCCACAGTATATACCTGTTCAGAGATAGGCTGTCTCAGATACCATCGTCGCTAGCCCTTATGACCATTTCTCCCATACAGTGGTTGAAGCTCTCGACATGGGAGCTTGAGCTCGAGAATACAGCGTTTGCGACAGATAATAGATGGAGCAATCGTGATATGGACCCTACGCCTCTTCACTTGCGAACGTGGAGGTATGCGTTATCCCTTGCTGTGATTTCCCAACACATCTGACTGGTCTTTTTTGTACTAAGTTCATGGAGTTATGTTCGTGACACAGGCCAGTTGCCGGGCAGTTCAAATTTACACCGATGTTTTCTAGGTATCATATTGGTTTTCCGATGCCAGTAATATCGCTGTCTGGGAGGCGAGTTCACAAAAGATGCGCCAACCTGGTTGCGACTGATGTCAGACAGGTCGCAAGCTCGATGTTAGCTATTGGTCTTTCCTGGTGAGTTTTCACCTATTATATTTCGAGCAGGATTAACACTCTAAACACAGGAGACAAGCTTTGCCTGCCATTGTTGTTGCGTACTGTATAACGGCTGTTCCGATACTTCTCACCGGGACTATCGGTACCCGCCTGAGGGTTCCGTTCTCGGTCCTCAGCAGGTCGTCTTTCGGATTTTGGTTCAGCTACTTTCCTGTTATTACGCGAGGAATAATTGCCATGTCCTGGTTTGGAATTCAGGTAGGGCAACGTGTGATGCTCTCTGGTTTTGCTAACAAAACATGAACAGACATACAACGGTTCTGAATGTATCTATCAGGTACATCAATTACTATGGAACATTGACGTATTTTAACACTGTCATCTTTCAGATGCTGAAGGCCATATGGCCGTCTATCGCCCATGTCCCGAATCACATACCGGCCTCGTCAAACACCACCAGCGTCGGCAAGTGCTCATTGCTCGAGCGCGCGTACTTTACTGATCCGAATCGATGTGGTCAGGCATGATGTGTTACATTCTTTACTGGCTCCTCCAATTTCCATTCATGCTGCTGTCTCCCCAGAAAATCCGTTACCTCTTCATGGTCAAGGGCGTGATCGTCCCATTTGCCTGGCTTGCTATGGTCATTTGGGCGTTCATCAAGGTTCCTCCTTCAGTCGGACTATTTGCTCAGCACGCTACAGTCCAAGGCTCTGACCTTTCCTGGGCTTGGCTGACGGCACTCAATAGTGCGCTGAGTCTTTATTGTGGATATGCGGTCAATATAGCGGATTTTACGGTTTGTGACTACATCACATCCTTCAATACATTGTGTTGACCTTCAAACAGCGGTATGCCACACATGAGAGAGCGTTAGTTTGTTTCGGTCGGGGTGGATGAATTATTCCTGACCCGAATTAAACAACAGACAATATTCACAGGCTATCATTATTCCAGTAGCATTCACGCTTTGTTCGTTCGCTGGACTGGCCGTGACGAGTGCTGGAATTGTTCTCTATGGTTCGGCACTGTGGGATCCCCTACAGCTGATTGACCAATGGGACAATCGAGCAGCGGCGTTCTTTGCCTCGTTCGCATTTCTGCTGACGACCATCGGAACTAATATCAGCGCTAATGCCCTTGTGGCTGCTAATGACCTCACGGTCTGCCTCCGAAATACATCAACATAAGACGCGGTCAAGTGATATGTGCATTTATTGGTGGATGGGCGTTCTGTCCTTGGGAAGTTCTGGCAAAGTTTGTTGACTCGACGTAAGTGTCCTCTTATTTTGCTCATTCATCTGTAGAGCATCCGGGTTTCTGTCATTCCTGAGTGGCTATACCTATTTTCATCGGACCATTCGTTGGAATTATGATCGCCGATGTAAGTAAATCAATCGTGATCGGCGGCGCACACTGACGTTCTATTAGTACTGGCTAATCCATCGAGGTCGAATTGACGTCCCAGCGATGTACCAAGTTTATGGTCGATACCGCTATACATTTGGAGTGGCGAGTTCATTTCACCGGCTAGCCCGGATTGTACACGTGACTGAGGCTCGTTGACAGAACTGGCGTGCTTTGGTAACACTCGTGATTTGCATCGCACCAGCTATGCCTGGGCTCGTTCACTCCATCAACCCGTCCATTAACGTTGGAGGTATCCATAATTTATTTGCCATCGGGTGGATATTTGGAGTGCGTGCAATATCTACATTCACCCGCGCGACTCACTGTTACTTCCCCCCTTTCTTGATAGTTCTGGTCAGCATTCATCGTTTATTCCGTCCTCTCGACGCTGTTCCCGGCTCGGGGTACATATGTAGAGAAGGCTGTATTACCCGATGATGTGATACCGCCATCGGCCTCTTGTGATTCTACGGACGAAGATGTGGAGAAATTAGACAAGGGTAACGTGACTCCTGAGACTGTATCGGGGCTCCATGGCTTCCACAAATAGAAGAAAATTTTTCGGGCATCATTTGTTTTCACACGTCGAAATGGTATTCATACTATTGCCACACATCAGGTTCGCGTACCAAAGTTCCCAGTGACGGAAAGAATGCGAGGAAGAGCAGTAGCTACCAATGCACCAATGGCACAACCAATCGCTAAAGTCGCGCCGGTACCCAGGACGCCCGCATCCCTGGAAGACAAACGGTGCAACTTCGGTCTTGGACCTTTGTCAAAAACGCTGGAGCACGTTGCTTTGGACTCAGGTGCTGTAAGCAGACCGGGAAGACCATCCACGCTTGAGAGGTTCTGTCGCATCCAATATGCTCTAAGGCCCTTCGGATTAATCTCTGTGGAGACAGTAGCGCGGTCATGTGACTCTTTTATGTCGAACGATCGAAGGAGTTGAGTGCGGTGCGTAACAAAGTCATAGATCGGAACAGCGTATCCACATGACTAGGGGAATGATTAGACCCAACTTCAGAAATAGGTTAGATCGGAGATACTACCGTTAGACACTGGTATACATCGATGACGATAGCCGCACGAGACCCCGGTTTACGAGTCTCAGGAGGAATAAGAGATTCATATTCTTGCGTGCCATATTCGTATACAGTCCCTGCACTGGTTGTTAGAATGTGAGTGATACAAGGGAAGTAATGTTATCATGCACCTGTCCCATACAACCTCAAGATCCTAGGAGGTCCCTCAAAGGAGTGAAACAGAATCGTTATGCGACCATTCTCCCTGATATGAGATATAGTCTCCACACCTTGAACCCAACAATTGAATAAGATGAAAATCAATCAACAATGAAACACTCACCACTTCCAGTCAAATCCTCGTACCAAACTCGGTGAGAGTTCACCACATGGAAGCAATCCGCTGTACCCTTGGGGGAGACATTGACGTGTCCACCAGGACCAAGAGGAGCTGAAGCAACCCAAAACATGTGCTGTTTCCTGACCCATTCAATGAGAGATTCAGGTATTTCATCATAGTACTTGGCCATGGGAATTATCTGGCTAGCTTGGTGCCAGTCGACCGAAGTATAAGTAGTGCGCTGGTTAGGTCTGATCGGCGTTTAAGAAGACTTAATTATAACCTCCTAAGTATAACACTATCTGGTCATGGGGTGAGTCAATTTCAACCGTGCCGTTGAGTATTACATCAAACAGAAGGAGTTATTACCATTCTTTTAGAACATCGGACTAGAGAGTGGGGAGAGTCAATTAGTCGCTGACTAGCGTTTCAGCAAAACAAATGCGTACGCACCAGACTGACAAAAGGTTAATGCGACAAACCACTTTTCACCTTGAGTCTACCATCTCGCAACACAAAAACGTGCATAACTAGACTGGACAAGATACGGTTCAATAATGTCAAAGGTACACAAAGCCAGTTGTGTCAACGCAGCAAATGAAGCATAATAATGAGTACACACACGAAAGGTAAAGAGCACTATGCATATGAGCACGTATTAAGCTCGGGTGGTGAACATATCAAACTTTCTGGTAACAGATAGGATGTAAGGAATGGCAGTAGCGACCAAGGCACCAAGGGCAAAACCAATGGCTACATTTGCACCACTACTCTGGGAGCTTCCCTCTCTCGAAGACGAGTATCGCAACTTCGGTCTTTGACTTTCCTTATTAAAATTATTGACAGGCGTCACTTTGGAATCAGGTGCCACGAGCAGACCAGGCAGACCATCAAGGCTTCTCAAGTTCTTTTGTACCCAATATGCTTTGATACCCGTCTTGTCGGTCTCTTGGGAGGATACGGTACCCGAAACGCGGTTGCGTGACTCTTCGATATCAGCCATTCGGAGGAGTTGGGTGCGATGTGTAATGAAATCATAGATTGGAACAGCGAATCCACATGTCTTGATGGAACTGTTAGATCGAAAGACACCCGAGTAGATAAAAGATAGGCTACCGTTTGACACTGGTACACATCGATGACGATAGCTGCACGGGAGCCCGGCTTCCGAGTCTCAGGAGAAATAAGAGATTCGTACTCTTCTGTGCCATATTCGTATACAGTTCCTACACTCAGATGTTAGAATGTAATTGAAGTAAAGCAAACGACCCTCGGCTTGTGAGCACCTGTTCCGAACAATCTCAAGATCCTGGGAGGTCCTTCGAAGGCGTTGAACAGGATCGTTACGCGACCATTCTCCCTGATATGAGAGATCGTTTCCACTCCTTACTCGCACAGTTCTGGGTTAACTAGCGCAAAAATAGATCTGTGATACTCACCGCTTCCGGTCAAATCCTGATACCAAACTCGACGAGAGTTCACGACATGAAAACTATCCGCTGTGCCCTTGGGGGAGAGATTTACATGTCCGTCAGGACTCAGGGGAGCCGAAGCTACCCAAAACATGTGCTGTTTCTTGATCCATTCGATGAGAGATTCGGGTATTTCATTATAGAACTTGGCCATGAATAGGATCGTGCAACTAACTTGGTGCCACGACTTGCGGTAGTAGAGGGTAGTAACTTAACGATACCGTTGTTTACAGCTGTGTGCGATTCTGATGAGATCATGGTGGCACCGTGTATGGCGAAACAGGCCCCTTCGGACGACGTTTGACGCCAGCAAATATGAAGTTTGACCTCACTTCAATGATCGCCTGTACGATAACATGTTTCAACAGATAAGCAGAGACCTGAAAGAATGTGTACTTACACTCTGGGATCACGGTTGGGAACTTGTCGAAAATCTCTGAAGTGTTCGGTGTTTCTCGGGCCAGCTGCTTTCATCGGTGAAACATATTTGAAGAACTCGGTGCTGTTGTTAGGCCTCTCATCACTGAAATTCGCTCTCTCCACTTGTCGACCGCACAACGCGAGCACTTGTCGAAGTGACAATCAACTTAAGTTTAAGACTTATATGTGTGAAGTTCTCACGGTCACGAACTCCCTTGTTCAGGCATATCACCCTAGTACTACTTAGTGGTTCAACGGACTCGTCGACGGTTCGTCAAACGCGGCGGGAAGAGCCTCGGACAGGACGTACAAGCCTTTTAGTGCGTAAAGCTTTGCCTACTATCGTTAAATTACCTTACCTGTTTCTACTTCACGACTTTCCTGAAGATTCAGAACTTGTTGCGGTCCTTCTACAGCAAAATCATGAGCTCAGAGGGTGTATTACAGATTACAATACCAGGTTAGAAACTATGCATCTACTCCGTGAAAGGCTTTTAATCTTGAATTATTCAGACTTTGATGATGGTGACTTTCAATCTACTCCCATACCCTTCGGCAGGTCTGGAGGACATGGCTTTGGTGCATTCGGAAATGCAGGTTCAGGCCCAGATTCACCAACTACCATGACACCTATTGCACTTCCTGAACGTAGCGACCGAAGCTACTTTCATAGTCGTGGCGATTCTGCGGCATCAGAGGATTCTTTCAGTTCACAACCTGTTCGTCAGACTGGCAAGAGCTCACATACGACCCAACCTTCCATAACTGCAAGCTCTCCGTTTTCAAAAAAGCCATCTTTTGCCTCCATCAGAAACGCATTCAAGAAGAACACCGATGTACCGCCATTACCTCCACTGGACTATCAAGCGTATCCCATTCTCAAGAATCCTTTTAACCGCTCGACTTCGTCCTTGCCTCATTCCACTTTGACATCTAATAAGACATTCAATGCTACAAGTCCACCGCACCCTCGCCCTCCGACACCTGGATCTAGCGAATCACGTCCCCGCGCTCCATCAAGGGCAAGAGGGCATTCCACTGCAAGATCTTATCATTCTCAATCCGGGTCTATATTCCACAACTTGGACACAGGGAGTGATCATGGTCACGGCTTTTCTTCCTCCTCATCTCCTCCTCCTGTTCCCCGTGTGCCCGATACATGTGGTGCTCAGATGTTCAGTGGTGATGGGCCCTCGATAATGGAGGAAGATGACAAAATGTCATCGGGTCTTAAGACACCATCCGATTATGCTCTGCATGCAGTTTTTATTCGGTTTGCTACTCTTGCGGAGGCAAAGATGAATGTATTCCTTCGTGAAACGCTGGTATTTACTTTCTTTTCGGATTGTTCGGGTACATGTCATTTACGCGCCTTTAGGATCACGAACCTTTGTTGTCGGACTTTATAGGTCCCTCGCTGGATCCCAAGTTCGATGACCTGCTGAACTCTTTGGGAAAGATAGCTCAGAAACATCCAAGACCCGTCATAGACTCAATTATGCGCTGGAGACGCAGTCATAATGAAAATGTCAGCGCCGACATACTCAAACATCATGCTAGCCAATCGTCTTTATGGACACGTGGTGCGAGAGTCCAGGAACCGTCTGCCTTACTGAATGAACGAAAGTCGCTGGCGTCAATATATATAATGTGTCGCGCTCTGATTTCCGTTTTGTCCGTTTTATCCAAAGACGCACTGGGTGATACACTGGGATTTACCTTGGAGGAAACAACGTTCGAGCAGTTCAAGAGACCGGATTTGAAGCTCCTTGCACAGTCAGCTAATCATCGGCTGAATGCTGAACTGTATGCTACGCTGCTCGGACACTTGGCAAACGTTCGGTGAGCATGACATCTTTACTACGCCAACATCCAAACTAATTTTCCGCCAGCTTTGTCAGTGTCACGGATCGATTTCTTGGCGAGCTCGAGCCTGTGGCCAATGGTCAGGTGGCGAAAGACCTCGATACGAAATATGAGCATCTAGTAAAAGGGCTCCGTCACGTTCAGCTGAGAGTGAGAACCATGTTGTTCGCTGTCTTTTTGTGTTTATGTATCAGCTAGGTATGGCCTCCGGAGGCATTCGAGGAAGGGGCCGAGTTTCTGGAGTTATTGGCCAAGTCTTTTGCAAATGCGCATGGTCTTCGGTTCAAGATCGCTTTCGCTGATACGTTGACTCGACTCTTGCACCCCATTGGAAAGGTAATTTCTATTCCCTGACTGGTACTGATATAGGCTAACATGACCTCAAGACGGCGCAGGCTGAAGTCAATCACCCACAATGGGAAAAAGCGATCGAAAGGATCTATCCTCGGGCTAAGGAGATGATGAGTAAGCCGCGGTATTGGCATATTGCTTACCCGTTGGCCGTCACCAGCCTTTGTGTTGCGCCTCACCAATACTTTCTCCGCAACTGGACGGCTTGCTTTGAGTATGGACTGTCGAAGATGAAGGTTCGGATTCGACGAGTTAGACGCTTTCCTTGCTGACTCCTGATATAGGAAAAGATCCATCGGATTCCTGTTTTGAATGGAATCGTTCGATTGATCTGGACATACCTGTATCGATGCCAGGAGCCATTAACGACGAGCACCACCAAGTTGGACTCCCTCCTCAAACATATATTCCCTGCTGGACGGTCCTCAATTTTCCATCACGAGGAGCATCTTGAGCCGTTCATCTGCATCGTGCATTTTATCTTGTCACGTTATTTCGACTATGGGTTGGGACTCTGCATGGATTTACTTCAGGAAGCCGTCGTGAATTCCTCATCCACAAGCAATCTCATGGGTATTTTGACTCCTGAACGTGTCGCTGTATCGGCCCAGGCTATCCTCTTAACCTTGAACGCCTTTGAACGTGAGGAGTCAGCTCCTACATGGCCGTCTAGTGTCGATTTCACTGCTGTACCATCTTGGGATGATTATCCTTCATCTTCTGACGCTCTTCCGGCTGCAGTGGTATCCAGGCATGGAGTTCAAGAGCTGCTTGACAGATATGGAGCTGTAATTACCGCAATCGCGCGGTCAGCGAGTCAGTCTGTGGGCCAGATGTCTATCTTTGATGAACAGTGGTCGCTGTCGCGGTTTAACTCTATCAATGAAGAGTCCCACAACATCATCATCTGTCGTCGTCCCGAAGGGTCCTTTGCCTACCCCAATCATCTTGTGTCGCAGATATCTATGCTACAGACATGTCTGCAATCGTGGCCGCGCTGTTTGCACGCCTCTTTACCCCTCATGGACGCTATCAATATACTCGTCCGCAGTATTATACATGTTGAGCCTCGGATCGGAGAAGCGGCAGGAGCGGCGCTGAGGCGCTTTATGGCTGACGGGCGGTATGCGCCTGCAGTTTTGCGCCACTTTACGACCTTCCTATTTGATCCTGCCTATGTTGGACGGGAGGGAACCGGTGCACGGCTTGTGCTCGAGAGTACTCGACTTCTGAACTTCTGGATTAGCTTGGTGGAAGGTTGGGTCAAAGGTATTCTGCAGAAACCCAAAGCGGACATCACAGCTGGTGAGAGGGAGGCCGTTGCCCTTCAAGGGGACGGGATCACTGCAGGAGCATTGTTTCTGCTATCGCATGAAGCTTCTACTGTCCGTTGTGTAGGGGTTAAGCTCATCCGCATACTCGCACCATTCATTGCTCATATAGATGTGGTCGAGGGCGCCCATGCGGGTTCCTCGATCCTTCTGAACGGGCTCCTCGATTGTGATGCTCGTGAGAATGCTCATTTCCAGGGCTTTGACGAGTTGTTAGACAGCTCGGAGCTGGACCGCTTGCAACAGTGGAGGCGGGCTGGGCGGAAGGACGTACTACTGAGGATCGCCGATAGCAACTATGACAAGGACAAGAAAATATGGCGTTGTGTTTTCCCGAGCTTCATCCAAGCCTCGTTCCAGCAACCGCTGAAAGTTGCAGTGGACTGCCGTGCCATGATTGAGGCTGCAGCATCTCGCTATCATCCTTTAATGTTGCACCTTGCCGGACTCTCGACTCTCAGCGGACGATTGCCGTCCGGCGCTTCTAGGGCGCCAGGCTCTGCTGATAAAGAGGGGTACAAGCAAGTCAAAGACAACATGAACTTGATCGATCAATGGTATTTGTGGATCAAAATTCTGTGTGCTACGGCTACTGTATGTGATAGCCGTGGTGGTGCTCCCATCCAAGCCGGTCGAGAACATCCGCGAGCTTCTTCGGACGCTATCTTCGAGCGCGAGCGAATGTCAACTACACGCTGCCTCTTCAGGTACCTGACACCATTCTTAGATGTGGAATATGCCCCATTCCGTGATGCGGCTGTAATCAGCATCAGTTCTTTTCCTTCCAGTGGGTTCTCGCGGCTTTTGGAGGATTTGAATCACTTTGCTTTCCTGCAATCCCATGATGACGCTCGGTCGAAATCTGGATCTCCTGGGTCAATTGGACGTCCACGACGTCAGGCTCGTCTGCATTCGGCTGTTGCTCGTATTTACTTCCTCACCGCTCATCAGCTGCAGCACCAACAATCTTCTGCAAAGCAGGACGCAATTTCATATGCGCTCAGATTCATTCGGAATATGCAAACCTTCCTCGTTGCCATAGAGAATCGTGACAACTACGCGCTCCAACGCCTACGCCGCTATTTCTGCGGTTTGATCGAACGGTTCTTCGATAGTCTGGTGAATCTCGCTGACTCGGAACAATTCGTTTCATCGTACACATATGCGACTCTTTACAGGCTTTGTGAAGAATGGTGCCAGTATGGTGTTCAGTCCGAATCAACAAAGCAGCGATACATCCTCATGCAAAGAGCTGCGGCTGCGGCTGTGAATGACCCACAAGCCGAATCAGACTCTGCTGAACGGTTCCAGCACGAGACTAAACTGCTCTCTAATGCAGCTGTGTGCGCCCTCGCTTCCCTTTGTGTAAGCAAAGCACTTCATTCGTTATTCTTCACAACTAACATAGTAGCAGCAAAGGGCATACTATCATTCTGAATCCATTGGTTCCTCATCACCTACGGATCGCCCTCAGGAACCTCCGAAACCTCTAGAAGCTGTACAGATCTTGGACCGTCTTCATCATGTCTTTCAATCTTCTTACCCTCAGGTCGTCATATGTGGAAGGTACTTCTTTATCTTTTCCATATGGATCATCTACTGATTTCTGTGTAGAAAAGCCCTTCGTTCCCTCATCTCCTCCAGAAAAGCGGATAAAACGTTGCTCGGCGAGGTCCTTCGACGCTCCTTCATCGATTCTAATGACTCATCGTCCAGCAGCTCTACCTTCTTCGAGGTTCTGTCCGAGGTCGCATGCAACGTGGATGTTGGCTCGTACACTTTCGCCCAAATCATATGCTTGGGCTTGACCAACCTCTGTCACGCTGATTCTGGAATTCGACGGAAGTCTCTTATGCTTCTCGAAGTCATGCATGAGCATTCCTCTGGCGTCCTGTCTTTTGGCGAATTTGAAGCTATAGCTGCCAATCCTTCAAGCAGCGTATATTTGCATGTACATCGACTAGTCACCGAACGTCTCTCCGGCGAACACCCCAATCACGCTGATGATGTGGTTTCGGAGATGAGTACCTTACTGATGCGCATGCCTCGTAGTGGAAACGAGAGGGTTGCCCTTCTATTGCTGCAGAGCCTCGAGTCTTGGGTCCCAAATATACAACTCACACTTGACTCCGATAGCGAAGCGCGTTTACATCCATCTTCAGCCAGCAGCCGCATCCTGTACCATCTCCTCACCCTCACAAAACGATATAGTGAAAGTCACTTTGAACAAGTTGCCGCAATATGGACGCGATTCGCAGACCACCCCAACGAAACCTACGGAGCAGCCACCGTAACCTTCCTCATCAATCAAGCTCTCAAGGTAGCTACCTCCGCATTCATCGATTGCGCCTCCACCATCATAGCATGTCTTTCGCGCTCTGCTGCGGCGCTGCAAGTTTACGAGCTTCTTTGCTACTACTGCGAGCCAGAACGCATGGTGCCCTCCCTTGATCACCAGCTGAAGGAGCCTCCCGGCGCCGAAGATTTCGAACTGTGGTCTGATTTGAATGCTCAGTTCGCGGAAGAGCAGCCAAAGATACTACTGGGACCGGCGCAGTATGCGCTGATCTTACTGGGGTCTGCTGCAATGGAAGGACAGTGGACGCATGTCACTTCTATACCGGTCATTCTGCAAGCAATCTTTCCCAATCTTGACCATCGTGTCCCCCTTATGAGGATCAGGGCGCGTGGGATGCTCTTCCAGCTCTTGCGTGTTTGTATTCCAGGTCTTGCACAGTCCAATTGCTCTGCGTTAGTAGCGCAAATCAGCGCCTTGGAGGACCAAGGAGATTCTATATTTTGGAAGGATGATGACGACAGCGATATCGTGGAAACTCGAATGAGTGCGCTCTTCTCTCAGGTGCTTCCTATGCTGCAGCCTCTTGTTCCAGCCCTGGAACAGACTGTAGGCAAACTGGCACTGGCCTACGTGGAGCTTTGCAACATGCGGAGTCTCGCGCTTCGTTCTTTACAGGTGCTCCGCGTATTGAATCTGCCTTTGAGTCATGCCGCGCTGGATCAGTTGCTGAGTCGTTTATCTGTTTCCATAGCAGACGTGGATCCAGAAAGACAGGCTTTTTCGGCGGAAGTCATCTGCACCATCACCCATATGGCTACACTACACGAGCTCGACGATACGCTGCTTCCTCGTCTTTTTTGGACCGCACATGCAGTAATGTCAACCAGTTCAGAAACTGAGTACATACAAGCCGTCAGACTGTTGTCTGCATTCCTCGATCGGGTTGACTTAGATGACCCCCATATCGTTACCCTCATAGTTGCCCAGCGCCCGCGAGATTGGAATGGGTCCATCGGATTGCAGCAAGCTCTTTGGAGCGGGCTGCGTTCTGCCACGACTCTGGACGACACCTTCACAGTCCTCGGGAGACTGGCCAAACTGAAGTGCTGCCAAATCGTTAGACTCTTCCCAAACCTGGCTTCGAGACCTGTTTACTCTGTCCCTACCTTGGTGCATGCACGCCATGTCGACTGACCAGCATAACGAGGCTCTGAACGACTTCTGTTCTTCAATCGCGGACTTGGCTGATGAAGATGGTCTGGAGAGTATCAATCGGATCATGGTCTCTTTTGTCAAGCGTCGCTTCAGGACCAAAGATGACTTCCTTCGTCAGTCCATTAGCAGTCTACGTGACCACTACCCTCCCGATGACTGGACCGACATCGCTACTCTATTGTTGAGCTTAGTGCTCAACAAAGAGAGATGGCTCCAAGTGTACTCAATGCACGTCCTTAAAGTCTTATTCCAGCAACGCGCTTTGCAGTCGTTGGGCACGGAGCATCTCATGCCCTTATTGCGGTTGGTGGAAGGAGAGTTGGCGACGCAAGCTCTTGATGTATTGGAGGAGCCGACGAAGATCACTGGAGGACTCACAGCCAAACAGGTCCTTCGCATGAGCATGCACGTTTCAACGCTTACGGGTGCGGGTGCGAGTGAGGGCGAGACAGATATCTTTGGTGTTCCGGAAGAGTCTGGTTGGTGCATTGCACGCGTATCGCGTCGACAAATCCAATGTCGCGCCAACGTCCTTGCGGTTGCGCTTATGTTCACGACATCATCACGCATATCTACGGTGTACTTCCAGCCAGAGGTACAAGAGCCCCTGTTCGCTGATGAGCTCGATGAAGACTTGGGAGTCCTGGTTCAGGACCTGCACGAGCTCAGCGAGTTCTTCCAGAAGACGAAGCCTCAGACGCAACTCCTACCGAGTCAGCAGCTGGAAGATAGAGTCGCCTCCATTCTGGCTAGATCTACACACGACTCCAACGACATGCCTCAGACTCCATTCGGGGACGTATTCCAGATCGGTGGATCACGCGACCTTTCGGACGACTCCACGGACGAGTCTGATCCTGAGTCTGAGGTAGACGCATTCAAGTACGACTCTCCAGCGTTTTATCATTCCGCTCCCAATGGCAAGGGCTTGTATTAACTTATCTTCATCACGCTTTGCTTGTTATCGATGCATTATAGAATTATTGTAGTCTACATACATCATAGCAGCTCTAGAGTCATGCGCCAGCATTCACGGATAGAAATTGCAGTATGATATGAAGTCTAACAGCGTTCGAAGATGCGATGAAGATCTGGTAAGCCCTGCACGACGTCATTGTCCAACAGGAACTTGGGAGCCGCTAGGTACTGCGGGGCTGGGGAGTAGAAGTACGCTAGCTCGCGCGAACCAAAGCACTCTTGCTCGGATTCCCAGAGGACCTAGAACAGCTTTGTATCTGTGGAATGGCAATATGGTGTAGGAATGTGAGTATATGCGTGTACATGGAATACCCTCGACTGGCGAGATTCTGCTGAATGACATCCGATATTCGCTCAATGGTGGTTTCCTCGCTCAAAAAGTGGACTTCGCGCTTGGTCGGGTGCACGTTATGTAACATCCACAGACCTCGGGTCGAGGTTAAATGATTATTTTGTATCCCACTGGTAAAATTCGGTTTTACCTCAGATACTACACGAGAGGGAGGCGTCGAAGCTGTTGTCCAGCAGTTCTTTATTTCCAACTGATCTTCCGACGGTTGCCAGAATGCCCCCCTTGCCATGATCATGATGAAGTTGCTCTTCCTTGAGTGAATTCTAAAAATCTTAATCGGCATTTCGGATACGGGGAATCGAACCCCGAGCTACCGCGAATTTTGAGATTGAGAGGCGGTAATGTTAACCATTACACCATATCCGACATAGCGAGGAGCATCCGGGTCACCATCACGAGGACTCGTTCGTGGCTTCCGCTGGTATAAACAGAGCTCTCCCACACATGCATTGAGTCGTTTTATGTGAGTACGGTGGATGTCCACATAAAATATTCCCGAACTACTTCAAATGGAGTGCCATGCCTCAAACATGTTATTTTGATCTCACACAAAGACCGGGCCTAGAAGGATCTATCACCATCATGATGGTAAGGCAGACTAAACTCTCAGCTCACTACAGGAAGCCGCATCAGTAAGCCGGTGAGACTCAGATATCTCGAGGCGCCAACGTTGTCAACCCTCGCAAGCACGTGTTCGTCATCGTAGCCGCCTAAACGACTTGCTGTTAATCATCTCTCGAGCTGCTCTGTCCGCTCACTTGAGACTCTTCTAAATTCCACCAGCTTTTCTTGGAATCCAATATAGTACCTATAACTTCTTCATGTCACAAGCATCAGCCACCGACGACGCCGAGCATCAATGCACCCACAATGATGAGCAGCTTCTCCCGCAGAACGATATCATAGGACTCATCGAGGAGTGAGTTGCAGCTTCCTGAAATATGTCACTTGTCTAACAGCAAGACAGGGAGAAAATCAATGTTGAACCTCTGGCAGGGCTGCCATCAGGGATGTATGTGTTTCTTCCCTGATGGACGTCTGTGCCACTTCTTACTAGAACTGCAGCTCGAATGCTGGACCTTCACGGCCGTCGGGACCTCTGGTACAGCAAAGTACATCCAATGTTCCACCAGTCGACGATTTGACTCCGTGAGTCCTTGTCAATAATGACGCCAAACACACTCCTCATTTGTCTCAGCGAGGTGGCAAAACTTGAGGCAGAGAAGGCCGAGCCGACTCTAAGCGAATTGTGAGCCAAAAACTTGAAGCCATGCGATCGCAGCTGACCACGCCCTACACGCAGAGCAAATGTTATGAAGGAAGTATTGGAGGTTCTCAAGGACTCGACGATTGCGTCGAAGAGTGGAAAGGACGAACGATCTCGTTTCTGGAGGGTGTACAAAAGAGTCGCGGAGGAGCACGACAGCGAGTTCCTCGAGCGATACACTAGCGACATGAACATCGTCCTGATCTTCGTAAGTTCAGCCTGCTTTCTGTATTCCGTTTCGAGACTGATGTTCAACCAGTCTGGTCTTTTCTCCGCTGTCGGCACGTCTTTCATTGTCGCGATGGAGTCCGATTTCAGTCCCGACCCAGCGACACCACGAATGCACTTTTGAAACAACTCGTGCAGATCGGACTTGGCAATCTCGCTGAGGCAGGCTCCACTCCTGTAGACCCAGCATCTACGTGGTCTCCGACCGCGCCGACCTTATGGATCCAAACGATCGCATATGCGAGTTTGTCCATGAGCTTGCTCGCTGCATTCGGGGCGGTGCTTGGAATGCAGTGGCTAGGGTACTACAAGTCGAACAGATATGGGCGCGGCTCGCAGGAGCAGCAAGGGAAGCGCAGGCAAGAGCAGTTCGACGGCATCGTCACATGGTATTTTGATACTGTCGTGCAATCCTTTCCGGTCTTACTTCAGATATCTCTTCTTCTGTTTGGGATCGCTCTTGGCGCCAAATTGTGGTACGAGCAGGCGAGCATCGCCTGGGTCCTCATCGGAACGACGGTCTTCGGATTTCTGTTTTATTCCCTGACTGTGATGGCTTGTTTGATATCTCCCGCTTGTCCATTTCAGACACTGATATCAACGCTATTACATGTGTTGCGCATCGACAGTAAGATCATTTCGCCGAATTTTGGTGGTCGTTCCCCATCTGAAACAACATTGCAGGGGTTTTACACCAGGTATTCAAACGAGTCTCCCGTTATTTCCAGCGGGCCACGACGTTATTGCAGGGTGAGTTATGTTTTCTTTCATGTGCACAGGTTTTGACCGTTTTATGTCAGGCGTGCTCAAACGATTGTTTAGTATCGTCAGATCGGGATGGACCCGACTGTCTCAAGTATCTAGAGGTGACGATATTAGCTACCATTACACAGATACACTCAGTGCTCATTCACTCCCTAGACCTTGTACTTGCAATAGTTACATGCACACGATCTCTTCGGCAATTCATCACCAGGCTTCATAACCGGCTGCGTTCTTTGGTTCTGCGTTCTTCAGCAAAGGTTGTAGACTCAGAGGCACAACCGCTCGGCCAGGATCTGGATGATTTGGCGGAGAATGATGACACCCTTAACCTCAACCTCCCTGACACACTCGCCGGCGATCTCGAAGCGCCTAGCGTCAAGTGGCTGCTTGAGACATCCACGGATCCTGAAGTATTTCTCGCTGCTGCCAGGCTTGTCCCGCAGGTCGAATGGCCCATGGGCCTCGATGTTTCGGACATATTGCATCAGCTGGTTGATATTTTTACGAGTTGCGTCGACATTCAGGGGCGCATCGTACCGTCTTTGGAGGAGAAGGCTTCGGCATGTGCAACGGCTCTAACTCATCTATACTATGGACGTGTTCTTCAGGCATATCCTGACCGTGGCGAATTTATCATCCACAAGGGACAAGATGTCGATGTGTTTCATCAGATTCACCAGCACATGGGCGCAGCCAACCAAACGGTGCTTGATATGACTGTAAATTTTTGTGATCCAGATAGCAATCGCTGGACTATTGATATCTCGGAGGGTTGCCCTGACACCACGTATGAGCGGCTGTCACATCTTCTTCCTTATCACTTTATAACTGGGCGAGTGAATGAAGACATAGAAAACCTCGCGATAACAGTGATATCAAAATTGCTATCATCCCCATCCTCATCCTCATCCCCATCCCCTCCGTCGAATCAAATCCTAGCCAATTGCCTTCTTCTTGCTTGTGTCATGGTCGGGGCTCAAGTTGACAAGAAAGACATGGTTCGGATTGATAAAAGGTACCATCGGCTCATTTTGTAGTTTTTCTGTCATGATTAACGAAGAGATCGTGCAGTTCTGCTCTACCTCGACTCAGTAGGTCCCTTTTGGCGCGGTTCCAAAAGGCTTTCTGGGCATGGGATGGAGTCGAGCTCGACCAAGATAGCATAGGAGTCGCACGCCGGGCATGGAAGCTCCTCAATATCATTTGGCGCATCCTCGAGCTTGCCAGTGATCACTATGGTCATTCAACCCATTTCATGCGGAACCTAGACGTGTGCAGGAATATTTATTCACGAGCGAGGTCGTCCAATGCCTCGGTTTCGTTGGTAGCTCCACGAAATGCACTGCACTTCACTTTCGCTGCTGCCAAGGTATCCCGTGACCCTGCCGAAGTGTGGTCTTGGTCTTGGTGGGGAAACGAATCCCACTCGCCAGAAGATTTCGACTGGATGGTAGACTACCTCGACTTCATATATTCCGACGACCACGAATCAGCATATGACATCCTTTTGCTACTGGGTAGTGTGGGGGTGTGTTGCCGCCCCGCTAAACAACATCTGTTCATTGAGAGGCTCATCGCCTGCATGGACAGTAACATGCCTCTCCATTTACGCCATGCCGCTCTTCGTGCTGCTCACAGTGCCCGAGAACAAATCGCCTCGATGGATGCCATTGATGATTCGACGCTACGTGACATGATTTTGACCAAGCTCTCTCTCGCTATTCTGTCCGTGCTTTGTCCGCACCCAGGTACAACACCCGCGAATGATGATCCCAACCTCTTTTTCAATTATGGCCGCGACTTGTGCTATCTCAGACTGGTCTTTGCCCTCGCGAGGAATTCCGACTGGCACCCCCATTTGTTTGGGGACCGCCATATAGATCGGTGCATTAGCATGATTCCCCGGTACTGCAATTCCAGGTACTACGAGCATTCATTTTTCGTAGCTGGTATCCTCCTCCAAATCACACCCGAACAGACATCAGTTACATCGCTTGATTCTGTTACAGAGCAGCAGTGGTGGGACGTGACGAGAAGCGCATGGTGGTATCCTAGTCACATTGACAATACACGCTATCTCAAGCTCCTTCTTGTTCTTGTGGATGGCACAAAGAAGTATATGCAGTTTGCTTCGAAATCTGATCTCGAGCAGCTCATTAGAGATGTGGACAACTTTGTCGAAAGGTTGGAGTGGGACATACAAGAGAAGAGGCAACTGCGGGAGATGGAACAGGAGATGCAAGATTTAGAGCAGGGGGAGAGGGTCATCATTGCCGCGAAGGAGTTGAGGACTGCAGCCAGCAACATGGTGGAGAGATTTGGTCAGTAATCATCAGTCCCCTAATCATATCTTGCATGCTGCGTTAGAGTCTTGGAATAGAGAAAGCTATGGGCAGTGTATGCATGGAAGTGGGGAGTATCAAAACCTCACGAAATCGATACTGAATCATCAGCCATCTCTGACTCGGTAGATACTTGTCAAGCGTGAGGAACAATGGGCATGACTCAGATGCAAATATCTAGGAGATCAGCATCTGAATGTCGACTGGGGGAGGGGAGGTTGTTCCACGGGGACGAGGTTCTGCGCTCAGCTGCCAGTCACATCCATTCGTCGATATGCACACGAAGACAAAGATGGGGTGACAGACGCAGACTTATTAAAAACCATTCGTCTGCTTATTACAATCGCCTTTTTTGGCAGAGGTGTAAATCATAGCGCTGAAATCAATGAATTTATCCACCGAAAGCGAATGAGTGTTGTCCTAGTCAGCGCCGTCTGTCTCCTTCCTCACGCTCCGCGTCATTCTGCCCTTCGAGATCATCAGTTCCCGATAGACCATCCGAGTTTCCCTAGCGTAGGCTTCGCAGTCTCAGCCTCCGATTCCTGGGAAGTCCGGGCGATGGGTGGAGCTTCTACATGTGAGACGCAAATGATGTTGTCAAAGGACATGGACTCACCTTCATGAAGCGTGGTTGCCTGTTCAGATGAAACTGCGACACGAAGGCCCTTCAGCAGCCGGTCACTGCAGAGCAATGTGAGAAAATTGTTGGATGAGCGTTGGGTCCGGAACTGTGGCGAAGGATTCAGTGGTGCGATCGACTCGTGAGTGATACATACCTCCATAACTACTTTCTCAAGGACGTCCAAGAAATACAGCGCGATGGAGGTGTCTGGGATAATGTCCGTCAAATGCTCGATGCTGCTGGCGTGTGGACTCAAAAGAATCATGCACGGACACAAATTCGAGGCCCTATAAAGACCAAACACCCATCAGTCACGCCACAAACAAAGGTTCATGATAAGCATACGTAGCATCAAGATTGAACAAAATTGGACAGGAACTTGAGGAAAACACTGACGCACTTCAGCAGGCGCGTTGACTAGTAGGGTAGGGACGAGCTTTTGAGCTTTGTTGTGTGGTAGGGCTGTACGATGGGGAGGCCTGGTACTAGAGTACTAGTATGACTATTCTGTTGACTCTTGACTGGACTAAGTTGTCGATTCAATTACCAGTTATCTGGAATTTGAAATTCAATGTCATTGTGTGCCTGACACCAATATCATGCTGGTGCAGTCCTTCCGGTGGGTTCTCGCAACTTTTAGGGGATTTGAATTACTTTGCTTTCCTTGAATTTCATAATGACGTCCGATCGCAATCTAGATGGACGTCAAGCTCGTCTGCACTCGGCTGTTGGCTCGTATCTACTTACTCACTGCTCCTCAGCTGCAGCTTCAAGGATCTTCTGCAAAGCAAGACCATGACGCAGTTTCATAATACGCCCTCAAATTCATTCGGAACAGCATCAGTTTGTTGTTTTTGAGTTCTGATCATGTTATTGAGGCACCTTGCTAAGTATATCTGTGTTCAACCATCGTAGTTCAGTACTTTGTGGGAATATCAAAGAAACCTCGTACACCGTGGTCGAGTGAGAGTTGATCTAGTCAGAAAAACCAAGTTGTCCGCGTCAACTTCAGCCAAGGCAAAAAAGCACAGTGCTGGTATATGTACGCGGTTAAGCGAGATCATCCGCTGCTGAAGCTGCGCACATGACTCTTACTTAGCCGCTAAATAGCCATGTTAATGAAGAGTTTAAGTACTGATTGACGTTTGTTGACGACCGTTCCCCAACACCTTCAAATTCAAACAGCACCACACAATGTCTCTTCCGCTACGCGACCCAACATCTGACTCCGAAGACGATGATCAAGACTACGCGCCTCCCTAACACCAAGGTGTGATAACAGGTCATCTCATCAGAATTTGTCTTGTCTGATAAAACAAAACAGACTCGGACAGCTCTTAGGGAGATGAAGAAGGAAACGATGACACGAACATGTGATGAATGAAGTGAAAGAGGAAGACCTAGTCGAGAAGAAAAAGTAAGGTGTGTCGGGTGTCTCCATAGGTCAAATGTACTTATCCTGCTGTACAGAGCGCGCGATGCTCTATGGGCCAGTTTCCAGGCGTCTGTCGCTACGCCACCGTCTCCGAAGGTCGAGGAGCCGCCAAAGAAGCTCGTGAAGATCTAGAAATGTTACTACCTTTTCGCAGGGAAGAATATCATGTATGTCCGCCCACTCGTTCCTTGTTACAGCGTGCTTAGTGATGTGAAGAGAAGTGGATGAAGTCCCTGAGGACTTGGAGGAAGCGAAGAAGTGGGTGTGATGGGATACATCAGGGTTACCGTCGGCTGCTGCACCAGCCCATGATTCTTCGTCTTCAACCGCTGATGTGAACACGTCAGCGTCGAGTTCAGCAGATCCAATACAACCTGCAGCACAGAAATCTGCCACAAGGAAACCTCCAGGTCCTCGCAAGCCTCGCACGTCGTTGGGGGACATACCGAGTCAGACGGCCGAAAAGAAGATTACTACCCTGGATAAATCTACAATGGACTGGCGCGCGTATGTCACATCAAGGACGAGCTTGACGCTAACCGACACGGGGGTGGCTACTTAGAAAAGATGAACTTTTTGAAAAGAGTGCAGGACAGGAAAGAGGATGCGTATGAATCGAGCAAGTCAAATAAAAGGCGAAGAACCTGAGGTATGAGGAAATGATGTTATTGCAGTCGAATCGTGTGTAGCACAATACATGTTTTACTGTACCAATACAGGAACATCAAGAGTGGTCATACGTACCTACCCACACATCGCAGATGGGCTGAGGAAGGTAATCAGAGTAGTTGAGAACTTGGACCAACGGGCATCAGGATTAGGAGCTGTTGGATGAATCGCAATACTGGTACGACAACAAGAAATTCCAGGCCATTCAAGTCCTGCACATGACCTTATGCTCCAACCAATGCGACTTTTGGCATCCAGTATCGCAATACCTGAAAAATCATTGGTCAATCATCTGCCTACGACAAGAGTGAATGAATCAGTTACCTCGCTCTTTCGCAACCACTGCACTTCCTCGGTGCAGCACTGAGATTGCTTCACCATGAACATCTGCACAACGTCAGTGTTCGGACTGACTCGTGGGTGTGAGCATCTCTGTGGGTAAGGCTCGTCTTCCTCTCCGTGATCAAGATGGAGTTCGTCAAGCCATGCAGCAAGATCATATTCAGCTTGCTCTAATGAGATGGGGCGCTCATCCGTCATCACCTCGTCAAAGCGCGCAATCAGATCATTCCACTCTTGCACAGCAGTGGGGTAGCGCTTAAGGATGTTTTGCTGGGTCAGGTGCAACTGTGTTCTCGGGGAAACAGTGCTCAGAAGTACACTAAATTCTTCGGTATACCCCAACTTCTTGAGATGCGACCTGCGTTTGGTCGTAGAGAGATCGTCGAATTCAAAGCCGGTGAATATACCTGAAGCTCTTTAAGGTCCGCTGGTGTCTCTGGTCCCTTGATAGTAAGAGTGAGGCAGATGTACCAGTATAACACGTTCTTCATGTATCTTGCATCGTTGGGGAGCCTCCGTGGTGTAAATCTTTGCGTCCTCCATCGCACTCATAAGGAACACAACACCCTCATCATATTTCCTATCTCCTGGGCTGGATTCCTGAATACGACATACTCCCAGATTGCCTGTGAGCTCGACAGCACGGTACAGGAGCCCAAAGCGTACGAACGGCGTCATTTTCGGGCACTTTGAACCTTTCATCGCAAAACGCCAGCCTTCGTAGCGGTCTTGACCCAAGGTAGTAAAGCGCTCAGTAAGCAAGGGTAAGTCCTCTTTCTTCAAACAAGCTCAATAAAATGCCCTCATGCGAATGTGAGGAAGACATACATGAATGCCACAGCTGTTGTCCTGAATATGAAGCAGCTTCATACCGCCATCCTTGACGGTCACTTGAATGGAAGTAGACCCGGCATCAAGGCTGTTTTACAACAGCTCTCTTAACGCAGAAGCGGGTCTGTGTATGACCTAGAGGTGAATTTCATCAGTACGTATTCGCGGGTGATGAGGGCCAGGTGGTTCTAGAGAAGGAGAGCGATGACCGCTTGCCATGTCAACGGGCGTAGCTATTTTGACGCGGTCCTGCCGCGCCTGCCGCGGTCGTGACGCGGCCGTGACGCGGCGTGACGCGCATGTGACGCGGCACTGACGCGGCACTGACGAGCCTTGACGCGGCACTAACGATCCTTGACGCGGCCACTGACGCGCCATTCCTATATTCTACATTTAACTTCCAGATCAAGTTGGATGAGTTCACGACCATTCTTTTGTTATTTTAGTTGCCTCAGAGCCATGTACAACTAGGTATACATAAGCCAATGACTATTTTCTTTTCCTCCCTCTCTGGACCCTTCGAGCCTGTGGAGCACATCGACGTTTAACGGGCGGACATTCTTCGGCCGGCAGAGAAGGAACTACAGCTTCGGATAGCTCGTCTGCAGACTCCAAAGATGTAGCATCAGAGTTATCACTGAATAAGGGGCCGCGCTGTCAATCACATAAGTTAGATATCTATCGAACGGAGCAGGTAATGTCTTCCTCACTTCAAGTTCACTCTCGCTATAATCTCTTGCAGAAACCCATTCATCAGGAATTCCGAGATACACATTCCATCGCCTGTGATGTTGGCCAGCATCCAAACCCCACTGCTGGTTGCCTGCAGGTCCCTGCTTCTTCGGAATCCTCGAACATCCTTGCTTCTAGTGCGGTCAGACACTCGAGGTCGACATCAGCCACGAAGCTATTGGTAGGATAGCTTATCATGAGATCAGCCCAAGCCATCTTCAACAGCATGCTATCGTTCCATTCTTCGTTTCGAGCTTCGACGCGTTTTTCAAAATCACTGGCCTTTCGATGAGCAACCACGAGAGTGAAAGCATGCACCAAAGGCATGCCACCAAGCCATTTTTCGACTTGACCGGAAGCACCAGGAACATTCTCCGAGAACCAACGTGCAATTTTGGCATACTCGTGAGATGAGATGTCACCACAAAACGGTATGCTGTATGCACCCACACCATCTGGCTTCTTCTTCGATCGCAAGATGTAGTCTATCACGGGGTATGCCTCCGCATCATATTGGTTCAAGTCTGGACTGTCAAGTCCGTGCAGAGTTCGAATAACTCCTGTGAGTGGTGTTTCATGTGTTGAGGGAGGGGTGGTGGATTCGGGACGGAGTGTGCAGGGTCATGTGATGGCTGAGCGGTCTGCACGGAGGCCGGAAGATAAGCTATTACATTGCCTGTTCTATGTTCACAAGGAGAATATGTCGGATGACGCACCTGAACGGTCATAGCAGGGTATGAGGTCCCCAAAACTCAGCAGCGGACCCGGCCGATCTGGATCATTTTGATTCTCTGTCTCGTTGGGATAGAAAAAGTTGAATATATGTTTGATTAATTGCTAAAAGATGATTATAACAAGTTTACTCCGTATTTTAAAGAACTCACAAAGGCCATGATACGATTCACAAAAGCGCGATAATAAGGGTTGTTTCTCGAGCCCAGAGGAGACAACGAAAGAATGCTTAGTAAAATAAATTTATTACTGCCTATGGACAATTACAGTGTACGACGTCTAATTCTGTCAGGATGAAAAGGAACACTGTTAGAATATCAATTATTATGACAGATGTAAAGTAAAATATACCTAAGTTATATGGACAGTGTGACAGTTGAGGTGGTGAGGTTTGACGCGGCATGTGGAGGTGGTGAGGTCTGACGCGGCATGAATGAAGTTTGACGCGGCAGTGACGCGGCGTGACGCGCGGGTGACGCGGCAGTGACGAGGTTTGACGCGGCGTGACGCGCCTGTGACGCGGCACTGACGCGGCATGGAGGAGGTTTGACGCGGCAACTGACGCGGCACAACTTGTTTGACGCGGCACTGACGCGCATGTGACGCGGCAACTGACGCGGTATGTGCTATGGTTGACGCGGCACTGTAGTAGACCTTGACGCGGCATAGAGTGTAGATGTTGATATTAGTACAGAGACTGCGAAGATATTTGGGAGAACTTGTCGTGGTGTGAGTAGTGCTTGACGCAGCCTAAACGAGGCTTCTGACATGCCATGGTTGGGGCTCGACGTGTTGGTGCAGGGTATAGAGAGTGGATCAAACTTAGCAGGGTGAGGTCGAAGCTTGACGCAGTGAGACAACATTTGACACTGCATCTGAAAACCAACATAAATGAACGAATTAGAGGTAATGCAACAATATAGGACTGACGCGCAAGATGCATACTAGTAGTATGAACGCAGAGGACAAGCACTGTAAATTTGGTGAGAGGTGAATACAGCACTATAGAGCCTGTACGCAGGCAGACACTCATATGTTGATCATTAACGATGATTCAAAGTGTTTGGAATGCGATATGAAGTTGTGTAAACATGATCTGTACATAGGAATTTGTTACAGTGCCGCGTCACATATGCCGCGTCAGTGCCGCGTCACAGGCGCGTCACGACCGCGGCAGGCGCGGCAGGCGCGGCAGGCGCGGCAGGGCCGCGTCAATTTCACCTGGCCCCATGTCAACTTGATCTTAGACTGATCACGTGATCGTACCGTTGCTGCCCAACTTTCACCGTCATCATGCCTTTGAATCTAAATTTGACACCTTAAGCCGATGTCATGATGAACCTGCCCTTTCTTGACGAAATCCTCTCCAAGAAAACTCAATCAGCATTTCGGGGTCATTACATCATCACGAGGAGTCGTTCGTAACGTCCAGTATAAACAGAGCTCTCAGTGCACACCCTTTCAGAAATGCATTGAGCTCATCTTATGTGAGCGTAGATGGCCCAATAAAATATCCACTTGTCAGCTTGATCGACTTCAATGGAGTGCCATGCATAAAGACCGGGCCTAGAAGGATCTATCACCACCATGATGGTAAGGTCTCAGTTCACTGCAGGGAGCTCTCACGAAAACTTTCGGCGTCAACGCTCGCAAGCACGTGTTGGTCATGGTTCGAGGGATAGCCGCCTAAACGACTTGCTGTTAATCATCTCTCGAGTTGCTCTGTCCGCTCACCTGAGACTCTTCCAAACTTCACTAGCTTTTCTTGGAATCCAATTCCAACATAGTACCTATAACTTCTTCATGTCACAAGCATCAGGCGCCGACGAAGCCGAGGATCAACGCACCCACAACGACGAGCAACTTTTCCCGCAAAAGGATGTCGTAGGACTCCTCAAGGAGTGAGTTGCAGGTTTCTGGAATCTGTCACCTGTCTAACAGAAAGACAGGGAGAATATCAATGTTGAACCTTTGGCAGAGCCGCCATCAGGGATGTATGTGTTTCTTCCCTGATGGGCGCTTGAGCTACTCCTTACTAGAACTGCAGCTCAAATGCTGGACCTTCACGGCCATCGGGACTTCTGATACAGCAAAATACATCCAATGTTTCATTAGTCAGTGATTTATCAATGTAAGTTCTTGTCAATGATGATGTCAAATATGCTCCTCAATTATCTCAGCGAGGTGAAAAAGGTTGTGACAGAGAAGGACGAGCCGACTCTAAGGGATTTGTGAGCCAAAAACTCTAAGCCAAGTGATCGCAGCTGACCACGCCCTACACGCAGAGCAAATATCATGACGGAAGTGTTGGAGGTTCTCAAGGACTCGACGATTGCGTCGAAGAGTGGAAAGGACGAACGGTCTCGTTTCTGGAGGGTGTACAAAAGAGTCGCGGAGGAACACGACAGCGAGTTCCTCGAGCGATACACTAGCGACATGAACATCGTCCTGATCTTCGTAAGTCAGCCTGCTTATCTGTATTCCGTTTCGAGACTGATGTTCAACCAGTCTGGTCTTTTCTCCGCTGTCGGCACGTCTTTCATTGTCGCGATGGAGTCCGATTTCAGTCCCGACCCCAGCGACACCACAAATGCACTTTTGAAGCAACTCGTGCAGATCGGACTCGGCAATCTCGCTGAGGCAGGCTCCGCTCCCGTAGACCCAGCATCTGGGTGGTCTCCGACTGCGTCGACCTTATGGGTCCAAACGATCGCATATGCGAGTTTGTCTATGAGCTTGCTCGCTGCATTTGGGGCGGTGCTGGGAATGCAGTGGCTAGGGTACTACAAGTCGAAGAGATATGGCCGCGGCTCGCAGGAGCAGCAAGGGAAGCGCCGGCAAGAGCAGTTCGACGGCATTGTGACATGGTATTTTGATGCTGTGGTGCAATCGTTTCCGGTCTTACTTCAGATCTCTCTTCTTCTGTTTGGGATCTCTCTTGGCGCCCATCTGTGGTACGAGCAGGCGAGCATCGCCTGGGTCCTCATCGCAACGACGGTCTTCGGATTTTTATTTTATTCCCTGACTGTGATGGCATGTTTAATATCTCCCGCTTGTCCATTTCAGACACCAATATCAACGCTATTACACGTTTTGCGCATCGACAGTAAGATCATTTTGCCGAATTCTGGTGGTTGTTTCCCATCTGAATCAACATTGCAGGGGTTCTACACCAGGTATTCAAACGAGTTTCTTGTCATTTGCAGCGGGCCACGATGTTATTGCAGGGTGAGTTATGTCTTCTTTCATGTGCACAGGTTTTGACCGTTTCATGTCAGGCGTGCTCAAACGATTGTTTAGTATCGTCAGATCGGGATGGACCCGATTGTCTGAAGTATCTAGAGGTGACGATCTTAGCCACTATTACAAAGATACACTCAGTGCTCATTCACTCGCTAGGCCCTGTACTTGTGATAGGTACATTCACACGATCTCTTTGGCAGCTCATCACCAGGCTTCATAACCGGCTGCGTTCTGTGGTTCTGCGTTCTTCAGCAAAGGTTGTAGACTCAGAGGCACAACCACTCGGCCAGGATCTGGATGATTTGGCGGAGAATGATGACACCCTTAACCTCAACCTCCCTGACACACTCGCCGGCGATCTCGAAGCGCCTAGCGTCAAGTGGCTGCTGGAGACATCCACGGATCCTGAAGTATTTCTCGCTGCTGCCAGGCTTGTCCCGCAGGTCGAATGGCCTCTGGACCTTGATGTTTCGGACATGTTGCATCAGCTGGTCGAGATTTTCACGAGTTGCGTCGACATTCAGGAGCGCATCGTACCGTCTTTGGAGGAGAAGGCTTCGGCATGTGCAACGGCTCTAACTCACCTATACTATGGACGTGTTCTTCAGGCATACCCTGACCGTGGCGAATTTATCATTCGCAAGGGACAAGATGTCGATGTGTTTTATCAGATTCACCGGCGCATGGACACAGCTGACCAAACGGTGCTTGATATGACCGTAAATTTTTGTGATCCAGATAGCAATGGCTGGACTATTGATATCTCAGAGGGTTGCCCTGACTTCATCTATGAGCTGCTGTCACATCTTCTTCCTTATCACTTTGTAACTGGGCGAGTGAATGAAAACATAGAAAACCTCGCGATAACAGTGATATCAAAATTGCTATCGTCCTCATCCTCATCCCCATCCCCTCCGTCGAATCAAATCCTAGCCAATTGCCTTCTTCTTGCTTGCGTCATGGTCGGGGCTCAAGTTGACAAGAAAGACATAGTTCGGATTGATAAAAGGTACCATCGGCTCATTTTGTAGTTTTTCTGTCATGATTAACGAAGAGATCGTGCAGTTCTGCTCTGCCTCGACTCAGTGAGTCCCTTTTGGCGCGGTTCCAAAAGGCTCTCTGGGCATGGGATGGAGGCGAGCTCGACAAAGATAGCACAGGAGTCGCACGCCGGGCATGGAAGCTCCTCGATATCATTTGGCGCATCCTCGAGCTTGCCAGTGATCACTATGGTCATTCAACCCATTCCATGCGGAACCTAGACGTGTGCAGGAAGATTTATTCACGAGCGAGGTCGTCCAATGCCTCGGTTTCGTTGGTAGCTCCACGAAATGCACTGCACTTCACTTTCGCTGCTGCCAAGGTATCCCGTGACCCTGCCGAAGTGTGGTCTCGGCCTTGGTGGGGAAACGAATCCCACTCGCCAGAAGATTTCGACTGGATGGTAGACTACCTCGACTTCATATATTCCGACGACCACGAATCAGCATATGACATCCTTTTGCTACTGGGTAGTGTGGGGGTGTGTTGCCGCCCCGCTAAACAACATCTGTTCATTGAGAGGCTCATCGCCTGCATGGACAGTAACATGCCTCTCCATTTACGCCATGCCGCTCTTCGTGCTGCTCACAATGCCCGAGAACAAATCGCCTCGATGGATGCCATTGATGATTCGACGCTACGGGACATGATTTTGACCAAGCTCTCTCCCGCTATTCTGTCCGTGCTTTGTCCGCACCCAGGTACAACACCCGCCAATGATGATCCCAACCTCTTTTTCGATCATTACCGCGACTTGTGCTATCTCGAACTGGTCTATGCCCTCGCAAGAAATTCCGATTGGCACCCCCATTTGTTTGGGGACCGCCATATAGATCGGTGCATTGGCATGATTCCACAGTACTGCAATGCCAGCTACTACGGGCATCCATTTTTCGTAGCTGGTATCCTCCTCCAAATCACACCCGAACAGACATCAGTTACATCGCTCGATTCTGTTACAGAGCAGCAGTGGTGGGACGTGACGAGAAGCGCATGGGGGTATTCTGTTCACACTGACGATACACGCTATCTCAAGCTCCTTCTTGTTCTTGTGGATGGCACAAAGAAGTATATGCAGATTGCTTCGAAATCTGATCTCGAGCAGCTCATTGAAAATGTGGATCAGTTTATCGAAGAACTGGAGGGGGACATACGACGGGAGAGGCGACTACACGAGATAGGACAGGAGGGAGAGGGGGTCATCGCTGCTGCGAAGGAGTTGAGGACTGCAGCCAGCAACATGGTGAAGAGCTTTGGTCAGTAATTATCAGTCCCCTAATCATGACTTGTATGCTGTGTTAGAGTCTTGGAATAGAGGAAGTCACGGGCAGTGTCACAGTATGCACGGAAGTGGGGAGTATCAAGACCTCAACGAAATCGAGACTGAATCATCAGCCATCTCTGACTTGGTAGACGCTTGTCAAGCGTGAGGAACAACGGCATGACCAGCATCTAAACGTCGACTGGGGGAGGGGAGGTTGTTCCACGGGGACAATGTTCTGCGTTCTGCTAGCCCGGTCACATCCCTTCATCGATATGCACATGAAGACAAAGATGGGGCGACAAACGCAGACTTGTTAAAAACCATTCGTCTCCATATTACAATCGCTTTTTTTTGGCAGAGGTGTAAATAATAGCGCTGAAATCAATAAAGTGGACCACTGGAAGTGAATCAGTGCTGTCCTGTTCAGATGAAACTGCGATACGTCCCTTCAGCAGTCGGCCAATGGAGAGCGATGCGAGAGAATTGTTGAATGAGTGTTGGGTCTGGAACTGTGGCGAAGGATTCAGTGGTGCGATCGACTAGCATGAGTGATACATACTTCCATAACTACTTTCTCAAGGACGTCCGAGAAATGCGGCGCGATGGAGGTGTCTGGGATGATGTACGTCAAATTCTCGATGCTGATAGCATGCGGACTGAAGAATCATGCACGGACACAAATTCCAGGCCCTATAAATACCACACACTCATCAGTTACGCCACATACAAAGATTCATGATAAGTATACGTAGCATCGAGACTGAACCAAATTGGACAGGAACTTGAGGGAAACCCTGACGCACTTCAGCAGCCGCATTGACTCGAGTAGGGAACAAATAGATTTCGAATGGCTGTCATGAGTGCCGAGCTTTTGAGCTTTGTTGTGTGGTAGGGCAGTACGAGAGAGTATAGTGTACCAATTATCTGGAATTTGAATTGTGTACCTGACACCGATCTCATGCTCAGCGTGCCAGTGGGTTCTCGCATCATTTGATATAGACGTCCGATCGAAATCTAGATTCGGACGTCATCTGCACTCGGCTGTTGTTCGTATCTACTTACTCACTGCTCTCCTGCGAAGCAAGACGCAGTTTCACAGTACAGTGCTCTCAAATTCATTCGGAACAGCATCAGTTCGAATTCGTTGTTTTCGAGTTTTGATCATGTTATCGAGGCACCTGGCTATTCAACCATCGTTTCAGTACTTTGTGGGAATATCAAAGAAACCTCATACACCGTGGTCGAGTGAGAGTTGATCTAGTCAGAAAAACCAGGTTGTCCGAGTCAACTTCAGTCAATAGAAAAAAGCAGTGCTGGTATATGTACGCAATTAAGTGAGATCTATGGCGCTGGATCAGTTCAAAAATGTACACACACTTAAGTCACACACACACACGCATACGACACACACACAGTAGTTCAACACACATGTACTGTAGTATTGCAACACATTCAGTACTACAGGTGCATTTTTAAGTCAATTGTTCTAACTAAACTGGCTTGAATCATTGGGCCGCTGCAGCCCTGGCAAATATCCGAGTCTCACCAGACTCGCCAACCAAGTCATCAGATGACGATCGAGGAATTGACTCGGAGGATATCCGTCCCGTTTATAAAATTTCTTCATGGCTTGGCAAGCCCAAGGTATCCAATTCGGCTTTCGTCAACATTGGGGCAGGCTCCGTGATCAGGGCCGCCGACAACTGCTGAGCTGTCTCCTCGACGAGATCAAAAGCGAGACAGAATGCTGTTGCATTCTTCACCGTCTGAAGCAGCATTTTCCAGCACTCCGGATTGACCCTTCCAATTTCTGGCCCAAGTTCCTGGAAGCGCTCGATAGCTTCATGGAATTTTTGAGGATTGCGGCCATCAAGGAGGAAACGAGCCATTGAGTTCCACCATAGTTGCCGCCAATCAATGAAACATGCGGTGTTGTCAGTGCAGTATGGTGAATGCGTGACAATGGGTGGCTCCTCGCAGGCAACAATACGGTTATGCTCATCGAGAAGTTCTTTTAGATCTACGAAGGCATTCCAGACTTCAAACCCAAGTCTCCTTCGCACTGGTCCTGGAATATCACGGATGCGAAATTCGACGAGACGGCGAAAAGCGGGAACAAAGAACTTTGAAATTGAAAATTCGAGGCAGAGTGCGAGAAGTTCGTATGGTTTGTGTTGAAATCGACGTTCATGGAGGTGATTGATGGCGACATCACGAGCCTTTTGACTCATGAACTTGTTGCTGAAACGAAGAAGGTCGAGGACATCATCATGAGTGGGACCTTCGGGTTTCCAACTGCGTAGTCCTACATTTAGAATAAATGCAGTACCTCAAGAACTGTCTTACCTGTTGTATGCAACTGAGAGGAACAGTTCGAACATATTCATGCTGAGTTCGGGAATGATAATTGGATGATCATCGCTTGAGCCTTCCATGCCTACTGTCAGCGGCAATTGACTTCCAACAGAAAACATCTCCTCAAACACAATGGATGTGCGTGATAATTGAGTTGCATGGACCTTGAACAACATCAGGAAATCAACTCGGAATTGATATGACCAGGTAGAGCTGACAAATAAAACCCATCATGATACATCCAGATTTAGAATTATACATTAGAGCTAGTTCGGCAACTCGATATTTTCGATATTTTTCAATATTTGCTTTGGCATGTTTGCGAAAATGTTCACCGGCATCGTTCCGAGATGTCGGAGCTCGAACCTTGCTTCTCTCCTACTGTACATATTATCAATGGATGTATACCCTCATCTAACCCTAGAGCGGCGTAAGAGGCTTTTTGCTGGTGCGGTCGCGATCACTGCGATCTGTGCACAGTACACTACTCTTCTCATGGCCCAACCTGAAGTCAATGCTCCCCCTAAGTCCAAGGCGATTCGGAGCTTGAATTTGAGCTTATCAACAAGATCAGTGATAATGAGGGTAGGGTATATACCTTGATGGATCCCCAACCACTGGGGTTCGCGATGGAGCGCCAACGCCTAGCAGCGCTCATGACGAATCCTCGGCCAGAGGTCCGGGAACGACTCCTCAAATGCATGGTACTCGTAATCAGCATCGTTGTTGCTTCTACGCACGGCATCCTACAATCAATATATCCCAAAGATCCCGAGCCCTATCACACTTCAGCGCTAACTGGGCAAGACTGGGTGATCGAGTTGCTCACTGGTCACCCAGAGCGCATCAGGTGTGAGCTTGGCATGCGCGCCAATGCATTTGTGGAGCTTATCTCCGAGCTTCGCACCATGGGCCATTCAGACTCCAAGTTTGTGTCCCTCGAGGAACAACTTGCGATTTTTCTTTACACCTCTGTGACTGGCCTATCAATCAGGCATGTTGCGGAGAGATTTCAACGCTCGAACGAAACGATTTCACGGTGAGTTTATTTTATTTTATTTCAAGTGACAGTATCTAATAGTATGTAGTTATTTCCGCAAGATGCTTATCATCTTCACGTCGGACCCGTTCTATTCAAGATACGTGCGCTTTCCAGATGGTTCGGTCCCCCGCAAAATTCGGAAGAACCCCAAATGGTGGCCCTTTTTCAAGGACGCTATTGGGGCGATCGACGGCAGTCACATCCACGTCACGCCTAAGGCCATCGAACGTCCGGTGTATCGTAATCGCAAGGGCTTCGTGTCGCAGAACTGCCTTTTCGCATGCGATTTCGAGCTCAACTTCACATACGCACTTACAGGCTGGGAAGGGTCGGCCACTGATGCTCGCGTCTACGAGGACGCCTGCTCTTACGACTTTCGCACTCCCGCTGGCAAATATTTTCTTGCCGACGCAGGATATCCTCTACGTCCTGGGTTGCTGGTACCCTACCGAAGCGTGCGTTATCATCTTGCCGAATGGGGTCGCGCCAATATACGGTAAGTTCATTCTCGATTGATTTTCAATGTGCTAAGTACTAAGTTTACAGGCCTTCTAACAAGGAGGAATTATTTAATCTACGTCACGCGTCAGCACGAAACGTCATTGAGCGCATCTTTGGCGTTCTCAAGCAACGTTTTCGCATACTGCTCTTACCACCGGCCTACGCTATGGAGATTCAAGCGCAGATTCCAGCCGCGCTTTGCGCCCTACACAACTACATTCGTCTTCGTGACCCTAGCGAGGGTCATCCTCCTGCTGATGACGAAGATGAAGATGTTGAGGATGGTGGTGGTCTTGGCGCTGACGTGGCCGCGGAGGATGACGCAGCAGCTATTGAGGAGGATAACGAGGAGGAATTTCGTCAAGGAGCTGCGATGCGTGATCGCATTGCAGCAGCGATGTGGACGCAGTATCAGCGCGTCATACAGGAACGGGGTTTAGACGCACTTGATATCATGGACGATGACGAGGATGCTGCTGCTGATGCCGCTGATGATACTGATAGTGATGTGTAGGCTTACTTTGTACTTACTACTGTGCTCCATACTGAACAATGAACAATGAAGTGAGAACGCGCTTGTTATTGACACACAAGAGTTATTCTATTCAGTTCACAGGTGGTAGGTAGTACAACATATAGCAACACAACACAAGAAGTAGCGAGCGAACACACACAGCATGATGAGATTTAAAACATTGAAAACGAATATTGTCCTGCTGGCAGGCGGCTCAGCCCGTCATTTCAGCATCAACACGCGGCGCTGGACCGGCATCACCTGCATCAACTGCCTCGCCGATCAGCTTCCCCACGAATGCACGCCTCCTACTCTTCTCCTGAAGATTCACGTAGAACTTGAGGTAATGTTCATTGCCCTTTGAACCAATGAACATGATGAGAGCAGCCTGCTGGTCCGGCGGTATGTCAGAGTCCTCGCCTTCCAGGATTTTGACGGCTCGCATGACCAGGTCCTCACTACCTTGTGCACCATCAGGCCCTCCTCTGACAAACCATTCAAAGACGTCGGTGAGCCGGTTGATGGTGCCTTGCATCCCCACCACAGCAGCTGCCGGCGTGATCTTTGCAGCCTTGGCGGCACTGCTGATCTTGGTGACACGGCTGTTCTGGGACACCACCGGAGTCCGTGGTTTCTTGGATGGGGGGGCTGACACCAGCGTGGTGGAAGGAGGTCGCATGGACGATGACAAGTGCGTGGAGCCAATTGACTCCATGTCCCCCATCACATCCGAATATGGGCGCTTGCTGGCGTTAGAGCCAGCAGCGGTAGACGCAGCGGTAGACGCAGCGGTAGACGCAGCGGTAGACGCAGCGGTAGACGCAGCGGTAGACGCAGCGGTAGTAGAGATGGCGGTGGAACGTGCAGGAGTGGAGCTAGTGATGGACGTAGAGGTGGCGGCAGTGCTTAATGGGCCTGCAGAAGCGGGAACAGCAGCAGCGCTTGGAGCAGCAGGAACAGCAGCAGCGCTTGGAGCAGCAGGAACAGCAGCAGTGCTTGATGGGCCAGCAGCATCCGCAAGATCGTTATCAGCATTGGTGGTGGAGGGAGCAGCGCCACCTGGACGGAAGACGTGCCGCCCTCTAGCGCCGCCCAATGGGATGATGGTCTGCATTTTTTCATAATGCTCCCATCCCCTGTTGCGGAAAGGACGCATGAGGTTATTTGCCTGACAAAAGTCAGCGCTCAAATCAATATGACGAAGAGGGGACATACCTTGACATACGATGTCCATACAGCCGCAGCCGCAGTTCCTTCAATCCCAGCTCCAGTCTCATTGTCCCAGTGGACCCCTGTCTGGTTGCGGTACTTCTCGATAGCATGAAATATGTTTTTAAGCTAGATGAGACTCGTCAGCTTAGATCAGATGAGATCAAATAGGGCTTACTGATGTCCACTTGTTTCGAGTTGATTTCGCTGTCTTCAGTGGACCTGCGCGAGTGGATTGAAGCGCCTCATGATTGTTGATGAACTCTGCAGCAGAGCCAAGAACCTGCTGCTTGAAGTTGCCTGCCCCTTCAGCCTCTGAGCGATGATCATAGAGATAGTCTACAAGGGTAACAGTCTCGACATCATTCCACTGCGCTGGTGGGGCCTTGGAGTGAGGGGGAGCATTGACTTCAGGTTGGGCCATGAGAAGAGTAGTGTACTGTGCACAGATCGCAGTGATCGCGACCGCACCAGCAAAAAGCCTCTTACGCCGCTCTAGGGTTAGATGAGGGTATACATCCATTGATAATATGTACAGTAGGAGAGAAGCAAGGTTCGAGCTCCGACATCTCGGAACGATGCCGGTGAACATTTTCGCAAACATGCCAAAGCAAATATTGAAAAATATCGAAAATATCGAGTTGCCGAACTAGCTCTTATTATCTTTGCACAACAAGTTGATGAAAGATCATATGACTATGTCAAAGACATGTCATTTTGTCGCACATCTTATAATTATGCAACAAGTTCATGAAAAAATATATAACTATGCCAAGGACACATCACTTTGAAGGGCACCTTGTAGGTACACAACAAGCTTATGACCAAATATATGACTATGCCAAGAACATGTAATTTTGATGCACATTTTACAAGTAAAACCCATCATGATACATCCAGATTTAGAATTATCTTTGCACAACAAGTTGATGAAAGATCATATGACTATGCCAAAGACATGTCATTTTGTCGCACATCTTATAATTATGCAACAAGTTCATGAAAAAATATATAACTATGCCAAGGACACATCACTTTGAAGGGCACCTTATAGGTACACAACAAGCTTATGACCAAATATATGACTATGCCAAGAACATGTAATTTTGATGCACATCTTACAAGTATGCAACAAGTTTATGAAGGAATATATGACTATGCCAGAGAAATGTCATGCTGAGGTCCACCTCACAAGTATCCAACAAGTTTTTGAAAAGAATATATAACTCTGCCAAGGATATATCATTTTGAAGGGCACCTTACAAATATACAACAAGTTTATGAAGGAATATATGACTATGCCAAGAACATGTAATTATGATACACATCTTACAAGTGGCCAACAAGTTTGTGAAAAAATATATAACTCTGCCAAGGATACATCATTTTGAAGGGCACCTTACAAATATACAACAAGTTTATGAAGGAATATATGACTATGCTAGAGATATGTCATGCTGAGTTACATCTTACAATTATGCAACAAGTTTGTGAAGGAAGATATGATTATGCCAGGGATATGTCATTCTGAGGTACATCTCACAAATATGCAACAAGTTTATGAAATAAATATATAACTTTGCCAAGGATACATCATTTTGAAGGGCACCTTACAAATATGCAACAAGTTTATGAATGAATATATGACTATGCTAGAGGTATGTCATGCTGAGTTACATCTTACAATTATGCAACAAGTTTGTGAAGGAATATATGACTATGCCAGAGATATGTCATTCTGAAGTACATCTTACAAATATGTGACAAGTTTATGAATGAATATATGACTATGCCAGGGATACATCATTTTGAAG